CGTGGTTACAAATTCCCATGTAGTAACAACAACAACAACAACAATAATAATAATAATAAAGTTATTTGTATTATTAATATTATTATTATACTTGTTATCCTCAATGAATCCAAAGTTATTTGTCTATTTATATATTCTTCTTAGACATTAATTCCACAAGAGTTATTTAATTTGTGATAAATCCATCATCACTAGTATTAATTTTGGATTAAATTCGAATACGCTTACTTATTGTGAATTGAATTTAAATAGCAGCAGCATCCGATATTATCCATTGAATTCTAATGTAATAATGTAATGTGTTATTATTGCAAACGTGACGCGAATTTAGCGGCTGGAGAGAAAAAGGAAAAGTAATATATATATATATATATGTTTATGTATATGATGCATGGTATAGTAGGAGAGATGCATGAGAAAAGGCAGACATGCATCGACTACGTACGTACACTATAGTCTCTATATAATTATAGATGAGATTGCAATGAGAATATGTATATATATATAGATATCTAGTAGGAATTGAAATTATGCCCCACAAAGTGTAAGTGTAATAATATATATATATATATATATATATAATAGAATGCTTCACCTCCACTACCACTAATTCCATGTTTTGTATATATATGGCTCAAAATGCATCTCATCTCATCTCATCTTGTTCCATCCATCACACTTTTCTAACGTCTTATCAACTACTTCATCACTTACAATTTATCATTTTTTCTAATATATTTATTTTGAGGTCGAGATTGTAAAATATTTGCAGCTTTATGTATTTTATATATACTTCATTAATAAAAATATATCTTTATAAAATCAGAACAAAGTTAAATGATTAAAAATATGCTCTGACCTAAAAGGTGTGTGGGAACAAAAATGAGTGAATAAATTGGATTGAAAGCAATTGATTATTTCAAACCACCAATGATCATTATTCATGTGGATGTGATGCCAATTGTCTTGTACTTTTTATTTAATTAGTCACTCAGTCCGAGTGAGTTAGCCTTAGTTTTATATACATACATATATATACTTTAATTTACATTGAATATTAATTGCATATATGGTCTCTTTTAATTTGGATTCCAACTTCCAAATTACATACATACATGCAATATATAACGTAGATCAATTTAGCTAAGTTGCACTTATTTATATGCAAATTGTTTCTCGGCTAGATATATATATATATATATATGTATGTATGATGCAAATGCAACTTCGAATGCAAAAATATATCCAATTATTGGCTTGAAGTCATTTAGAAAAGTATTATGATTTAACTTGTTTGTTTTTGGTGTAGATTCTTCAAGTACAATAATCTATATTATATATAATCATATCAACGATGGCAAGATTAAATTATTTGATGAGAATAATTGCACAAAGAAATTAAACAATATGGTTAATTATAATAAGTTTCTTGCACCCTTTTTTTAATCTTGATGAATCCAAAACCTCTTGTATTTGTATATAGGAAATTTTATAAACTATACATTTACATTGTTCAATTTATATAAATTGTATTCTTTCCATTTTATCACAAAAATTTTGGGTTGCTTCATAATATTATAATTTTCTTTTTAAGATCAAGATCTTGCCATTTGTTGGAGGGTGAAGGTAGAAGAGGAATGTGAAAATTTTGGTCCCACATGCAATGTGGTGTCTCTTTTACTATTAAACAATTGATTGGATTGAGCTCAATAGAGTATGGGCTTAGCTTGGTCTTATATGTAATCAAAATTGGGCCTTGGATATAATTACTAATTTTATGGCACTTTAAATTTAATCTTCTTCCCTAAATTAAATATTAGACTCACCGACAAATCTTCTTGTGTTATTTGAATTTGGCTGATCTCAATTTTCTTGTTTCACAACGAACAACACTATCTTTTCACTTGAATGTCAATATTACTAGTATAACCAAATTCATTATCACCATTGTCAATAGAGATATTGCTTTAGTATGCAACATATATGTTGTGAATTTGTGTTATGAATTTTAAGTTTTGTAAAGTTGCATTTTTTTCCAAAAAGAAAAAAATAAAATGATACTCGAACACCATCTAAACCGGCCGTTAATTCAAAGTTGAAGTTAATTACACATGTTTGGACTTAATATAAGTAATTGAACTATAGAGCATATATAATTGGACTTAATATAAGTAATTGAACTATAGAGCATATATAATCAATATAGTAAAGATCAATCTCGATGACAAAATCAAATTAATTTCAAGCTTCAATTTTCAAATACATGACCACAATTCCGTACGTGTCTAAGACCAAACTAACTAATAGTCCATGCAGGTCGTCTAGGTCCAAATTCATTCTAATAATTAAGATGAATGAGCCTGCATTTATTTTTCTTCTCAAACATTTTATAGACATGTATAATCTAACCCAATTAGCCTACTTGTTAATCAAACCCTAATCAATTAATAATACAATCATTTAACTATTATTATTATTTTTTTTTTTTTTTTTTCACTCACCTGCTAATTGACAAATGCAAATGTAACTTTACATTAATTAAATTATCAACAATCAATTAAATTAATTAACGAGAGTAACATTGTTTTATCTTTATAAGTTGTTGTATTTTATATCTATTTCCGGGATGCAAATAAATATAAATACGTGATTCTTTTTTTATCGTTATAAGTTGTTCTATTATGTACGAGCTTGAACCTTATTATTAATTGTACTTTATATCTATTTCCGGGATGCAACTAAATATACAATATCTGATTTTTATGGCATAAACTAATTAGTTATGATCATATTTTTACTTAATGTGGCACTATTATTTTTTGAACCCTCATCTCTATAGATTAATATATGTATATACGTGTTTGTATTGTAGAGTTTTCATGTATGTTCGATTTTATGGGGCCAAGAAACAATGGAAATTCCCCACACGTAGTATCAGAGATAAATTAAACCCATATATATGTATGTGGAGAAATTTAATTAAATAAAAAAGATTAAAAATATCTTATTTATATATGCATAAAAGCATTGATATGGTAGAAAGTTGAGATAAAGTTGTATTAGCTTTATGGAATGTGACAAAGAGAAAATAAATAATGGAGCAAGAAAGGTGATCAATATAGCAGCCAAGAAAATTAATCTGTGTATACAAATTCAAAGATAGATAATAAAATTGAAGGAAAACAAGTCAACATTAATTTGTTTGTATGTGTATATATATATATATATATTTATCTGAGTCTCAACATCACACTACTGCATATTCATATAGATTCATGTATTCATCATGTTCCTATTTGTGTTCATATTCATGTTTGTGAATATGGTCAATAAGTGATTTAATTCAAGATTGAATTCTCTAATTTCTGAAATGGTTGATCGATTATATATATATATATATGTGTGTGTGTGTATGTAGGAATGGGGGTGATGATATTGGCACGGCTCAATCAAACTAAAAGTCCTGATTCTTAGGAGATTTGATTTGATTGAGCAGTTCCAACATCATATCCATATATCATTCTCCAAATTATCTACACACGACTGTACATTTAATTTCTTACATGTATCTATATATGTAATTACCTTAAAACTCATTGCACTCTTCAATTCTGATGATCAACAGCAACCAGGGTTTCTTGATCTCTGTTAGAGAGAGAGAGAGAGAGAGAGAGAGAGAGAGACGGAGAGGACAGGAGAAAGAGAAAAGAGGCCATCAAATAAATAGGGACCCAAAATTAAATTAACGTAGAGAGAGAGAGAGAGAGAGAGAGAAAGAGACGTGTTTTTGATAATTAGGTGTGCAGACGAAGTGGTTGTTAATGACATTTTTGCAACACGTCACTTTCTCCGATCCCGCCCCAAATTATTATTATTATTGAAGAACAAATAGTAATATTTTAGGTGATTTGCCAGCTTGGAAAACCTAATTTTGATACCAAATGTTACTAACCATTGCCACCATCATATGTCACCCAAATTAATTATATATAATTATTTAATCCACCCCTCTCAATCATGCTCATTAATTACCTGTCTGTATCACACACACATACAAATGATAATATAATCCCCAATTAATCTTGATTGGTACGTATAATTATATAAGTCTTGGGATCTAAAAGTTTGGTATGATGATATTACATCACTGCGATCGCTTCCCTTAAAAGAAATTCATGTCTACACAAACGTACGTTAAGCCAATGAATTTCCAATAAAATGATGTCTTGAATTAATAAAATCTTTACCCTTTTACTTAACAAAATAGTATAGTTCTGGGAAATACTACTTATAATTGTGGTATTAGTTAGGGTGGGGTGCTCCATCTTAGTGGTAGGCCTTTTCTATTTTGCAGGAAAGAAGGAAAAAAAAAATATATGTATATATACATTCATATACATATACATATGCATATAGATACTGATCATTGCAGATTAATTAAATCGATCGTATATTAGTTGTGGTAGCTAACGATGTTCTATAGTTAAAATAAAATAATAAAATGTGTGCGTGTGTATGTGTATGTGGAATCGAATAATATTTGGGTATGCACACGGATGCATTCTAATAATTAAATTAAATTAAATTAATGGGATATAATACTATATATAATGGATTTTGTTTTGTGTAATAGAAATGAAAGAGTGGGTAGGGTGGGAGAGGTAGGCAGGTAGCTATCTAGCTGGGGAGACCCGACCCACGTACAAGAGTGGTTTTTAATTAATTAATTAATTATATTGTTTGTCTATGCAGCATATAACGCCACCAATCACCCGGCCCTGCATCTGCATCTCATAATTAATTGATAAAAATATTATTTGAAGCGTCAAGCTTAAAGCGTGTTTATTGGCAGAATAATTAAGACGGATTTCGGGCCATCTTCACGGCCCAATTACTGAAATGCGAAATTCAGCACAACTATATATATATTAGTATGAAAAAAATATTCTTGAGCATGACAAAAATTTAGACAAAGTGTGCTGTGCTAACTTGACATTCACAGTAGATAAATAAATTATGTTATATGGTTCAAGACAGTTCCATGAGAATGAGCACGTATTTAGTACAGGTTAATTTCTAACAGTACGTAAATGAACCTATAATAGCTACAGTGCTACACTACACTACACACATTCGAAGTTGAGTTCAATTGGCACATATATATATATATATATATATATATCAAACAGAAAGTAACAATACGTGCTAATTAATAGTATATATAAGATCAAATTAAATTAAACGGTTGGAAGTCAGTACAGTTTGTGTCCACAACCAACTTAAGTTGCCGCCACCTTCATACATTAGCTAGCTCGATAGGGCGGGCTGGCTGGCTGGCTGGCTGGCTTATTCAGGTTGCATGGCAGTCTTCAATTCTCTGCTCCCAGCTCATACTGCAGCTAGCACCTCATCACATTACTAATTATATATATAATTACACTTGATTCATTCTTTAATTATGAGTCTAGCTTAGGTAAATGAATTAGTAGCATCCTATCATTCATATATGCATGCATACAGTTAATTATAAAATTGTTACCTTGGGAAAACCCTACCCTGCTGCAGGTAATTTCAACTGACGAAGATTCTACCAATGTGGCTAAGTTTGTGTTGCCGCCCTCTTCAAGCCCGTGTAACTAATTAATTATATTGTTAAATTAAACAACACACAGGAAATTAATTAATTGACCAAATCTACTCAACTTAAACTCCAAGAAGAGAACAACTTAAATTAATTAAATGCATGCATGCATGGCATATATATACCTTCTTCTGGAGACAGTTGTTCTCTTCTTGGAGCTCTTTATGCTGCATGCATATATATATATATATATATTAATTAACTTAACTTATTAATAGAAATCATTTCCCTTGATTATCAATGAGAATGAGCTAGGACACTCGGAGTGGAGATCATGCTCATGCATATATACACTGTACGTACCGTCCTCTTGAGATAATTTATGTGGTCAGTGAGAATGCTTCTCTGCAAAAGTAGCAATTAATTAACTATTTGTTTAATTACCTAGGTATGTATTAATAAATAAATGAATTACTTTCTTAGATCGAATGCGGTCAACCCCGACTCGTAGTTGGCGCTCCAATTGCTTCAGCTCTTTCATCCCTAACCCGCTTAGATTTTCCCCAGCTAAATGCCTGTACGTTAATTAATTTGTTATTATACATTCAATTCAATTCAATTCTTAATAATTATTTAGAGTGGATATATGATATATAATTATGTGATGATGAAAAATGAAATAAATTGAATCAATAATAATAATAATAATAATAATAATAATACTAGTATTAAAGATATGTACTTACCTGTCTTTTGCTTCTAGTGCCTCCACCTGTATTCTCAACTCCTCAATTTCATTTCGCCAAGCCTGTCGTACAAATGTTTTAATTACTCAATTAAATAATAGAGTGATTAGCTAGGTAGTAGTAATATAAATTATGAGGTTAATTATGTTGTGTTTTAATTTGTACCTCAAAGGCAGTAATGGGTGCAGGAGCAGAATTAGAAGCAGAAGCATAAGCAGATTGGTGGTGATGATAATCATTAATATTATCTGCAGGGGGAGGAGGAGGAGGCTTGTTGATCCCGAGTTGAATTTTGTATCTGGTAATAGTTCTGTTCATGCTGCAGCAGACCAGCACCGATAGCCAATATATAATTAATTAAGCAGCAAAGCAAAGCAAAGGTAATTAGTAGCTAGTAATGAAATGAATAAAGAAATAAGAACGATCGATGAATGAGAATATTTACTGGTGGCTGGAGAACTGGTAGTGCTTGCCGGAGGGGGAGAAGATGAGGATGGCGACCTCAGCATCGCAGAGGACGGAGAGCTCGAAGGCTTTCTTGAGCAACCCATTCCTTCTCTTGGAGAATGTCACCTGCCTGTTGGTCGGGTTCTCTATCCTCTTCAGCTCCACTTTCCCTCTCCCCATTGGAATGGATAGATATGATCTGCTCCTGCTCCTGCTCCTGCACATCCACTTGTAATTCACATCCACCTGCCCTGCCTTAAGAAACAAGACAACACTAAACTACACCAATTAATTACTCAAGTGATCTGGAGAACAGATCTAATCAAACAGGAACAGGAACAGGAATAAGCCGACCACCTTTGTGTTATATATATACATATACATATAGATACACACAAAAACACCTACACACACATCCACCCTTTATTTACTCGATATGCCGTCCAAAGGTGTACTCAGTTTTATTATTATTATTATTATTATTATTGTTATTTGACTCATGTGTGTAAATAAATAAATAATACGTAGATATTTTTTATATATGGCCCATAATTATGTAAGTCGTTGACGTAAGCATTATTGTGGTAGAAACAGTCGTTTCGTGTGCATAGATCATCTATCTTACAGTATTATACTATTATTACTATGCAGTACCTCTAATTAACATTACCAAAAATAAATGAATATATCCATTAATTTAAGGGAATATGTCCTAGATGCATGTGTAGTCTAGTGAAGTATAGTGTAAGTAGCAGCAAGCTAGCAGCTGTCTCTCTCCCTCTCTCTCAATCCCATATTCATTTAATTTAACTTGTTGAAGCAATCAATTATATAATAATCCTTGTAAATATAATCCTTATTTTTGCCAATTTGAGAGCAGCAGCAGCAGGGAAAGTAAGCATAATCTACATAGATATATATATATATATGTATGTATATAGCAAGACTTTATGAAGACTTGCTAATACAATAATACATTTTGTGATGAGTAAATTAATTAAGTGGAGTGCAAAATTGGGAAAGTAAACCAATAGCTAGCAGTGTGTGTTCTTATACTACTTTTTAATACTAGTATTTTTTATTTCAAGAATTTGAATTGAATAAGATGAATATGAATTGCTCCCATTTATAAAATAGAGAAATGACGAGGATGATGATGCATGTCTTGGCGCGCGGCAATGGCGAAACGAAACGTAATACAAAGCGAGTGTAGGAAGAGGCGAACATGGAGTCGACACGTGCCCCCGCCAATCTTTAAGTCTATTAATTATATTTATATATTATGTTGATTGAGATTTGAGATTTTGATTGAATTGATTGATTGATGGTGAATATTTCATCAATGTGGACTGTGGGAATATGTATGTATGTACGTATATCTATTGTGCACAACACACAACACTACACTACACCACACAACACTCACCGCCAAAGACAAATTAACGGGTACGGGTACGGGTACTACCGCTACTAAATACTACTATCACTACTACGACTCTGCTGTTCCTACTTTATAAATATATACACACATTTAGATTAATTTTGGATGGATGATTTGGGATTTTTGTTATAATTTTGTGTTATCACCTTCTTGGCTGGAATTTTTATTTAATTTATACATATATATATATATATATGTTAATGAAGGTGCTTTAATTTGTATATGTTTTCTTATCTGATAGGGATCATGTCATTAAAATAAATAAAGATTTGTTTGTTTTGGATGTTGGGATGAATGTCTTTTCTTTCTTTTTTTTAAATATAAATTTATATAAGTAACATAAAAAATAATATTTTTTATTAAATTTTGAAATTTTTGTGATATATATATATATGTTGTCTTTTAATAATATTAAAAGAGAATTGAGTAAAAAAATAGTTGGATGGACACATATGAATAATAATGATAAAATTCTTATTCTATGCTAATTTACTTTACAGTAATCAATCAGTCCGCACTAGTTTTGTCTTTGTGGACTCGCCACAACATCATATCATTCGTTTTTTGACCAACTTATTATAAAATTCTATTCTATTCAATTTTAATTAATTCAAACACACATACCTATATATATATATATATATATATATATTATAGAGTGTGTAGTGATTTTCATTTGGAAAATCTTTTATTTTGAGACCACTTTTCTCTTTAATTTATTTTTTTCTCAGTGAGAATTGATGGGTGATGAAAACTGAAGCCATGAGGATATTTACCAACAAACTTACTTATAAATAAAAAGAAAAGTGAAGGGACATTGACATTGACATTGGTGGTCCACTTTGATCGATCCATCTCTTGAGTCGTAAATGTGGTTGGACTTATCCTATCCCATTCTGACCTTTTTCTTTTTTTACCTTTCCACTTTTCACTATGAAAATTCCGTGCCTTAGCTTCAATGAATCACAAGGGCCAACATACATACCATTGATTACACTCCAATTCATTAATAAATAATAATACAATATTAGTCAGTAGCTCAAAATAAATAACTCAATTTTATTATTATTATCAGTCAGAGCAGAGTGGGCTTTGAAATTGGAACGTTTGGGTAATGAGATAGGGAAATAGGAACCGGCCGACATTACCCTAACCCAGCCCACTACTGTAAATATTCCTTGTCCGTTTGTTTGTTTGTTTGGGTTGATAGTGATCAAATCAAAATAAGAACAACCGGGGCGGGGTGGGCGGTGCTACGTGTTGAGGCGCCATTGCTGATTCCGACGGGGGCATGCAACCTTACATATTAATGGATGGATGAACGTAAGGAAGCAACCTATCTGGCACCTCATCTCATCCGTTTCTGTACCGTTGCATTGTCTCTTCTCAATCTCAATCACAATCACATCCCCTCTCCTCCGCGCGCCCCGGAAACCAATTCAATTCCCAGAATATTCATCCAGAACCAGGATTAGGGAATTGAGGTGCTTTTTTTTTTTTTTTTTTTCCAAGGCTGGAAGAAGAAGAAGAGGAAGGAGAGAGAGTAACATAAATAAGGAAAACGGATTCCTCGTTGGCTAATCGTCATTCATTTTCCCGGTTAATGGTAAAGCTTTCATTTCGTTAGGTAAATACGTGTCTGTGTGTATTTTTTATGGTTTCCTGGTGACTGTTGGATTGAGATGGCCGAAGATTTGTTTGATTTTGAGTACTTTCTGAGGTGATCGGATGCATTTTTTGATAGATGCGATGAATGATTTTTAGGAGGCGAGCTGTTGCAATTGATCGAGCACAATGCCCGGGAGTCAAGGGGGTTCATCGTCGCGAAGATGCTCATTGTTGGGGAGCTCATTGTCTCAGGGCAGGAAAAAAGGCGCCGCTAGCATAAACGGTGCCGCCGGTGGGGCAGTTGGAGATTCCCCTCGTAGCCGAAAATCTTTAACCGCTTCCCGCTCCATGTATGTTCTGCCCCCTTTTATTTTAAGCATTGATTTGATCTGAGATGCTTATTAATATTCCTTGCCATATAGAACAATGTTCGTGCCTAATGTAATGCTGTTTAGTTTGTATATATAATGTTATGCAATGGAATCGTATCCACCATTGTTTTTTTGAAGCACAACTGAATCCGTTTATCATGAAAAATAGAAGTGAAAAAGCATTAGCTTCCTTGTTCAACATGTACATGAAAAAGGACCACAACTACATATTCACATAACATATCACCTTGAGCAGACATACATTTTTGTGTAAACCTGTTTCATTAATTTTAAGGATGAGCAGAGCACAAAAATTTGTGTTTCATCTTTTATTGGCTCCTCGGTGATGCAAGGGGATGTGGGCAACACAATAATCTCTCATGTAACTACATTGTGATTTGAATGATCAATCACTTCACTCATATATATATATATATATATATATATCTACTTGCAACAGGGGACTCAAAGGCGATCGGACAGTGAAGAGATTGCGGCTGTTAAGAGCCTTGACATTACCTGATAGTACAAACATCAAGGAAGTGTGTCGTCGAATGGCTGCACATAAAGTTGATGCTGTGTTGCTTACAGATTCAAATGCATTGCTATGTGGAATCCTGACAGACAAGGTATGGTCTGAATAACGATGGAACGATTCCCCCCCCCCCCCCCCCCCCCCCCCCACCTTGGGGTTCCTTACAATTTGACTGACTTAAAATGATGAATATGTTGGGTAATGTGGCGTTGTTACGAATAAAGGATATAGCTACTAGAGTGATTGCTTGCGAGGTTAATCCTGAGGAAACACCCGTTTCCAAGGTTATGACAAGGAACCCTGTGTTTGTGCTTCCTGATGCTCTTGCTGTTGAAGCCTTGCAAAAGATGGTTCATGGTAGGTTTTAAATTCATGATGCTCAATCTATGTAGCACTTCATCAACCTTTATCTTTCTTTTGTTTTGGTCTTTCTAAGTTGTATACAATTGTCTGCAGGAAAGTTTAGGCATTTACCTGTTGTCCAGAATGGAGAAGTTGTTGCTCTGCTTGACATTATAAAATGTTTGTATGATGTCATTGCTCGTATGGAGAGGGCAGCTGAGAAGGGAAAGGCGATCGTAGCTGCTCTTGTAGGTGTTGAGAAACAATGGGGATCATCAGGATCTGGTCAGCAGATTATGTTTCATATTCTATTAGTAATTTACATCCAAACTCTGTAAACTTATATCGAATGGCCATTTTTACGGCCCTCATATGTTTTTGTAGAAGGCCATATTATCTGATCATCCTATCCTATATATGCTTTTACAAACTCTAGCTATATATGTTTGGAGCCCTTTCTGTAATCATATACTGTTCTTTCTATAGAATAAGAGAAACTTTACCTTTTTCCCCAAATTTTGAACAAATATTTTTGATCAAATCTTGCAAGAATGGGTATTCATCAAGTAAACAATTAGTGACATACTCTATATACATTCAGTTTTGTTAAGGTTGCTTTGTACCAAGTTGTTGTTAACATCACTTTACCAGTCATATTAATGGATACATACATATTCAACTTTTTCATATGCAGGCCCCAACACATTCATTGAGACACTTAGAGACCAGATATTTGGTCCCTCTTTGTCTACAATAATTCCTGAGAATTCAAAGTAGGTAATACATTTACTTGTGCTATAATTAGTATTATGAATATATTTGTCCGCTGGTATATAATTGAAGTTCTTCCATGTTTTTTTTCTTTAGGATGGTTGAACTTGATCCCAGTGAAACAGTGCTAACTGCAGCAAAAAAGATTTGTGAACTTGAAGCAAGTTGTGCTATTGTGACAACAGAGAACAAACCTCGAGGAATACTCACGTGAGTTAAAAGAATTGTCACCTTAGCATGCTGTGGACAAAACTAATAAAATATATATATATATATATAGCAACTGTCTGAATTTTAACCTTATTATTCTCTCTCTCTCTATGTATAATTAGTTCAAAAGATATGCTAATGAGAGTCATAGCTCAGAATCTTCCACCAGATTCCACTCCAGTAGAGAAGGTATTTCTCTACCATTGCCTATAAACTTCACAAAAATATATATTCATCTTATGCTGGTCCTTCTACTTCAATGTTTTAAGTGTTAGTTTATCTTGATAATCTATCATTTGGTAATCTATATATATGTGTGTATGTGTGTGTGTCTTTTAGCCATTACATTGCACAAATTGAGGAGTAATTTGACTTGTAGCATTTTTCTCTCTCCAATCCCTCAATTAATAATAAAATCCAGGTGATGACTTCAAATCCAGTTTGTGCAAGAATTGATTCGCCAATACTTGATGCTCTCCATATCATGCATTCTGGGAAATTTTTACACCTTCCGATTGTTGATAGAGGTTAATATATATGCTTCCACTACCTTCCTCGATCATAATAAGTATACAATATTTTTTATTATTTATCTTTATTTTTTTGCCTGATAAGCTGAACTCAGGTGTCATATATTATTCATTCAGATGGACTGCTTGTGACTGTTGTTGATGTGCTTCAAATTACCAATGCTGCTGTGTCCAAAGTAAGTAGTTGCATCCATTATTTTCTTATATAGTCCTGAACCTCATGTGCTTAATTAAAAAGATCTCTAAAATGTTATTACCACCCAATTTTGAATTACTTGTACTGCAGGTTGGCATTACTACTACTGGGATTAGTAACGAGACTGCAAGCACCATGATGCAAAACTTTTGGGACTCTGCAATGGCATTAAGCCCAGATGATGGGGATGACACTATGAGGTTGTGGCAGGCATTGTGATTATTGTGCTCGACACATTCAATTCATTAATATCTTCTACACTATATTGTATTTGTATGTTTTTCATTTATTGACATGTATGTGTATTTTTGTTGGGATGATGGGCGTGCTGCAGTGACATACGGTCTGATGGAGGAGAGACAGTTGCTCTTTCACAGTATTCTTCTACTAGTTTCATCTTCAAGATTCAAGACAGGAATGGCAGAATGCATAGGTTTATATGCGGTATGTATGTCCCATATAGAGAAAAGTACTACCTATCTAAGAAATGTAGTTTGAAGAATTCATAATATTACTATTATTGTGGTGCGCAGAGACACAGAGCTTAACTGACCTTGTAGCAGCCATCCTTCAGAGGATAGGAACGGACATGGACTACAGAAATGTTCCTCAAATTATGGTATATATCCCTCCCTCCCTCCCTCAATTGTTTATTTAATTTGAGAGTCATGAATTGATCATATATAATTATTAATGACTAGAGAGGAGAGTAGTTATTAATTATATATAAGGGTGGCAATGGCATTGCAGTACGAAGATGAAGACAAGGACAGAGTGATACTTGCATCGGACAGTGATCTTCAAGCCGCCGTACACCATGCAAGGCTTATTGGTCTGAAGGTGCCTGCCTGCCTGCCTAATTTATTCCTTCTTCTTCTTCTTCTTCTTCTTACTAGATCATCGACCAGGTTATCTTTCTTAATTTATAATTCGAGAGTCAGTCAGTCAGGCAGGGTGACTATATCTATATCTTTTTTATTTATATATCCAATAATTAAATAATGCAACGCAACGCAACGCAACAGGGATTGAGACTATATATAGAGTTTCCGGGATCTGGCCGCCATCAGAATCATAGAAAGGCTGCAGGAGGAGGCTCGAGCTCAGGAGACAGCAGCAGCAGGCTGAGATATGCATCATCGTCGTCCTCGCCATCCCCAACGTCATCGTCATCATCGTCAACATCAGTATACAGCGCTGTTGCAGCTGGAGCTGCACTTCTTGCTGGTTTAAGCGTCTATGCATTCATGAAGAGGGCTGCTGCTGGTTGATGAATATTCATCCATTTTATATACATATCTACCATTAAAGAGTCACTCAGCCAGGCCAGACCCAGACCCAGACCCAGACCCATACCCATACCCAGAGATGCATTAATTCTGCAGAATTGATGATGATGATCAGTTACATATATGTATGTACTGTGTGTGGATGGAATTGTTGATTTGATTATGATCAAAAACGAAGTTGAGATCTAGTAGTAAGTAATTAGGATGATACCACGTTGTAGGAGACAAGCGCGTATGTTGATTACTAAGACATTGACAGACACTACTATAGTACTGTAACAGCATGCCCGAAATTTATTACTAGTGTATCATCATCATCATCTTATGTAGCAACAATTGTATGTTCATGATTTTGGATTGAGTTGAGTAATCTGATGGGAAGGAACAAAAACAAAAGTTATGGGTCCATTTAGTAAAGTGGAGATCTAATAATAATAATTAGTAATGAATATTTAAATAAAGTTGTGGTGTGTATCCGTGATTTAAGATTGGATGGGCCACAAATCTATATATATGCTGTCGGTGGTGAGTGAATGAATATATATATATATATATATTATATTAATCTTTATACATTTGGACAAACTTTTGAAAGCAAAGGAAAAAACACTAATAAATATCTATATGACCACTACTAATGTAGTAAGTGGCAATACGCACGATCCAGGGAGGGGAGGGGAGCATATGCAGACTACATAAAACAACAGTAAGCAGTGTAGTGCAAATTGGACACGTACGTTTCAAATCATTACATCATTGCTTCTCTTACTACTATCTACCCCATGCTGGCCCTCCTAATTTAATTGATCCATCATTTCTTTCATGTTCATTGTGATTTGTGCCCCCAAAGTAAAAGTGGATAGAATAAATAAAAGTAGCCGGCCACCCAGCCCTCTTTGATGCCACTACTGACAACTAAAGTGACCACCCCCTCCCTCCCTCCACAAATTAAATAAAAACAAGAAGCGCTTTGCTGTGTTGAGGACAATCATCCACTGGACTGACCGACTGACTGACTGGTAAAAGAATTTGGCTGCGGAAGCCAAGCCATCCATCCCCCCATTGGCAAATGGCAATGGCGTTGAGTTTGCAGTTCCAAATCAAGAAAATGGCAACTACTGCTGTCTTCGTGCTTCTCCTACTTTCAACTATGTGTCGACACACCCACCAGCAGCAGCAGCAGTCGCCCATCAAGACTGTGGTGGTTTTGGTCCTGGAGAACAGGTCTTTCGATCACATGCTGGGATGGATGAAGTCGTCCGTGAATCCCTCCATCAATGGGGTCACCGGAAAAGAGTGCAACACACTGTCAACGAACCCCAACTCCTCTTCTTCAACCGAAAGAATCTGCTTTTCCGACGATGCTGAGTACGTGGATCCAGATCCAGGCCACTCCTTCGAAGCTGTTGAGCGCCAGGTCTTCGGGTCCACCTCAACAATCCCTTCAATGTCTGGCTTCGTGGAGCAAGCATTCACCATGTCCGCTAACCTATCCCGCACCGTTATGAAGGGATTCAGGCCTCAAAATCTCCCCATCTATGCCTCTTTAGTCAGTGAATTTGCTGTGTTCGACAGGTGGTTTTCATCGATTCCTGGCCCAACCCAGCCCAACAGGTTGTTTGTGTACTCCGCCACTTCCCATGGCTCCACAAGCCATGTGAAGAAGCAATTGGCTAAAGGGTACCCGCAGAAGACCATCTTTGATTCCCTCCATGAAAATGGGTTGGATTTTGGGGTTTATTTCCAGAACATTCCCACCACATTGTTCTATAGGAATCTGAGGAAGCTCAAGTACATATTCAAGCTCCATCCTTATGATTTGAAGTTCAAGAAAGATGCTAGGAATGGGAAGCTGCCCAGCTTGTCTGTGATTGAGCCTAGGTACTTTGATTTGAAGGGCATGCCCGGGAACGACGATCATCCATCCCACGATGTTGCCAATGGACAGAAGTTAGTGAAGGAGGTCTACGAGGCTTTGAGGGCTAGCCCTCAATGGAATCAGACGCTTCTGATCATTACATACGACGAACATGGTGGGTTCTATGATCATGTCCAAACCCCTTATGACAATGTCCCTAATCCGGATGGGAACACCGGCCCTTCCCCTTATTTCTTTAAGTTTGATAGGCTCGGAGTTCGAGTGCCTACGATCATGGTGTCACCTTGGATCAAGAAAGGGACTGGTAATTAATATAATGTTTACATCATTCGAGCATACATTGCTTGATTGTGATACTTTTCTTGTTCTGGTTTGCTGTAGTGATAAGCAAGCCTAATGGGCCGACACCCGAATCTGAGTACGAGCATTCTTCTATCCCCGCCACCATCAAGAAGATGTTCAATCTTTCATCCAATTTCTTGACTCACCGCGATGCTTGGGCTGGCACGTTCGAGCAAGTTGTTAGTGAATTAACATCTCCAAGAACTGATTGCCCCGGTAGCTACATTACACTCTATTTCTCCTTGCAGCTCCATTACATATATATGTACGTATATTTGGTTGCAACGAGCAGAGGAAGAAGCAAGCGACAACAGTAGAAGAAAATGATCTCATTACAATGTGTGTGTGTATGTTTGCAGAGGTATTACCTGATGTGGCACCTCTACGAAGAGGTGAGGCAGACGAAAACAGGGGACTATCGGAGTTTCAAGGGGAGGTTGTCCAGTTGGCTGCCGTTCTTAACGGGGACCATTTTTTGAGCAGCTTCCAGGATGAGATGGGGAAGAAGATGAACGTGAAGGAAGGATATGAATATGTAAGGGGCACCGTTTCGAGGTTCATTAGAGCTAGCAAAGAAGCGATCAAGTTGGGTGCGGATGAGTCGACCATTGTGGACATGAGGTCCTCTTTGACCACTAGATCAAAATCTGATCATCCTTCCACAACTAGAACCTAGATCCATCCACCCATCCATCAATTTTAGTTTTGGCTAATGCTGAGTAGTGAGTGAGTGAGTGAAGGAAGACTTGGGTTGTAGAGGAAAAAATGAAAACAAAAAGAGTTCTTTTAAGCTCAAAGTGTAGTTTGTGTTCATGTATGTATGTATCAGTGACTTACTGAGTATGAAGATGATCGGATTGTTCTTTCCCTTCCTCTTTTTCTATTTGGAATATATAATTAAATGAGATGTGATTTTCTGTTCATAGCTTCTTTTTTATAATCAACATGGTCAGTCGGAATTCATCAACAAAACTGGATTGATGAATTCCCACTTGCCAGGTCGGACTGTCACTGCTTTTGATGACCAGGGAACTTGTTTTGATCTTGAATGCTGGTGCTGGTGAGATTTAAATCATTGAGGTCAGCGCTTGGTAGTCTGTCGAGATCAAATGAAATTAAGTGAAAAGTGTTTGGTGAGCAACTCTATCAACACCATCATTTCTAGCTCAACTTCCATGCAACAACTTCCTACCCATCTCCATATTTAAAAGTCCACACCAATCCCCTTCCTCCTTCAGCCAGCGAAAATGGCCAGCAAGAAACCACAGGAAGATCAACGTGCCGGTGCAGAGATCATCCACGGCGCCGAGGAGTGCTACAACCACTCGCTGACACTCCTCAATGACCTCGGATTCCCCAAAGGCGTGCTGCCCCTCAAGGACCTGGAAGAGTGCGGCTTGGTGCGCGGAACACGGTTTGTGTGGATGAAGCAGAAGGCCCCCTACGAGCATTTCTTTGCGGGCACGAACACCCTGGTGAGGTACGACACCGAGGTGACTGCGTACGTGGAGAAGGGGAAGATGAAGAAGATGACAGGTGTGAAGAGCAAGCAGCTGTTTCTGTGGGTGCCCATTGTTGAGATGAGCATTGAGGAAAGTAGTGGGGGGGTGGACAGGATTTACTTCAAGACTCCAATGGGGGTGGGGAAGTCTTTTCCGATCACCGCTTTCATGGATGCTGATGAAGAAGAAGAAAAGGAGAAGGAGAAGCACTTGGATACAGTTGCCGAGTAGATTTGATTGATTGATTGATTGAACGAACAAATTCTTCACCACTTTCTTGTCTTGTTTCATTTCACGTGGGAAGGAATTTACCTCTTACTTTGTTGTTGCTGTTACATTCATTTGGCAAATGCTGCAGATGTCTTAAAAAATATGTACTTGTATATTTCTCAGCTGCCAGTTGGGGCCCCGATGATGATATCCAAAAACTAGGGAGTACTTATGGATTACGAACAAATATAGGGGTTTAAATGAAACAACCAAACCCTCTAGGGAACCGCCCGTATAAAACCCTAGAGAACAAAATTTGTGTCTCTTCTTCATTCCCAGTGACTCGACACCTCGGGCGCAGAAAAGCCTCTGTGAGTCTTACACGACCGCAGCAATATATCTATATTGGATCTGTTTATTTGTTCTTGTTACGTTAATCTGATGTGAATCTGGCTGTGCCGTTTCGTTTTTCTCCTGGAAAAAAACTCAATCTTGTGTTTTTGGGCGTGGTTAACAGGTGACATTTAAATCTTTGTCATTAAGCAATGGCAGTTGTTTTTCACGCCCTCAACACAGAGACTGGGCTCAAAAAGCTTGATGAGTACCTTTTAATCCGCAGTTACATTACTGGGTGAGCGCTGCTTGGCCTCTTTCATTTGATTGTGCTGTTGGTATTAAAGGATAGTTCTTGGGATATTTCACTGTGCGCTGATGACCTAAACTTTGGAACATGCATGAGAAAGCTGTACCTGACTAGATTCGGATTAGTTTGCATTCCGAACCAATACTAGATGCACTGATGTATGTATTGAATAGTTATTTTATACTAATAATGTATGAGCAATGAAGCAATCAGTAATTTGTTGGTTGATCTATTTCTTACAAAATCAAAGAGGCTACACGGCTATTTCTTATATGAGTATCTTATGCTTAATTGGCTCCGGAAGGACTTTGAGCAATTTTGTTCCAGATGCTGCAATATATTTGGCAAGAGAATAAAAATGACACATCTTGGTTCAGTGGGATATCTGAATTATCAATAATGCATATTTTATTTGCCAATTTGTTTAGTCATTATGAATAAATGCTTTTTTTAAAAGCTTCCATTCCTTGGTCCAGGTATCAGGCCTCCAAAGATGATCTCACAGTTCATAGTGCCCTTTCAAAGCCTCCACCATCTAGCTACATAAATGTTTCGCGGTGGTACAACCACATAGAAGCTTTGCTGAGGATCTCGTATGTTCTTCAAAGTTTATATCATATTCTTATAAACTAGAATTATATAGGCTTGCTTATTTGGTTGTTTGATCCTTTGCAGAGGAGTTTCTGGTGAAGGAAGCGGTGTAACTATTGAGGGATCAGCTCCAGTCACTGAAGCTGTTGCAACTCCCCCAGCAGCAGACAGTAAGGCAAGATATATGAATACATTTTACTGTTATATAGTATCTTAAATTTTCTGACAATGGCAATCCCCTTGAAATGCCTCTGTTCAATATGTAGATAGTTGTCATGCCATTTTTCACTTATAGAGTGATGGTGCCTTAGACTCATCTCTTTAGAGTCTGATTGAATCTCCCGAAGCTTAACAACCATATTTATGTGATGAAATGTGAATTACAGGCCACAGCTGCTGACGACGATGATGATGATGATGTAGATTTGTTTGGTGAGGAGACTGAGGAAGAAAAGAAGGCTGCTCAAGAACGTGCTGCTGCGGTCAAGGCTGCCTCAAAGAAGAAAGAATGTATAAGAAATGCTTTTCCTCCTTTGCTTTGTCATGAATTTTCCATTCATTATTTGAAAATATTAGTTAGTTTAATTTTACTCCTATTCAAATTTAGGTTCCCTGATAGGACATAGAACATGAATCTGTAGGATGCCATATTTTGAGCTCCCATATATTTATTCATCTTCTGACCACCATACCTGTCTTCAATGCAATGTTCCTTTCAGCGGGGAAGTCATCGGTGCTCTTGGATGTGAAACCATGGGATGATGAAACTGACATGAAAAAGCTTGAAGAAGCTGTTAGAAGTGTGCAGATGGATGGCCTTCTTTGGGGAGCGTGTAAGTTTTTCACCTTTATTTACATTACTCTGTAAGGGTGCTTGACATGGAAGAGGAATCCTTTGAGGAGGCATTGCTGTTTTAATTCGTATTTATTTATGGTGTAATAACCTTGCAAGAATGACAACTAAAAGCACAATGGGAATGGGTTGTTTTCAGCTAAACTTGTCCCTGTTGGGTATGGCATTAAGAAGCTGCAGATTATGATGACCATTGTGGATGATTTAGTTTCTGTGGACAACCTCATCGAGGATTATCTTACAGCTGAGCCAATTAATGAGCATGTTCAGAGTGTTGACATTGTGGCCTTCAACAAGATTTGTAAGTGTCTTATTGTACTGTTTTTATTCAGTTATTCTCACTGATTTGTTCTCAGTTCACAGAGAAACTTGCTTACAATGTCCAGTTTAACTGAAACTAGGAGAGTTTGTTTGAATTTTCCAGCAGCGGTGAAATATTTAAAAACCCGACATCAATTTCACCCCAAAATGACATTTTAACACCTAACTGCACAAACCATTACATCAAAAAATTATTATCTCCTGCATAGATTTTACATAAAAACACACTAAAAATTTTGTAAGCTGCTATCATTTCTCATCACAACAAAAAGCCTTGAAATTTCTGTTTTCTTGTGTAATTTTATAAACTCAAGTCACATTGCGGGGTAAGAGCTGCCAGGAAATTTCTGCCTCCATATTCTTTGTGATTCTCATGCTGGTTCCCTCCTTTCTAGAGAACCATTCAATTCAATCTTTTGCATCTATCTTGGAACAATTCTGGCATTTTATGACCTCATAGTGTTTATTAAGAGGTGTGCAGGTGCATGATGATAGTTATCATATTTATTTTATTGTCCCTCACCTGTAACTTTTATCGTTGCAGAAGAGATCTACCGGATGGAGTTGCTGCGGAGTCTATGCTATCTAAATTGTCATTTTTAAAGAGTCGGAACTGCTAAATTATGATGTGGGTTATTTGCGTGAGTCTGTGAGACCATGGGATTAGAGCGGTTCTGGGGGGTCAATACCCAACGCCTATCATCCAAGTAGAGTAGTCATGGTGTCTTTTTGTGATGGAATGAATGAATGTTACATGAAGAAATGAAGGGAAAGTGGAATATGCATTATTTAGAGTGTGGTGTGGTGTTGTTAACTTACTGCTTTGCGAATGGTGAGGATGATTATATAGTATTAATATGTTGTTATTATATATTATATGTATGAGCATCCAGTGCAAGGTTAAACTTTTTGAGTTAGATGGGTATGATTTGCGTGCTTGCTGCTGTCAGCTGTGGGAATGAGTGAACGAATTTGTTCTTGTTCTTATCAAAGACTTCGTCTGGATATAGATATAGATTTATTGAAGTTTTGAAATTTTAAAAGTAAGTAATACATTATGCTTTTGTAAGAAAAACAGGGGGAAAAATCAATTTTGGTCCCAATATAAAAATTTCATCAATTTTGGTTCCAATCTCAATATAAAATTTATCAATTTTGGTCTCAAGCTTGACCATTACAATAAATTTAAATTTTTGTTATATTTTTAATTTTTTTAATTTAGAATAGTTGATATAGTTAAAATAAAAAAAAAATATCAATAATAATTATAATATAATTAAAATATATCAATTTTAGTTCAAATAAGTATTTATAGAGTATGTTTTTTTGAAAAATTTTGTCTAAAATTTTAAGATTTTGTCCATTTTAACTGTATCAATTATTTTAAATTCAAAATAATTTTCTTTTTTATAAAAAATATAATAAGAAAATAAAATTTTAAACTAAATCAGAAATGTACATAGCTATGTATAATTATACACTAAAATATACATGGTCATGTGACAACATGACCGTGTATAATTGTACATGACCGTGTAACAACATGACCATATATAATTATATACTGAAATATACATGACCATGTAACAACATGACCGTGTATAATTGTATATGGCCTTGTACTTTATAGGTCAACTGTCATATCCACGTCAGCAATTTCTGTTAGTTTTTTTAACGGTGAGACAAAAATTAATTAAAATTGTTTATAATTGGACCAAAATTGATTAAAATTGTTTATATTGGGACTAAAATCGATGAATTTTTTATATTATGATTATATTAAAAGCAAAATTAATTTTTTCCCCGAAAAAAATTTAGTATACATGTCATTTGATTTATTATTATTAGTACCTCCATCATTTAAAAAAAAGAGAGGATATAGTAGCATTTTGTACATGCGTTTATTAACTCGAAAGAGGAAACGACGTCGTATGTCCGAGGAGGTGACTGCTATTATGCTTTTTGTAGAATCCCTCTCGCTCAACCAAACTGTTAAAAATAAAAATAATCCTGCCGCGCTGCTTTGCTCTGGTGGTTTTCTCCCAAATTTCTATACTTGCGGGAGGCTGCAGCCGGGATCAACGCTCACAGGACACATGCCGAAGAGAACCACGCATACGTATTCCAGCGAGGATGCTTTGCCTGATGGTCCTGACTCCGATCTATTCGTTTACTACTGCAAGCATTGCGGCGCCCATGTCCTCATCACCGGTAAATTCTTTTTTCATCAGTTTCTTCTTCTTTCATACTCGTCTGCTTCACCGTATTGATTCCCTCTGTGAAGTTGTTTTCTTGCGTTCTTCTGAAAAGACAAATTACTTTGACGCCTTTAGTGTGATTTCTACTCATTATCCCAAACAGTTCTAGTTTCAATCCTGTTGCGTTGATTACTACCCAAGTTAAGTTTCAGCGCACTAAAGTATTCGTTTAGATACACAATTGCAGAAAATGCCCAAGAGAAAAACAGACAAATCGTATGTTTTGGATAGAAAGAAACATCTAGCACGACTGAACACTAGCGAAGCGGGAAAGGTTCTCTTAAAGCGGTGAGCTTTTGTTGACATATGCTCTTTTAAGTAAGGCTTCAAAGCTTTGTCCTTTCAAATTTTTTGCGGTAATGCTCTTGTGCAATTTACAATAAGTCATAATTTTTGGTTGCTAACCCAACGACAACAGACTTATAGTTGAAAATATTTATTTAGAAAGGAATTGATCTATCGCAGAGCTGGTCTAACTGCTTGCTCATTTTCTTTAACATTCACCTGATGATGCTGGAAATTGAAAGAATAGCATTCAAAAGCTGCTTTCTTGATCTTGCATCGAACAAACTTTTGTTTTTACTCTTCCAGACTATAGAAGGATTTCCTGGATTGAATAATTTTCCTGTTGGGACTTATTTCTCTGTGTTACCAAATCAGGTTTAATTCCTTAATAAATTTTGTCAACCTTGTAAAAAGGGACGATTTAATGGGTGAGTTCTCCTCTGTGTGTAATTTAAAGACCCTAATCTCTCCAAACCTGTTTGACTACTTTAATACTGAAAATTCTTTGATGAAATAAATGATATTTGAAAGAAAAAATTGTTTCCGTACACTTTTTAGGAGTTGACTTTTATGGTTTCATTCAGCTATGTAGAAAATATGCTTGATGTTGAATCGTGTTTCTCTCAGGATTGTGTAATTACTTCTGATTAATGACAAAATGGAGATGGTATATTGATTTATCTTACTCTACCTTTTTTCCTGTTATTGTGGTGCTCTTTTTTCAGTGGTGAAGGAAAATTCGAGAGGCAGTATCGAATGAATTGTGTTGGTTGTGAGCTTTTAGTTTGCTACCGTGCCGAAGAGGAGTTGGAATCTTCTTCTTTGATCTATGTTGTTGATGGTGCACTCAGTACAATTGCTGCCGAAACAAATCCACAGGTAGCAATTATTGATATCTTACAGTACTTATTCATTTAAAGTCCTCTTTCCATCATCAATAGTTATCTTCTTTAAACTGTATTTCTAACTTTACTGTATGCTATAGGATGCGCCTGTTCCACCTTGCATATCACAATTGGAGGGTGGCCTTGTTCAAGTGGCCATAGAAGTGGAAGACCGTGCACAACGATCGGCAATTATAAGTAACTCATTTTCCTTGTTTCCCTCTTAGTTGTTGGATAATCTACCTCTATTTCATTACTGAGAGATATGAAGACACTTATCATATGGTCTTGCATGGTTAATAACTTGTTATCTTTTGTTTTTGTCATTTGGGTCATCTGTATTAGGTGAATCCCTGCATCTATTGCTTATAGATGTTTCAGATTATCAACATTATCTTTCTCTCTTGTGTAATAGAAGTTTGATGTCTCAATTACAGATAGACATGAACATGCTTATGATCTTGTGTGGTTTGTAAGTTTATATCTTCTCTTATTATCATTTAGGTCATTGGGTGAATTTTAGAATCTATCTGTATGAATGTTCATAATATTACCATTATCTTGCTCTGTCTACTAATATGAACTGGCTATGTGATAATTAAAAGCATGATATCATAATTATTGATAGACATGAATCTTCTTATTATTTTCTGTGGCTTGTATTCTTGCCATATTATGTTTTAACTATTTAGATCCTTGTTTTGGTTAATTCTGTTATCTTGTAATCACAAATTTTTCAGATATTTAACATCATCCTGTTCTCTCAATTACTCTGAACTGGTTATGAGGTGATAAGATGTTTGATATTTGCAAAGTTCACCGTATAATTAATTGTATTTTTGATACCACTCATGGGAGAGGTACCCTATTGAGGGGTTTTTAAGATATGTGGGGAAAAAAAAAAAAGTTCAATCATCATGTTAGTGGCTCTTTTGTAACAGATTTTGCCAGTTTTGGGTTACCAATATGATGGATTAAGGTTAACTCTATTACATGTTATATTACATGATAGTTTCCCTTGATAAGTCATCATATTTTTTTTTTTTTACTTTAACTTCAGGAGTAAATGCTGATGATGTTCGAGTTACTGTAGCTGCACCTGCTGCACGAGGAGAAGCTAACAATGAACTTTTAGAATTTATGGGAAAAGTATGTCAATGGTCTATTCTAAGTTCTGTTCAGGGGTTACCTTTCAGTTTATAAATTGAACAAGCTGGATTTATTGAAACAGGTCTTGGGTCTGAAGTTGAGCCAGATGACTCTCCAAAGAGGATGGAATAACAAATCCAAGCTCCTCGTTGTAAGTTTGACAGTGTGTGTTTTGTTCATATGCATATATTGTGTGTTCCTAATGTGTTTGAGCGGTCTATTTTCTCTATGTTATCTTTGAGTTGAAGCCAACATGAAATTTCTATATGCTTTATATACAACATTTGGCGGTAAAGGTTAGTGGTCATTGTATCTTAAGATCAAACTATGCAATAGCAGAAACAATGATATGCATTACTTTTGCATGTATTAGTTAGCCGAAAAATAAAATTGAAATGAATAGAGAGAACCAAGCTCCCCCTAAAGCAAAAGAGAAAGGGCAAATAAGAAATCAAAGAGGTGCCTAAAGGGTGGGGGCAATCTGGGTAGGAGATGGTGTTGATTGTGTGTCTGGGCAACTTACATAGAGATGAGAGTAGGATGTGTTTGGAATGTTTTTGTTGGTCTGTGTTTTAGGATTTTTTAAGTTGAGAGAAACATGAATGAACCGAACCAATCAGTGTGTTGCTACTGTAGTGGCATGTTCATTGTCGAACCATATATAGTACAAGAAGTAGGGCATGTAATTGTTGGCTGCCTGAAAGGAAAGCCCATGTGTGTGTTCTCTTGTTTTGTTTACGATTCATTCTATGAATGTGGGTGGGTGGTGCAGGTGGAGGACATGACAGCGAGACAGGTGTACGAGAAGCTGCTGGAAGCAGCACAACCTTGAGCTGGCATGGCATACGGCGATGATGATATACATACATACATACATACATACATTTGCTTGGGACCTTAATGTGCTGTGGCAATCAATATTGGTTTATTTGATTTCATAATTCCAGGGCACAAACAACCACCAGCTAAGATTTAGTTTGAGATGCATGCATGCATCACCCCCACCGCCATCCTAGCCTAGCTGACTGTCTGACAGTATTATCCTTCTTATCCTGTTTCCTTGGATTTTGGATGTTGATCTTGATTTTGGTCTTGTCTTGTGTGGTGTGATTTCTCTATTGGAATAGACGATGGATGGGGCATATATGTTAATCGAGATTGGTACGTGGTGTGCTTGGAAACCACAAATTAGTATTGTATTTGTATTGTTTCGGAGTTGAAGACGTTTTTTGATATCTGGATACTATTTTATTAGTATTATTATTATTATTCTTTGTTGTGTTTAGGTGTTAAAAGTAGCAGAAAGGTAGCAAGTGTTGGAAATGGTGTGGCGCGCTCACACACATATATCTAATACTACTTACTACATAATATATATATATAGGTAAAGTGAATGGATGATAAAATATTGGCTGATGAATTTTGCCTAACCCACTCTACTTGGAGTTCGGTAGTGAAGTGGAAGTGATGAGTATTTTATTAGTGGCAGATTTGGAGAAGCTTTGCTTGACATTGGTCCTTTTATTAAATTAAATGATTTTCCGGGTTGTCTTGCCTTGTCTTATCGTGTCCATCGGGCTACGGTAATAAACAAGTAATTACTTCTATTAATTAACCATGATTGGAATGGAGTGAACGGGCCTAATTACCATCTCTCTCTCCCTCTCTGTGCCTGTTTGAGTGACGACAAATGAAGAATCAAAGAAATGATGCCATCCATCCATCCATCCATCCATTCATTGCTTTAATTAATATACAAAACGACAAAAACCTACAACGAACACAGCAGCAGCAGCAGCAGCAGCAGCGCGTGTCCCTTGCGATTTCGCATTACTATATATGCTACCACTACTGTCTATTTATGTTATACAATAATTAATTAATTAATTAATTAAATGAAATATCCCTCCTAGCTGTATATCACCATCCCAAATGCACTTCCACAACTGTATGCTTGTTTGTACTATGTATACCATTACTTCATCCAGTTTAAAAGTAAGCAACATACAGTATAATAAATAAATGGAGTAATTCTCTATCAGTTATTATACTTTAAATAAAAAATAAAAATTGAAGACGACGACGACACAGATCGCAGCAAATCAATATAAGTTTATACTAGTATACATAGACGGCGGCAGACAGGCATATATCTGAATTGATGATGATCTGTGATCATAATTAAGTAGCAAGCTAGCTAGCTACTTGTTCTCCGGCGAACCCTGACATTGAACCCACCGGCCATGTGCGCCGTCAGCAACGGAACAAAAACCGGCGGGTCGTGGCGCACCGGCAGCAGCTCGAACCGGGTCAGGACCGAGGCCACCAAGTACTTCATTTGGATGAAAGCCATCTCCTTCCCCAGGCACACTCTCGGCCCCGCCTGGAACACCGGAAACTTGAACGGGCTCACCCTCGCCACCCCCCCGCCGCCGTCCAGCCACCGCTCCGGCCGGAACTCCAGGCAGTCCTTCCCCCACAGCGCCTCCATTCTCCCCATTCCGTAGGGGAAATACGTCACCCGGTTGCCCCTCCGAACCCGAGTCCCGTCCGGCAAAACGTCGTCGTTGGCGGCGTGCTTGGAGTCCCACACCACCGGAGGGTACAGCCTCATCGATTCGTTCAGGCACGCCGTTACGTAGTTCATCTCTTTCAGGTTGTCGAACCCCATCGTCCCTCCTCCTCCTCCTGCCGTGATGATCGAGCTCACCTCCTCCACAACCTGCTGCTCCGCCTCCCGGTGCCCGGTCAGCAGCCACAGCAGCCACGTCACGGCGGCGGAAGTGGTGTCCCTCCCAGCCATCAGAAAGCTTATCACCATATCCCGCACCACCTCATCGTCCATTCCAGCTTCCAGAAACCTCGACAGCAGATCTCTTCCGCTCTCTAATTTCCCATCCATCGATTCTCTCTTCGACCGGATCATCTCATCGACACAGCCGTGGACCAGCTTCACCGCATCCTTCAGTTCTTTCTCCATCCCCAGGTTGAGCGCCCGCTTCAATTTCCAAACTGCGAAGATCGGCGCCGCGCCGCGCATGGCGGAGATTCCCGACGCGGCGTCGAAGGCCAGCGCAAGCGGCGGCGGGGGGCTGGAGAGGTTGAGGCAGCCGGGATCCATCCCGATCGACACCCTGCAGATGGTATCGAAGGCGAAGCTCCTGAGCACCTCCTGCATGTCCAGAATCAGGCCGTTGTCGGCGGCGTCGCGGAGAATCGGGATGAGGCGGCTGTGGACCTCGTCCTCGAGGATCTTGACGACGAACTCGCGGAGGGATTTGGTGGTGAACTCGTGGCTGGCGAGCTTGCGCTGGATGGTCCACATCTCGCCGTCGACGTTGAAGATTCCAAACCCTAGGAAATCTCCGAGCAGATCGGTGAAGGGCTTTCCCTTGGGGTAGTTGGGGAAATTGGACTTGAGAATGTACTCGACATTGGACGGATTGGCGGTGACGATGGTCCGGGGGGCGCCGAGGCGGTGGAGGACGATGGTGTGGGTGGGGGAGCGGACGAGGAGGTCGGTGTACCAATGGAGGAGGCGGCGGCGGTTCTTGTAGAAGGCGAAGAGGCAGGCAATGCTGGTGGGGAGGAAGAAGCTGCTGCTGCTGCGGGCAAGATAGGCAAGCTGTAATAGCTTTCTGGATCTGAGGAGGAGCCGGTTTAGTGTCGTCGTTGTGTTCTTGATAAGGGATGCAAGAAGGAGGGGAGAAAAGATCAATAGAAGAACTCCAACCCCGACCCCCCCTGCTGCAACAACGCACAAATAATCCATAATCCAATCGAATCGGAGAAGATGATGATGATAAGCTAGCTACTGTAGAGGGTTTGAGATGTTGTGTGTGTACATACAATACAATACAATACACCGATACCACCGCCGCTGCTGCTGATGCTGCTCTGGTGGCTATAGATAGAAAGATGGATGGATAGAAATATGCTATATATATATATAAGATATGTGATATGATGTTGATATAGATATAGATATAGTAGTAGTAGTAGTAGTACAGTGTTACATACATGGCAGTTGGGAATTGGGAATTGGAGGAGAAGTGGAAGTGGGAGTAATAAATGCGGGCGGAGTTTTGATGCACGTGCTGCCTCTTCCAGAACAAAAAAGAAAAACGAATTGAGTAGTAGTAGTAGTAGAAGAGAATGTGGGGCGGGGGTAAAATCGGAATTTCAGTGTGCGGTCTGACTCTCCATCGCATCAGGCTCAGGCTCAGGCTCAGTGGCTGAATGAATGAATGATCGATCAATGATATGTGCTTCGATTTCAGTTTGCGGCGGGACGGACGGATGTGTCTGTGTCTGTGTCTGTGTCCCTCACCCGTCCCACCCATCCCTCTTACCTCTCATTAATTACTACTAGTAATTCACTACACTTGTCCACTTTCTAATTTCTTTTCTTCAATTTAATTTAATTAATTAGATAATCTATATATGAATTTTGATTATAGTAGTAGCACATAATTGGCAATCCATATTCCATCATATATATATATATATATATACTTTAATAATAATAATACTAACAAAACTACTACAATTTTATAAAAGTCTTTCCATGCTTGCTAATTATAATAAACTACTACTACTACTACTACTACAATAATTTGCACAATTACTCTTATTGTTCATTTATAATCAGTAGGTCCTGTCATGGTCTACATACCCCTTAATTAAAGGCAAGAGGCCTAACATATGTTTTTTTTTAAAAAAATAATAATAATAATAATAATAGTAATAATAAATATAAAAATATTAATTAATCATAATTACTATATCAAAATTAATATAGTAAATGAATTTACAATTAATAAATATATTTCATAAATGACATTGTTGCGCTTATTTTAAAAATTCAACACATTAAATGGCTACTATTGATTTTAAAAATTCAATACATAGTTGACATTATATAGCATTAAAAACAAACATGTCATCCAGTAAAAAAAATGGTCTAAGAGTATGAAGATGAACTTGCTATCTCATGAGTTCAAACCTCCTTTTTATGTATAAAATAATTACGTGTAATAATATATTTATAATTTAAATTTAAATTAAAAAGAATTGGTATTATTTTATAACTAATATTATTATTATGATAAAAAATAGAATTTACAGGATGAAGTATAATATATTAATAAAAGCATTTTGTAATAAATAAGGATGAAGTAACAAAATTAATGCAAGTAAAAGTCATCTTCCTCCTCCGTATGACTTTCTATAAAAAGTCTATAGAGTGTGACAGATAATACGACAGAATAGGTCAAATACAAATCAGATAATAAACTATAAAAGAAGCCCACATATAGTATTTTATTATTATATATATGTATGTATGTATGCGTGTGTGGGGCGGGGGTATTGTTTTGTAGTCGACATTAGAGAAGAGAGAGAGAGAGAGAGAGAGAGAGAGAGAGAGAGAGAGAGAGAGAGAGAGAGAGAGAGAGACCTCAGCATATATCGATCAACGAACGACCTCGTCCATGCACGTGTCTTAATTCATTAGTCATTAATAATCACGCAGAGTACGGACGGACTTTAATTTCTTAGCTATTATAATTTACCTTCCACTCCACAACCAAATTGCTGCTTAATTTCGACTCACTCCTTCCCTTCTTTCCTTCATAAATAAATAGATATAACATTGCCTCAATTCATTACAACATATACCTTAATAGGTAAAATTAAATTTAAAACTACTAATTAATTAAAATATCTTAACTTACTCAAATTCAACATAATCAAAGATAGGACTCACTATTAGAATCGAAAACAAGGATACTCTCAATTAAATTGAAAATGACACTTTGATATAATCGGAAATATGACTTTGAAAAAATATGACAAAGAGATATAGAATGATTATCATATATATTCAAAGACAGACAAATTAAATACTAGGAGTTTAAATGGAATCCGATCGAATTAGAAATTAGAGTGGCAACGACAGACATGCATGATTTTCAAATGAATTCTGTGTTTAGAGAAATGTGGTTAATATGTTGTAGTTACTCTAAAAGAAAATTAATAGCTTTGATATCATATTATGTGCATGATGTTAAATATGACTATTTCATATTTATTTATATTTCATGGTAATCATCGACTAACACGTCAATTTTGTAGGTGAAATGATGATGATAATAATAATAATAATAATAAAACATCTGCTCCCAAGTTTAACTTCAATACCGATTAACCAACTTTGAATTGAAATGCACATATATCTAGAAATGAAAGGAGTCGAATTCAATATATGCATGCGTGCACATGACACTTTTGTTTTTTCTTCTCTACGTCTTTTATTTATATATGTGTATTATTATAGAAAGGAAGTATTGCAATGTGCATGAATACGGCAACAAGTCAACAACAACACACGAATCATAAGTTGGTCAAAAGTATTGCCTGCATATTTTATATCTATACATCATTTGACTTGCAAATGCAAAATAAGTCTCCATGCCGACATGAATTTCTGTTCCAATAATTGGTCAACTTAATTATGTTAATAGAGGAGATATATTAGTAATATATATGTGAGTCAGCCAAGTCTCCTTTCCCCGTCTCCAGCTATAATAATAAAATGAAACCAATCAGTATACAGGAGAAGAAGAAGAAGAAGAAGAAGAAGAAGTTAATGTTAATGGGTGGTGGAGATACACTAGTCAGTAGTCAGTAGTGTAGTGATAGACACATGCATAAACTACTCCATAAGACAGCAGGGCAGGGCAGCATATGCATATATGATATAATGCAGTTTCAGTTTAGACAATTGCAGTTGCATGTGGCACGTACTAGTAAGGCGGCGCGGCGAAGAAAAGTAAAATGCGGAAACCGTGTTATAGATGCTGCTGCTGCTGCAGCATTCTCTCTCTCTCTCTCTCTCTCTCTCTCTCTCTCTCTCCCCCCCCCCCCCCCCCCCCCCCCCCCAGTACTACAACAATCAATCCTCTAATTGATTAATTTTGGATCCGTATGTATGTACATCGCCATCATCATTATTCACCTTTTGCTTGCGCTTTGAAAACGACACGCAAGGACGCACATGCACAGATATCCATCTTCTTCTTCTTCTCTTTATTATTAGTATTAATTAATAATTAAATTTTAAAAGATGATGTCGATAGATTTCCATTCTGACCACGTCTCATAGTACTACTAATTCATTTAATTTAATGGATGCGATTTTCAGAATTGCGGCACCAAACTTAGGCACGAGCCGTTGCTGTCTGTTTGTCGACGTGACATATATCTCGCTGTCTATCTCTATCCTCCACCTTTCTTTCTTTCTTTCTTTTCTTTTCTCATCTCTTCTCTCTCCATTTCTCTCTCTCCATTTTCATTGCCATTGCCGACTTACTCCTTTTTCCTTCATTTGGTTGGATTTCATGCCATCTTTTCTCCCATCCATCCATATTATACTAGTATATTACTCCATCTTAGCTTCCTTTCATTCGACACCCACCCACCCTGTATAGGGTAATACCACCGCACGAGACTTTTCTATCTTCCCTTTCCTGCCCTACCCTACCCCACCCCACCCTTCCCTTTTATCCAATAACAATAATACCAGTAGCCATCCCATCCCACCCCGCCCACAATATAATGCAATTGCTGCTGCTGGTATCATCATCAATAGCCGCAACTACTGTCACAGTCGTCTATCTGTGGTGTTGGTGGCGGGGCGGGGCGGGTAGATTAGATAGAGAAAGACCACCCCCAACTCCGTGGACTGTTTCTACTTGCGGGCTACAAGGGACAAACACGTGCATTCACACACTTCACTTCAATTCAATTGTCTTAAACATTATCACCAGACCAGACCAGACCAGACCAGACCAATTATCACACCCCAACTATACTTCAAAACTAATTCATTGCTTCCAAACCATGGAGTATTATTACTTACTACACATACATATCTACAACAAACAAACAAACTAACCACCATTTTAATGCTTAATTGCCTGAGTTGATGAGCTGGAGGACTGCTCGTACCGACCACTTGATGCGAACCATCACCACTGCTTAAGCTACGTCTTTCCCCTCACTCCCACACTCGTATCATCATCATCATCTTGCACCTCGCAATCGAGCAATTAACTCATCCTGTTGTTCACAACACCCGTTGCATAAATACATTATATTGATTATCCCATACACATGAACACAATAGAGAATTTCACACAATTTCATTTATGTCGCTACTCTACTCAATTACTATAGCATAAAATAATGGAGGGTAGGGTGGGGGGAGCTTGCCTTTCTCCCCTTTGCTGAAAGCCCCTTCTCCCTAAGTGCAGCACGGAGTTTCTCTACTGTCAAACTCTGCAGATCTGCAAAGAGGATCACATTCAGATCATATGATATACGAAAATAACGGATGACATACACAATTGCATTGCATTTCTCACCTGGCACCAAAGGTGCATTTCTCACAGTAATTCATCATCTTTCTTAATCACAAAACTGAAGAACACATGGCACAGCTTAAAGATGTTCAACGTATTTTACTCTATTTTTCATTTCAAACCCAACTTTAGCACGGACATTCTGATGAAAGCTAGTTCAGCGTAAGGAGTGAGGAATAGGGATCATTGACAAGTAGAAGAAACTCATTAAACTGTAAGATAGAAAACTTTAAAGAGGATTCAGGCTAACTGGTAGATTATGGTGATATCACACAAATTGTACATGTTCAAGTGTTGCATAAAAAACTTTTACATCAGTTGAATGTGTCAAGTGTGAGAGAGCATACTCACCTAGAGAAGAACTAAGCTGATTGCTGGAATTGGTCTTCTTCAGTGCAGCTTTATTTTCCAAGGGCTTTTCAGCAGCTCTGAGAAGTGACAGTTTTAAGCATGTAAGCAAATAAATCACACAGATCGGTAACATAAACAATGGGAAAATAGATTAATCACCTTTTTCTGGAACCATGAATCGCAGCGGTACCTTTTCCATCTTTTGAATTGGACTCACCCTTTGGATTCTTAAGCAGAAGAGACCTTATCAAAATATTCGTTTGGTTTGTCCTTATAACCTGGTCCTCTGGGACAAGATAGTCAAGGTAGCGTCTTCATTATCTACAATGACAAGAAACATACTAAAGAAAACAGTACTGTACATGCTGCATGAAGAACCTGGAGGTGATGTATCATGGTCACAAATGTAAACCCGCATCCCTCCCTGCATAAATTGTAAATAATTTAGAAGTTATGAGATGGCGAAAAAATAAGGCTATATACATATATTTCAGACAGTTTAGAAAACGATGTTTATAACTGCATTCATTCAATATAGCTCTTACCTATGTGAAGAAGAAGAAATTATCTTCTCCACATTAATGGACCTCATAGTATTTCAATTTTCAATGAGCCAAGGTAAGCGGATGCAAGATGACAGAAATCAGAATTAACAGTTCAGGAGTCAACATAATAATCGATCTTAAAAGAAAATGGTCTACCCGCGCACTGGAGATTTATATTTGTTGAATATGTCTCACAATGAAAAAAATGTGGAAATTCCCTTCGCTTGTAAGGATGAAGGGCAGTCCACCTAATACCAAATATTTTTAGGTTGAAAGCCCGAATAACATAGTATCAGAGCTATGGTGCCCGTATTGGGTATTGATACTATTTGGATTTTCGAGATTATTATCTCGAAAGGAAGTGTTGAATGTCCCACATTGGAGAAAATGTGAGAATTCTCTTAGCTTATAAAAGTGAAGGGTTACTCCACTAAATACCAATTGAGTTTAGGTTGGAAGTCCGGATCCTTTCTTAACAATATTCACTCACCAGGTGATTTCAATGCATATTCAGAAACATGTTTCCTATCACAAATGACAGATCTATTGATAGCCAGTGGATGTCTAGTTACTCAAATATTTCACAGTTAGAGAAGATGATTTCAAATTTTATCAGGAGTGCGTATGAACAAATGGGATGCAGAAACAGGCCGGCGAGGTAAAGTTCAAACATGAATCAATATATAATCATGAATATGAAAGATGTGGCAAACTCAGAAGGATAGGCATAACTGTTGAATCAACAATGGAATTATTTTAATCTACTGAACTTGCCATTCAAACCTCTCTATAACCCCACAACTCCCCCCCCCCCCCCCCCTGATTTTTGTTTCTAAAGCATAGTAACTTCGGCCTTCCAGCTTCCAAGTGGAATTATATTAATCTCATAAAACATTAGTCTATAGGAAGTCTCAAGTCTGTCTCCATGACGTCTATTTCACGAACAGTCCTTACGTTAAACATTCACCGGAAAAGAATTAGACAAAAACATTAGTATCCACTATCGATGAAACTAAACTCGATTCCGTAAAACAATTTATCACTCGAAGTCGAAGTGACAACAGTAAGCCTCAAATTCTCCCAATCAAGACAGAAACTTTTTCACCGTCCCAATAAAAAAGTCGTCCTTTACATCAAGAAACAGTTAACATCATCTCCCTCTAAGAACAAGAAAGCTGAACACACACACACACACCAAAAAAAAAAAATAGGGCTTTAGGGGAATGTGGAAATACCTGGTTAGTGGAGACGACGGTGGATGAGAGGTGGCCCCGAGAGGGCAGGTTGGCAAGGAATTTAGAAGCTTCGCCATCGGGGCATGCCGGAACGAAGGCCATATCGGACGGCGACGGCGTGTCGTAGCCACCATCCATTCTATATATTTGGTTGGGTGGTGCGTTTACTTTGCTAAAAAAGTAGTCAAAAGGAATTCAATGATTGAGGGCACGGGCAGGCAGGGGCGGGGAAAAAGTCCGAACCGAACCGCCAAACTTTTGAATCGAATTAAATATATATATATATTCTTTTAATCGAGTAAATTTGTCTTAAATACAAATATAGCATATTTTACATTTGTTCGATCGAATTCAGTTTCATATTTTTTAAGATGGTATTTGAAATATTTATAAATATTTTTATTTAGTTAAAATTTTAATTATCTTTTAATATATATAATTTTTTTAATTTCTCTTCGATTTCAATTTTAAAATTTCTATTTATACTTATTTAATTAGAATTTTAATTATTTTTTAATTTCAACTCAATTCAAATTATTTGTAAATATTGTAAAATTTTTTTATTAACTCTACTATTGAAGAATGTGGGCTAAAACGAGAATATGAACTTTAAATATATATAATTTGAACTAGACTTCAATATTAAAAATTTGTGAATACACCATCAAATTATAATCTTTCATAATTATATATATCAAATAAGTTTTATATATAAAAATTATACATATATAACATAAATATATAACTGGCTCCCACCATGGCTCAGCCAGCCCTGTGCCTGAGATAGTTGCAGGGTGAGAGCAATGTTTCACTCCTCTGAAGAATAGTTTTTAAGACGGTTGGTAGGCACAATATTCTTCCGAACAATTGTGTGCTAGTACATTTGGAGAACGACATAATGGCTCGTTTTGTGACATTAGGCAACATATGTTGCTTGAACACGGGCCGCGTGCTGCAAGCAGGAGATGATCTCCTCAAGAGAAGGACGGGTGGACGATTCAGGTGAAATGCAGTTGGTAGTTAGGGATGTGCTGATTACAAGTGATTCTGGAGAACTTGATGCACGCACGACAGGGTCAGGCTCGATCTTGCGATTTGAGATGCTGGAGTAAGCCTGAGGGTTGCAACATTTCCCAGGGAGTTATATCTACTAGTTTATAGAAATGTGCATTATGTATTGAATGAGTGTTCACCTGTCCCATAATTGATTCTTGCATTATCAGCCCAAAGCTGTAAATATCATCCTCCAAGCTCTCATGCCCATCTTCTCGCTAGACAATGCAAGAACAAACCGGTTGGTGGACAATGGTAGTTTAAAACTTTCAACCAACTAGACCATACATGCATACCTTGTCCTTGTCGATGTCTTGAGCTATAACAGACAACCCATAGTCGCTCAGCTTTCCTATCCCATGCTCATTTAGCAGTATGTTGTTTGCTTTCAGTCTATTTCTGAAAATTCCAGGAATGATTGTAGTGTGCAGAAAATGCACAGCTTGGGCAATGCCTATAAGAATGGCCAATCTATCAGCCCACTTGAATGCCTTCTCTGGATTGCCTTCTGCACAGTTAGTAATCAGTGTTAGATCTCGTTGCGATGCAAACTTCGACAGCTGATGTTACTCTCACCGGAAAGATAGTCGCGGTAGTTGCCTTGTGGGATGTATTCGTATATGAGATAGACCTTGTTAGCACCGGATCCATCTTCCCCTAGACTGTCAATGCAGTGCCCCAACAGGCAGACTAGATGTGGATGCCGAAGCTTAGACAGAAATTCCAATCTGAGTTTCAAGTTTCGGACCGTATAGCGTTTGGAAACTGTCAGTGCCCTGATGGCGATGCTGCTCCCATTTTCCAATCTGCCTTTGTACATCTGAGACATAGATAAAAAGTAGAAAACCAACCTATTAAAGCAAGAATTCAGTGTCTGTTATCCATGATTTTGTGTTCAGCTTGATTACATTAGAGTTTCTACCTTTCCAGTTGAGTTTTCTCCCATCAATGTGGATTTGTCAAAGCTGCAAGTAGATGCCTTTAGCTCATCTATAGTAAAGAGCCGGTGAGGCGGCAAATGTTGTGAGCTCAGCTTTACTATCTCAGCATTAGTAGCCCCTGTGATGGAGTTTTCTTGCTGTAAGTGCTGCTCTTGCGTTCCTCGTGGACAATACTGTCGAGACAACATGAGAAAGCTTAAGGCTAGCAATGCCAAAATTGCGGCAGTTCCACCAATGATGGCTCCTAATATCTTCTTATTCTTCCGTTTCAGTTTCTTCTCTTCTTTGGGATTGGCTGCACAGTATGTTTCTGGATGCTGATCGTGTCCAAGATCACCTGAAAAACAATTTCCTCCAAAGTTGACGACACGGTGTTCATTCAAGGAGCTCAAACATGGAGGCAAGGAACCTCTCAACCTGTTGTTTGAGATATCTACCAATTCAAGATTTCTGCCACAGCTCAAATCCACTGGAAGGGGTCCTGTCAGCATATTTGATGACAAATTCAGGGAAGTAATATTAGGCAAGGCAAAAAGTGCTGCGGAAACTGTCCCATCGAAAGCATTGAAAGACAGGTTAAGTTGTTGCAGCTGATTCATGTGGTCGAATTGATTGGAGATACTTCCAGAGAAGGAATTGTTGCTCAAATCAAGAGACTTTAATCCAGCCAAGCTGCTCAGGTCCAACAACTTGCCAGACATAACATTGTTTGACAGATTGATTTCTGTCAGCGAAGTGGTTTTTTGCAATGAAGGTGGCAATGAGCCGCTAAGCCTGTTGTTGCTCAAACTCAAGCTCGTGAGGTTAGCAAATGAATCAAACCAGTCTGGTAAAGTGCCATTCAAGAAGTTACCGTCCAGCTTAAGAAGTTGAAGCCTCCCAAGTCTTGTAAATGCCTGTGGAACAGAGCCGTACAGGAAATTCCAGCTGAAATCCAGATATTCAAGGGACTCTAGTCTGTGGATTTTGTCGGGGATTGGACCCCAGATGCCTAATGAAACTAAACTGAGGACTCTGAGGGAGTTTATTCTTGACAGGGTTGTCACCAGGGAGTCCACTGAGAAATTCTGAGACAGGGTTTGATCCGGACTAGGATATCCATCAAACCTGGCAATATTTCTGGTCCTGTTGTATCCAACTATTCTGATCTCAGTGACAGAATCACCTTGGCAGGTGATGTTCACTTGGGGAGATGGCAAGTAGCAGAGATCAATTCCATGGATGGGCCAATAGTCCAACTCTTTTGGATACTCCAACTGCTTTCTTAACTGCAGCAGCACTTGGGTTTGGGATGGCTGCAGCTGATCTGTGCTCAAAATCAAGAAACTCCATGAGAGAGAGAGAAGCACAAGGACCCTTGAATGATCCATGGATTCTTGAAAGTGTGAAAGCCCACATGCATTTCCTAAAGCACCACAACCTGAAAGGGAGGGGCGAATAAAAGCACTTTGAAATGCACAAGCTAATTTTGGCAAAATCCACAACTGTGGCTGTTGCAAGAATAGAATGAAGAAAGGGATGATGAAATTAAAAGTGCAGTGGTCAACTGCTGTTTTTAATCAAGTTGGATGAAGCTGAGGTCAACATAGGGTGGGAACACATCATATTTTCTATTTGGGAGCTAGGATGTTGTAATTCATTGCCACAGACAGCCATGCATGCTTTTCTTGACGAGCACTGCAGAGCAGATTGAGGGACATGAATGAAGCTCGAAAGAATGATTCTCGATTTCTATTTATCTAGCAAGCATTAGTTTGAAGTTTCATGATATTGAGAACTGAATTTAAAAAACTGTGAATCCTTCTCCTCCATTGCACTTATAATCCATTTTTATCATTAGAGTGAGTGACAAGCAGCTCATGCATCACTGTCATTTTACTGCTGTATACTTTTCAAATGCAAGAAATTGAGGTCTGCAAGAGGACACATTGATAATAAATATGTAGGCCTGCCTGGAGTTGGAGAAACCAGAGGTGAGGAACACTGGACACACAGCCCCCACCCCACCTTGGCTGACTTGACTGCATCTTCATCTTCATCCCCCAAGTATTGAGGGTATATTTATGGCTGTGTACCAGAGTGTAGGTGAGGAGCATATAAATACATAAATCAAGAATTTATATGCGTGGATGACAAATGATTACCGGTGTGTTAGTCCCCACTTTTTGTTTTTATAAAACATAAGATGATCAAGAATAAAGCTGCATTTTAGTGATAAAGAAAACAAAATAGAGAGAGATGGTCCAATTAGCGGAAGGAAGGATTGAGGTTGAGATTGAGATTGAGATTGGCCACATGTGACCGTCTTTGTCTAAATAATGGAGGTTCTTCTATCTGTTCTGTTCTGTTCTCTCTCCATTCTGTTTATTTGTAGCTTTGGGCCAACGAGTCCGTTTTAATAGATTGGGCCATGATTTTAGGCCCAATAATGTTTTAACAATTTTATTATTTCTTCTTGATTTCTGGATTTTTTGGGTCCCACCAGTTGTCGACGTCTTCGAAGGCGGACCGGACACGGAGTAATAGTTTGAAGGTAGTGAAAAAACATAAAAAGTAAAAGTAAGATAGATTGAAGAATTGGCAATTCTTAATGTCCTGGGCCGGGCTTGGAGGAATAGGTTCAGCCCAAATTACATTAAAAGCACGTGAATATGGATGCTGTGAAGTCAACGCCAAGGATCCGGCATGTTACTTACGTAGGCAGGAAGGAAGGTATCCGTATCATTATGCGCGATCTAATCTTGGCTGTTGTTTTGTTTTGGACCGTTCGATTTTGCGGCACCAATATGGACGGTCAGATCGAAGGCAACTCTCGCCTTTAAATTCAGGGCAACCCTCGCAGCCCTAGCACCTCATCAATCTCCCAAGCGCGTAAGTCTTCTCTCTCTCTCTCTCTGATTTTTCCATTCAAAATTTTGTATGCGCGTATGTAGATGCGCTTCTATTTCTAGAAAATTTTCTATTTAGGGTTCAATCCAATTGAGTTGGACTCTGTTGTACATCTTGCACTCTTTCCCTTTTCTGGATCCAAACAAAGGTTTTTTTGGGCGATGTGTTTGTAATTTCGTCTCTAGGGTTTCGGTCCCGTTGTGTCGTTGCTTTCTTTAATCGAGCGGGAACTCTTAAGTTCGTTATCGAGTTTTGGTGTTGAATGCACTCGAAAGTTAGAGCTTTTTTCGGGATTGAGATTTTTCTGACCCGCCTTTTGCGTTCTCTTAATCGAATTTAGTATTTTTGAAACAAAAAAGTGAAACGAATCGAAAATTGAAGTTGAATGTAAAATTATGCATATAAAGGGCTGGATTATTCAGTACGAGGCCTTGAATACATGTAAGGATTGAGTTTTAGTTGAGGTGTCTTTGGATATGACATGTGGAAAGGCTTTTGAATGAAGAGAGTTGATATGTGCCGATTTTTCCTTCTAAATTTATGGCACCCACTGTTCCTATAGATTGCACGGACCTAAGGGAGTCTAAGAAGTTCTCAAAGATGGTTTTGGGTGATATGATGGGGAAAGCACGCAAATCTTCAAAAGGCTATTCTGGGATTCTACCAGGTTACCCCCGTGCAGCAGAAATAGTGGCTGAATCAGAAGGTTTATTTAAATCAGATCATGGTGACGCACTGCTGAACGCTTCACAGGATACATATACTCCCAATGTGAAATATATAAGCTTGAATGCGGATGCTCATGGTGGTTCTGTTGTACCAGTTGAGACGCTGTCTCTGTCTAAGCTGTCACCCTTGGAGAGGAGGGACTTAGAGGCTAGATTAAAGATTGAACTTGGAAAAGTTAGGAAGCTTCAGAGGAAAATAGCCTCTTTTAGTTTTGATGCAGTGGTACGGTCCAGTACTGATGTCCATGGTTGTCAAAATGAGCCTATGAAGAAACAAATCCTTCCGGAAAAAAATGGGCATCGATCTAAAGGTGGTTCTGTGACAGCTAGGAAAAGTGAGTCAACCAAGCCGAATCCTCCAAAGAGCACCAATTTTGTTATGCTAATGAAACAGTGTGAGACACTTTTAACTAGGTTGATGCAACATCAACATGCTTGGATTTTTAACGAGCCAGTTGATATTGTGAAACATAACATCCCAGATTACTTCAATGTTATTAAGCATCCGATGGACTTAGGAACAGTTAAAGGTAAGTTGCTTTCTAATCAGTACTCCAATCTGATGGAATTTGCTGCTGATGTGAGACTCACCTTCAAGAATGCAACGACTTATAACCCACCTGGACATGATGTCCATGTTATGGCTGAGGTAATGAGTAAACACTTTGAAATGAGATGGAAACCAATTGAGAAAAAAATTTCCACTACAACAACTGAACCCAGAGCTTCAAAATCAAGTGTTGTTGTAGAACCTGAACGCTCATATGTTTCTCCTGCTAAGAAGCAAAGGACTTCATCTTCGGAAAATAAAACCAAGAGGGATAGAGATAAACAGGTGATGACTGATGTTGAAAAACAAAAGCTGGGTGCAGAGTTGGAGGATTTATTGGTTGAACTCCCCGACGGTATAATTAATTTTTTGAAAGAAAGCAGTTCAAATGGAACTCTGGTGAGCGAGGATGAGATTGAAATTGATATTGATTCTCTTAGTGATAACACTCTATTCACATTGCGCAAACTTCTGGATGATTTTCTACTGGAGAAGAAGAGAAAACAAGAAATGTCTCAGCAATCAGCAATTGAGGTATATCCATGCAAAAGCTTTCATGTATCTGCACTGACTTTAGGCTCAGGTGCATAACTGTCTCTTTCTTGTGTATTTGTATCTTATCTAGAGGCAAAAAGAATCCGGTGTTTGCAGCTTATCCAACAAGCATTGCCAAGGTAAATACTTTTCTGCTGATTAAGTTTCATTTGTATCCCTTTTCTTTGCCGCATGACTTAGTGCAAAACCCTAACTAGGGAATGAAGCAGCGGATGAGTATGTAGATATTGGTGGAAATGATCCACCACCTGCATCCAGTTCCTCTCCTATCAATAATAATACGGTCGATGCTGCACAAAAAAACATCAGTGCCAGTCAGACCTCCAGCAGTGATTCAGGCTCATCATCATCTGGTTTGTGCTTAATATGTATCTGAAATATTTCTCTGCTATTGATTGCCTTTACAGCGCTTGGAAAGATATATGTGGTCCTGGTCAGTATTTATATGCTATCATAGGCCACACATGATCGGTAAAATTGTGGGGTCTCTGGAGTTTTTGTTGATGGCTATCATATGTCACAAGACTCACAACCCTGTTTGTTATTGTTTCTAATTTGGGGCTAAGAGTCACCTATGTTACTTTGTTAGACAAAAACTTCGTCACTTTGATTTTTGCAGAGTTAAGATCATTCACGAATATTCTTTTCCTCATCACTCATTATTATGATATGGTCATCTTAAATTAAACATAGGCTTTGTTTACACAACATACTTTCACTCATTTGGCACTATTTATTTTTCAAAAAACATCTCTTCAAATACACTTTTTCTCTCACAAAACATCAAATCAAATACTAATTCTTTACTTTTTCCAAACTTCCAAAATTTCAAAAACCTCTATCTAAACAAAGCCATAATGTCTCCTAGTAGAAGATTGAGAGAATTTTAGCCTTGCAGATTATTTTTTTTCTGAAAATAAATATCTGACTTAAATGTGCAGAAACTGAAAAGAACCAGTGAGAATTAGACTGCTAATTTTTATGAGGTCTTGCAATGGCATGGTTATTTGTGACTTAAAGATGTTAATCGATATTGTTGGTGTTGGGATCCAGTCTTGTGGAAAAATCTAACAATCTATTGATTTAATAATTGTGAAGTTGCTGTTTGTGTCATATTTATGTTGAAGACATCACACAATGTCTTGATTTTAGAAAAAACTAAAATTGTGCAGAATAATTAGGAAATCAGAATGTGTTCAAATTCCAACTAGTGGTGATGTCCATAAGTTCTTTTTTTGATTTTTTTTGTTTGTTTTGGTTTTGGTTTTGTGTTTTTGAGGTGAGATAGTAGTTGGATATAATGTTTTCTGTTTGTGTTGGATATGATGTTTTTAGAGGGAACTTGGGATATTGAGTAGTAAAAAAACATGTATAAACACACAATTAAACAGACCCTTTAATTTTATGATCATTTGAAAGGCTGTTATGGCTTTGTCTATCCTTATCTAACGGCAATATGGTATTTGTTAAATGTCTTAAGATACTAGAATATCTCACATGTTGCTATTAACTAATGCCTGCTGCATTGAAGGTTTTTAAATAATACTTTGTAGTTGGTTTTCGTGAATTATTTTGTACTCTTAAGCTTACCATACATGTACTTTTTCTAGTTGTTATTGTTTATCAGAACGTTTCAAGGGGCGTGTTTGTTTGTGGGTTTGAGTTTTTTAGTTTGGATTTTTGAATAATAAAAGGTTGAATTTAAATAGTTGTTTGATGTGACGTTTTGAATGTAAAATAAATTTATAATATAATATAAAAAAGAAAGAGTAATTTTGTTTGATTTGATATTTTTAGAGAGAAAAAGATTTTGGATTGTAAAAATTTGTGATAAAAACCACAAAAGAAAACAACCTCAATGTTTTTTGGATTGGGGATTATATTTTTGCTTTAAGGCTTTATTTTACGGAATTTCAGTGTTGTGTTAGCGGTCTCTGTTTTTGCTTCCTAGCAGTTCAGTCAAATTTCATTGGTTTGACCATTACCCATCGGATGTTTTGATTGTGCCTGCAGCGATTGAACTCTGTATATTGTGGTCTTCTGCCTTAACTGTTGCAGTAGGTTTGGCATGGTGGTTTTACTATTGCTGCTTAATTTTTTTGTTCTCATTCTGACATTGTTAAATCTTTTTTGTTTTGTACACGTTATGCATTCTCTAAGAGGAGAAAACGAAGATGAAATCTTATAGTTGTTATTTTGTTTCTACTTCACCCAGATACGGATTCTGAAAGTTCTTCTGCCAGTGAAATAGATGGTGATAAGAATTCAGAGCCTACTACTGTGAATGTATGCTGTTGTTTAGGCCTCTTTCTCTATTCTCTTTTTCTATTTTACTCTCTCTTTTTTTGGGTTGATTGATTATTCTTCTGATGGCCAGGAAGAACCAATATCATTTGACTCATTAACCTGGAATATTAGCATAGCTTTCAGAACAAAATATGTACTATTAACATAGCTTGCTTTCTCTGTGTCAAGCAGGGTACATTAGATACAAGAGCTGAGCAGAAGCAAAGTGAGTCTCATGATCCAGTCAATGGAGGTTGAGATGGCCTTGTACATTTTGCAAGAATGTCTTTGTTCTAATGGTCATGGCACTTCGAGGTTATAACATCTTACACGATTTGCAGAATTTCGGAATGGGTATGCTGAGCAAAATTCAGTGCCTAACCCTTCCTCTAGTGAGCTTAATCATCATCAACAGGGTAAGCAGCATTAGCTAATGAAGGAATGCATGCTATTGAATGTGCAGCATAATCTCACCAACATGCCCTACCATTATAGGGGAGAGTGATAGGGCCGAAGGGCAAGTCTCCCCTGATAACCGAGCAGCTATATTGAGAAGAAGGTTTGCTGATATTATAAACAAAGCTAAAAGGAATGCTCTTGAAAAAGTATGCAACTCTGATATGTCTAAAAAACTATGCCTAGTCTATTACGATTTATTTCTACTAACGTGTTGGTTGATATCTGAATTTCTTTTAGGGGGAAAACCCAGATTTAGAGAAACTTAAGCTTGAAAGAGAGGAAGTTGAAAGGCGAAGAAAAGAAGGTTTTGCCTAAATGAAATTGTTTCATATTGGCTAATTTGAGAAACAATCCAATTTCTATGCATGATAACAATATGCTTATGTGTAATTTGAGGAAGCTCGGTTGCTGGCAGAAGCTAAAGCTGCAGAGGAGGCTAGGATAAAATCTGAAGCAGAAGCTGCTGCAGAAGCCAAAAGGAAAATAGAACGTGAGCGGGAGGCTGCTCGTCAAGCTCTGCAGCAGGTACTTTATAGTATTTAAATTCAATGCCAAAAGTGTAAGATGGAAAAGACTGTTGATATTAATGAGAATATTCAATTTATGGATCATCTGGATTATTTTCAGAAAGTAGATTCATGTAAAGACTGTTGATCTGAATAGCCAAAAAGTATATGCATTATTTTTGTCACTTGTTATCTTTTGATTCTTAAGAATTGCAATCTGAACAGATGGAAAAGACCGTTGATATCAATGAGAATAGTCAATTTATGGAAGATTTGGAGATGCTTAAATCTGGCACCGTTGAGAAAATACAGGGCCTTGAAGATGATGCAAGCCCAGAAAGTTGTCAGATGGGTCTTGGTAGTTTCAAGTTTCAAGCAAGCAGCAATCCACTTGAACAACTTGGGCTTTACATGAAGAACGATGAAGAGGAGGACGAGCTTGAACCCGAAAGATTAAGGGACACTACTGATGATCCCGAAGAAGGAGAGATTGATTGAAAAGAAGCAAACCTGGAAGATGTTGGATCTCTGTCCGCGTAATCTTGCAAGAAAGGAGCTTTTCCTGTTCTAGAAATCAAGCTATTGCCATCTTCCACGTGGTCTGTAATTAGTGCCCTGATGCATGGCTATCAAGATATACAAGAATCTGATGCTCACTTTTTTCTGCTTCTCTTTAGAAAGGATTTTGGAGCAGAGGTGTGAATGAGATAGGATTTGAAGCTTGGCGCCTTTATTGGCAGGCAGCCGTTGTTCCTTTCTGATGATCTTGTCTGTCTTCTTCTTTTCTTCAGGAACAGGAATAGGATTGTGAAGCTGTTAGTGCTGCCATGTCAGTCTTTGATATCTTGTTTCATTATTTGGTTTGTTGAAATCTTTATGGACTTAGAAATGGGAATACAAACACCGATGCGCATACTGAATCGTTTTTGTTTTGTGTTATCATTATCATTAGCCGTCAGTCTTAGATTGGATTACAAGCATATGATACATAAACATAATCACGCAAAAACCGGAAGACGGCAGAAATAGCATAGCTGAGCCCTCGTCCTCCATCTCACGCAAGTTGCTTTCTTCATCTGAGTAAGGTGTTGTGTGGTCGCTCACGGCATGTTTGCTATTTGAAAGAAAGAGTAGCCCATCTAATTTAGAACCAATGGGTCTCTAGAAGCACATTCCCAGGCTCTTCCAATTGGGATTTGGGATCAACGACAATAACAAGTTGCAACGGCAAGCAACTTGATTTGCTCTCCCACTTCCTGGGGCTAGGACTGGACACGGCACAACAGCCTTAAGATTGCAAAAGGGAGAGGGAGAAGGGAGGAAATGATTTGGTTGGGGTGGAGAAGAGCAGAATTGAATGTTTAGATGCGATGTGGAAATATTGGATATGACATAGAAAGAAAACAAAAAAACAGAAAGAGATCAAAAGGAAAATCAGCAGTGAGTTGAGGTTTGATCGTATCAATCAATCATGTCACATTCATATGTGTAATTTACAGTTATGGAATCTGAATGAAAAGTCAGTCAGTCAGTCAATCACCAGAATATGAAAGAATCAAAGAAGTGTTTGTCATCTCCTTATACTACTTACTAACTACTGTCCACCCATGCACCCCTCCTTCCTGCCTTTAGCAATATCAGGCAAAACAAACGATCAAACACACAAAACAGGAATCACTTGTTTTTTATTTCATGTAAGGTCACACTGGCTTCAGGCAGGAAGGAGGAGTCTTGTCTTATTATTGTTGTTTTCTGCGAGCAAAGAGCAGATGAGCGTTTGCTTTATTACCAGGAAGTGAAGTGAAGTGAAGCGAAGCGAAAAGCAGCAGGGTAATTCATTCAGTGTCTTGGTTGGTTTTCAGCATTTCCAGCATGAAGCAGCCACTATGGGCTTAGATTTCCATCCCAGCACCAGGCAGCCTTTCTCCTCCACAATGGTGTGCCCCTCACACGCATTGCTGCTGCTCAGACTCAGCCACTGCTTAGCCTGAGCCAATAGCTTCAGTGGCGCAGGCTGGAATCCTGCCCGGCTCATTCTCCTTCGCCACTGGTCCACCCTCTCATGCCTCTCAACCCTTGCAGGCCCCTCGCAGCTCACGATGTTCTTGATTTCCTCCGCAAAATAAAACTGCTCCATCTTTGCACGCTTGGTGTCGTACTTTGGCAGCACAGCGTCCAGTGAATCAAATATAGCAGCATAGTAGTGCAGCGCCTCCATGAACCGCCCCAAAAAGAAGGGGCCGTTGTGGCTGGAGTCCTGCTCCACCAGGACGAGAGCCTTGGGTGAGAGCTCATGAATGACCTGCAGGACAGAGTTGAGGGCGCCCCTGCTTTCCTTCACCACACTGTGGAGATGCAGGATGCTGTTCACTGCAAGCACCTCCCCAGGAAGCACTGTGATGTCCTCCGGTTTGAGGTTTTCCAGGCTGCTCTCGACAGCCGAGAACTCCAAACTCAATCCCACCCCTGCTGCATACCTCTCCAGTTCTTCCCCTATGGCAAGAAACTGATCTGTGCATAGCCCAACAGCAGTGATGCGGAGGCGAGCAGCTGGCCCCGGACGCTTGGCCAGGCTCTCAATAAGGCTGTGCCATTGGCTGCCGTGCGGCAGTCCAAGGGTCATGCCCAAGTCCACCACATGGACTAAACTCTCTCCCTCAAAGGCTTCCAGTATTGAGACGTTGGCCACAAAGTGACCGAACTTAATATACGGGCAGATTTCGTAGACAAGGCGCAAGGCTTCCTCCTTCTTCTCAGAGGCAAAATCCATTAGGTGCATCTTAGGAGCAATATAGCCAACGGTACCTAGTGGCTGAACCAGAGCCAGCCTATCAGCAAGCCCCTGCACGAAACAGGATGCGACCCGTTGGAAAGAAGTGCCAAAGACCAAGGCATTGGCCCGGAGTTCAGACAGCAGGAGGGATGCATGGGACTTGTCACGGCAAGCCACAGCCTCAGCACAGGAAATGAGCTGCTGGAGCAGTTTCATTTCATCCCCATTGCCCTCTTCTTTGGTGGCTCCTCCATCCTCACTCCCGATGATAGCTATTGCTGCCTCTTCCACTGCCTCCGCTGCTAAGTAGCGTTGGTTCAGAATAGAAATATGATCCCGGAATTGAAGCTTTGTCACACTGCCCAAGCTGTTTGTGCTGCTATTGCGAGGAATGCTGCTGTCGTTGCGGCTGAAAATGCTGCTGGAGCTGCTATCCACAAATTCACCAGAACTTGTGGTTCTCTTCAGCCTTTTGAAGCCACCGGTTTCATCATACAAGTTAGGGAACCAGAGAGCGGCAGCGGCGCCTGCATCCTCCAAAATAGGGAGGCCAGAAAGGGGAACCAGGAAGTTTCTTCGTTCATTCAAAGAATCATAGGGCAGGAAGCTATAGGCCATATGGCAAAAACAACTAGTCCTGCTCCCAAAATCTTTGTTACTCGTGATATGAATCAAAGCTCTTGAAAGAACCACTTAAAGGAGGAAACAACTTAAATAGAATATCTCTTTGTGTATATTTCTTGTTTTCCGGATGAACCAATGTTTTTGTCACATACTAGCAGGTCAGGACAAGCCGAAATAATAATCTAAATAAGGAGATATTAGAAAATTTGGACATAGATCAATTAAATTGCTCTATATTCCTTGCTCTTTGGAGCAGGCAATTAGCATCTTTGCCACAAAGCTCACCCTCCCACTTACGAGGCGAGGCTACCCTTTTATGTATAGCTTGAAACCTTAAAGAAATGTTTCCTTGTAAACTTCCCTATGCGTTGAACGACTTCCCAATTCATTGTTCATTATTGTGTATTGCGTCATATGCGAACTCATTCATTCTCTCTTAGAAAGTTTTGAGATATATTAGTAATGAAATTAACAACGCTATATCAACTAAAATATATTTCAACAATACAATATCACCATGAAACATCAAAAAACATGAACTCATCTACTTATCTATGGCTTCAAGTGTTGTTTCAATTTTCCTAAACGCCAATGACCTGTTTTGCGCATTTTCTGTGCCAATGCAAAATTCCCCTAAATTATAACTTTAATGATAATGGCAGAAATAATATCTAAATAGGGAACAAAGTCATGTTGTCATTGTCTACATCAACATCAAGCAGAAATTATTGGCATCTCTTTGATATTTGGCTAGGTAATACTCAGGCAGCAAATTGTAACTAGGGACAGTAAAAAGAAGCTCATGAAATAGTATATAAATAAAAGCAGTACGAGAATACTTATAAGTTAATGCCATTGACAGTGATGCAGATTTCAACCTTTTTCTGAGTGGATTATTCTAATCACAACGAAGCTTTTATGCTTTGTATTTGTCTTAGCATATTCTAATGTACAATACATCCATCCAGCCAAACAAGAGCAAGCATACTTTCTGTCATTCTACAATTTTGTACAACTATTTTTGACTCTTATATTGGGCCTTTTGGCAGTATGCATACAGATGGAATCTGCAGTGAATTTGTCAATCCTCAGATCCTGCCAAGGTATTATGAGCAAAACCCAACAAGAATGGGTGTAATGATGAGGAGACACCGAAATATTCTAGTAACAAAGACCCTTAAAAGCATGTTTATGCGAGGTTTTGGAGTATGCCAAGGGCAGAGAGAAGATTTATGACTCATGAGCATGAGCATGAATCAAACTATAGCCAAGAGTAAGGATGAATAACAATAGAATGGAAAATGTTCCATGGGGTTGGGCTTTACCAGTTGCAGTTTGTTGGAATTTTAGCGTGTGCTTTGTATATTTAACTATAATTTATTATGTAAGTCTAAAATAAAATGACAATGGGACAAGATGTGTATGGAAAAGATTTAAGTCCGCCTTTCATTTTATCAAAACACATCAAAACTCCTCCATGCACTTGACAGTCTCTTCATCTCGTTTCTTTCAATACATCTTATTGTCTGAAATCAAGAATCAAATATTTGTATTATTCTAATACAAATTTTGGCAAAAGAGAGTTGAGTTATTGTATTCGGAAAGTGAACTTACACAATACAAGGATCTGTCCGGCATTGAGACCCTGTCACTCATATCCAATACCAACACAGCCTACCTTGCAGGTATTCTTCTAGAAATACTACGGCAGCTGTGGATTCGTCTGTAATGGGACGATTCAATATCTTACATTTGTCTATTTCCATCGAATGGAGAAGCACATATAGCTTTTTTGGACACAAGTCTTTCAATAGTCCTCAGAAAGTTGTGTCGGATGGGAGGAAATTCTAGAGGGATCAGGTGGTTTAAAAATAAGTATCTAGGATTTCAAATATTGTAGTTGAACTAACATAATGAGAAAGATTGCAGAACTTCATTTTGATTAGATGGCAGATTATATGTGGGCTAGGATTATGAGAATTATAATTAGTTCCAGAAGAAAATCTACCGCACAATCTTTGTAGCACCTGGAGCTTACAGCTGTCTTTGTGGGATCACCATCTGCAATAGCAAGCGCCAGACTAGCATATCCTAACCTCAAATTTTCAGGAAGATCCTTCACTTGGCCATAGTTGAGCAATGCAACCTATTAGTGAGACAAAGATACTGATTTTTATGAGAGAACATACAATTGTTTCAGAAAACTTGCCTCAGAACCTTTACAGATCGAAATGTTCCCGGGGTGAGGATCTGCGTGAAAAAATCCACTCTTGAGTACCATTTGACCCTAAGCAAGTGTCAAGCTTCTAAGAATGTTCTTGTAGTTTTTACATGCAGAATCAGATAATCTTATAATGGGTGATTTTATGAACACTCATAGCTATCATGCATAAATTCATCCAGTAGTTGTCACAAAATAATCATGGAGTTGTGGTCACATCAAGAAGATAATAAAACTGAACTTTAGAAGGATTTTTGAAATGTAATGAGCTTCCCTGGAGAGTTTGCATTCGTTTAATGGTTCATAGAACCTTTGAGGAGAGAACGAAAGGGTGAGTCTTAAAACTAGTATGTTACAACAGCAGATCGTTTCAAGGATTATTTATTCAGGAAACAAAATGGAAAACACAGGTAAGAACTTCAAATATGGGCATAACTGTGGGTAACAGGTGCAGCAAGAAAAATAGTGCATAGATTAATGACATACATATGGGTAAGAAGGAAATTAATTTCAGACTACATAAAGATGATGTAGAGCTTACTCTTAGCTGCCATTGCTACTTTCTCAACAGGATTTATGCCTCTTTTTTCTATCTCATCACCAAGCTTTAGAATAGGGATTCCACCTATAAATTCCATCACTAGAACCCTCCCGTAAATAATTTTCATTACCTTATTGAAGTACTTAATTGGTAATGGTTAATGCATATAACTGGCGGCATATGAGCATCGGACATCAAAGTCTTAAGAGTAGTTATGAGAGCTGCAACAATAATTTGTATTCAACTTGCCCTAGTTAAGCGTGGATAACAATCCACATTCGTGGTACTGCGACTGGGCTCTTTTTGTTATTTTTATTCAGGGGCATCAGCCCCAGCAGAGTCCATTGAAAGAGCGTACGTATCTTATCTTCCTTCTCATACAAATCAATCTGTTGGCCTCCTCCTTAATTTACTTGCTTACTTACACCCCACCCATCTAAACAAACAAACTTAAACTTAAACTTAAACGTTGGTAGGGAGATGGATAAGAATAGCAGCAGCTTCAGCTGAAGTCTGACAAACATGGGATTTTGGCAATGACTGTGGGTGGCAGTCAGCAGTCAGAATGTGATGTAGGGACTAGGGAGGGAGAGGGAGTATAGTATCCCATCCCACTACTACGTAACGAGTACCTGCCAGCCACAGTCAGTGCCACATGACATCCAAACAGATCAGATCAGGCCAGGGGAAAGTGCAAGAACATTTTATTTATTTACTTTATTTATATATGTTAAGTGGGCAGGGCAGGGCAGGGCGTGCGTACAGTACAGTACAGTACAGTACTGTCGTGGCTAAATTATGCGCTGCCTGCCACAAACATAAACATAACCATAACCATTAACGACCGGCCCCGGCCCCTTAAAAACCGCTACCTACAAATAAATGCGATCCTCCCTTCCCCTCTCTCGTACAGTCCAGATTGCCGTTTCCATTTCCGAATCATTGATTAAACCCTCAATCAGATCACCGCCGGCGTCAGAATAAAATATCGTCGCAGAGCATGTCGTGTTCGGATTCAGATGCATCCTCCCACGGGGGAGCGGGAGGAGGAGAGTACAACAACTTTCGCCAAGCCAGTCGCGATCGTACGCAAACAATAATTAACACTAGCTATATCTATATATATTATTAAAAATACTGTGTTTTGCAATGTGACCTTTCAGCATCTCTCCGTTAGGGAATGCTCGCTCTTTTAATTTGGATCATCGAGCGTTGATCAAAGTGTTATTATTCTTCTTATTATTACTATTTGTGAGATCGTTGAACGGTTATTGTCTTTCGTACGTTTGCTTGTTGTTTTCAGGGCTAGTTGATAATTTTCTACGTTTGACTTTCTTTTATGGCCCTTAGGAGGAGTACAATAAGTCGGCATTTTTTAGCCATTAGTACTTTGAGTTAAAAACACGTATTTCATCACTAATATTACAGTCACCAAAACAATGTCGCTAGCTAATGTTAAATTAGCCAATGGAGAAAACATACAGGTTTATGTGAAAGGAATGTCTTCTGTTGATATATTTTCTTTTGGATACCTAAAATGGTTTCATGCTATTTTGCACTTGTCTACTTCTTTTTCAATGCATTTTCTCTCTAAAATTATTTAATTAAGTTGGCTAATGTTGGTTGAAATTTTCACATGAGATCTAAATTTATTGTTTCTTTGGTCTTTCAGGATTATTATACGAAATGCTTCAAACTTCAAAACCAGGAGACTCAAGATCATCATGGAAGGTGTACTTTATCTCACTGCAGCACTGCATATGAATTACAGTTACCATCATGAAGTGAGGCTTTCAGGCTTTACAATCTCAAAGTCCTCGTATATAGACTATATTTGTTCATTTGGCTATACTTCTATTTTCAAAGTTAATGGACAAACCATTTGATTGCATTATAATTTACTAACAAGTAAGATTTGTATTGTTGGTTTGTTTATCCTTAAAACAAGTTAAGAACAATATGGTTTGGATATGTACATTCATAAAGTATATACTCTTGTAAAACTATAAAATCCTTGTATGCATTTTTATTGATGGTGAATTCGTTATGGACAAAAAAAAATTGTCTGTACTCGGAAGCATAGAATGAAAGTAACTATTTGATGAGGCAATAATGGCAAGGAACCCTTCCTTGATGGTGACATCGGCTTGGCATTGATCATAATAGGGGTTCCATGTTCAATCATGTATTGCATACATATGTTATTATTAGTGTTTAAATTTGGTGGGCATTTATAGGGATTGGAAATGAAAAGAAATACCCTTAGTAGGGATTAGAAACTTTGTGAAGCGTTTTTTTAGATGATGTTTGTTGTATGCTTTGTGTTTCTTATACAGTGCTGTTTTATTCTTTGTTTTTATCGGTTTTGCCTTCTTGTCATTGTCTTGTCTCATTTTTCTGGCCATGCTTTCTTACATTCACAAATTCCTAGTTTTTCTATTCAGGTGCTTATCATGGATAAAGTTACAGTAAAAGTGATGTCACACTCATGCAAAATGGCAGATATAACAGACCAAGGAGTTTCATGTAAGCTTTTCTATAATCATGGTTGTCAAACAAACACACATAAGAAACCAAGCCATAATATCTGAAGCAGGCGAGATTTATTTAATTTGAAAACCTTAACCCAAGACCTTACAACAATTCAATGTTAACACTAGGCCAATTTTGCTCTTTTCTACGTCCAGGCTTTTCAGCGACTTTTCCAGTTCCAGCCACTCTTTGTCTTTGAAAAATGAGAAATTTCATCTTCCCTTTTTCTTTATCCAATTTCTCTGGATTAAAATATTCAAATAATTCCTTAAGTTGTTCCAAAATTAATTTCAAAATTTAACTTCTGTTCTTTTTGTCGTTTACAAAGTCAGGGTATTACATTCTATCCTATTATCATTGTCTGTATATAGGGATTAATGACCAGATATATTCTGTATCCCATTTTTCCTGGTTTACTGGACATAGGATTTCTTGAATTTCAGAGAGCTTCTCATTATATTCCTAACTTAAGTTACAACAGTAGTATTTGTTTTGGTGTGGCCTGAAGTTATTGTATAAGTTTCCAGCAATCTGTAGAGGTACTTATTATTGGACCTTCTAATTATATATTCATAGTTATGTTGTTGCCATTTTTATCAGTGGACGAAGACCTCTATAGAAGAAGACAACCTTTACCTTCATTGGATGCCATATATTTCATTAAACCTACCAAAGAGAAGTATGATCATCCTTCAGTCTTCATCTTGATTTGTAGGAATTAATATAGTAGAAAAACAATCAGCTCATGTCTTTTCCTGCAATTCTTATTTAACGTTTACTTAAATGCAAGTAAATCTGTGTTCTTTATCTTTTTTCTATAAATTTGTTTGAAGCTTTAGTGCAGCTTCTGTGATACCATTTATGCACTTTTCACCCAAAATGAAAAGATTGCATCCTTTTTAAATCATGTTTGCACTTGAGTCCTTGATCTATATTACTTTTGTCAGGAGCCAGTAAATTTAGTCTAAAGGGGTTAGGAAAAACAAAGGCACTGAATCCTATGCTTATTATCCTTTTCAGTGTGATTTTGCTTTTGTCCGACATGTCAGGAAGAGAACCATTATACAGAAAGTACGCTACAAAGATTTTTCATTACAAAAATAACTGTATGTGCTTATGTTATATTTCGAGTCTGAGTGCTTCCTGTTTTCTCTCGGTTATCCCACAACTGCAGAGCATATGTATACTTCAGTTCATCAATATCAAAAGACCTTGTTTCACGGATAAAACGGGATTCTTCGGTTTTACGTCGTATTGGCGCATTAAGAGAGGTTCGCAATTGCTCATTATTAGGAACTACACATACACACAATTTGTCTGTATCTAATGAATTTTTTTTCCCCCTTGATTATGCAAATTACAGATGAATTTGGAGTATTTCTCCATAGACAGTCAGGTAATCCATTATTTGTTCATTCATGTAACTCTCATTACATAATACTACCTTTCAAATTTAATTGTCAGCACCGTAAGGTTCTTGTCCTAGTATCCTGAATCTTTATCAGCTTCCAGGGATTCATAACCGATCATGTAAACGCACTCGAGGAACTCTTTGGCCAGGATGCAGAAACTTCTCATAGAGTTGATATGTGCTTGAACACAATGGCCAAAAGAATTGCTACTGTTTTTGCTTCCTTAAAGGTATCTAATGATATCTGTTTCTGTCCCCATCCTTCAATCCAATTTTACATATTCCTCCTCAAGAGCAGGAAGATTAGATGCAGTAGTGAGATTGATCTTGCATTTAGGGGGTCTGGGAACATTTGAAATTTTCTACAGATCTATTTAATGTGTAAATGATGGAAGGTTCATGGAGTACATATTGTGCCACTGACAAGTGACAATTTCTTCTTAAGTTAATGAATTAGGTTTCTTGTGAATCTTGGGGTAGTAAATTGCAAAGAGTGAATTTGATGTCTCCATATCATTTATTAGAGTTCCATATTGATTTTCTACCACAGGAATTTCCGTATGTGTGGTATAGAACAGCCAGGGGACTTGAAGATGCTACAACAGTTACATTTCGTGAACTAATTCCTACAAAGCTTGCTGCAGCAGTTTGGGACAACATTTCATCATATAAATCTTCCATTCGTAACTTTCCCCAAACAGAAACCTGTGAATTACTACTGATAGTGGACAGATCAGTTGATCAGGTGTCATGAATTTGTCTGATATATTTCCTTCATGATTATTGCTTTCCATAATTTTGCTTTATTTTCTGTTGTAGATTGCCCCCATCATTCATGAGTGGACCTATGATGCTATGTGTCACGATCTACTTGAATTGGAAGGAACTAAATATGTGCATGAGGTAAGTGTTTGCATTGAACCACTGTTTGTTTTCATCTACACACTCCCAATTGCATACAACATTGATCATAGGTTCCTAGCAAATCTGGTGGTCAGCCTGACAGAAAGGAAGTTCTTTTGGAAGATCATGATCCAATCTGGCTTCAGCTCCGGCACACTCACATAGCAGAGGTACTTGCTTATGCACGCACTTCCTTTCATGTTCGATTAATTGAAAATGACCTATGCAATGTGTTTTCTAATTTCAGGCCAGTGAACGGTTGCACGAGAAGATGATGAGTTTTGCTTCCAAAAACAAGGCAGCGCAATTGCAACAAAGGTGGATTTTTTTTTTAAATGCTCATTTATTTTTCTTTTATAAAGCGTACAGAGTCTCTCAACGGTAAATAGAATTTCATGCATTTCCTTTTCACCTTGATTGGAAAATCTTCACTAGTATACTACAAATACCAATATGTAGTGTATGAGGATGGTGGGTCATCGTCCAGCTTCTGACCCAGCAGGGTCAGGAGCTTTCTGCCTACTCACTGCAGTGGCTGGACCTTAGATGAGCCACTGCATGGTAATCTACATCTCTGTGCTGTGTGCATATCTAGAACAAACGTAATTTCAGTTTTAGAGATTAAATTTCTAAAACTTGTCATATAATGTAAAGATGAAGACATTAAACCAGCTTGATCAACACTTGGCAAGTGAACAAGTTGGACTGTAATATTTGCAAGTGTGCTCTCATTGACAATATATGATTTCAAGCTTTTGTTTTTTTCTTTTTCTCGATGTAGAGATGGTAGTGCTCTTTCCACAAGGGACCTTCAGAAATTGGTTCAGTCTTTGCCAGAGTACAATGCTCAGATGGAGAAACTCTCTCTTCATGTCGAGGTTATTCTTCATTCACAATGTGTACCTATTCTTTTCTCATTAGTGCAGTCATAATGTGAAGCATTACAAATTGACCTGAGAAACTAATCAAGCCTGTAAAACTTGTGTGCACACTTAACAAGGTTACCTAATTTAATTGGAGTTCTAACGTTTCCAATGATGTTGGACAGATATCTGATGTTCTTCGTATTACCAAATGAGCAGTTGAGGATCAGTCAAAATGGGAATATCTTGAATAATCACGATGACAATATGATGCATGATAGCTGGAACCTCAAAAATTACTGATTTTGCCTCTTCTTCAATCAGATCGCTGGAAAGCTTAATAAAATTATCAAAGATGAGGGTCTTCAAGAACTTGGACAACTTGAGCAGGACCTTGTATTTGGTGATGCAGGAACAAAAGAAATGATCAATTACCTGAGAAGAAAAGAGGTATCGATATCATAATTTTATTGAGAGATGCTACTAACATTTACAGACTTGGTTCTTTTTTATGTTCTAATAAGTATATTTAAGCCTGCAGGACAAAAGTGAGAATAATCTGCGGCTTATGATGATATATGCTGCTGTCTATCCTGAAAAGTTTGAGGGTGATAAAGCATCAAAACTCATGCAGGTTGCCAAATTCCCTTCTGCCCTTTCTCACTGCTTTGAGTGTGCACATGCATTCTAAATTATCTCTCTCTAAAAATCACAATCGCATGCTCTTGTGCATCATTTAATGTGTACAAGACTAAATAGGAAGGAGTTTTTGATTTGTAACTTAATGGAATATGCAAAGGATGTTGATGGTTATGCACTTGAAATATAGTATGACTCGTTAGTTTCTTTTGAAGTTAAAAGTTAATATATATCTTCAGTTAATCCTTGCCTTATACAGAACTATTTGACATTTAAGAATCATGTTATGGTCATTTCTCAAACCTTCAATCTTCACCCTAGCTTGGAATCATGTAGGCCTTTGCTCATCTTTTAATGGATGTTAACAACATGGAAAAGTTCTGTGATGCAAAGTTTTGCATTTCAATTATTTGCAATTCTCAGATTGTTCTTTTCAATAAGATCTTATTTTGGATAGTAATTAAAAACATGTGTCAAAGTAATAGAAGATGCAAACTAACTCCGGCTAATAATAGCATGGTTGTTAATTTGATTTTTCAGCTAGCGAAATTGTCAGATGCAGAGATGAAAGTTGTGAAAAATATGAAATTTATTGAGGGGTATAACTCGAAAAAAGATTTAAAAGGAGCTTTCTCACTATTCTTTAGTTCAGGAAAGGTATGCATATTCCCATATGACAGTTTCATTATAGATACATGGAGTCAATGAATGGATAATGCTGAGGGCCGACAGTTGCTGGTTTTATTTGATTATTCAGAGGAAGCATTCAACAAGAAAGGATCGCCCTGGAGAGGAAGAGACATGGGCACTACTTCGGTTTTACCCCATGATAGAGGTTTGATTTAGCAATGCAAGTTTCTTTTCTAATTGAACTTGAACTATAAGATTAAACTTTTTATATTCATCGACTAATGCTGATAATAATATTCCATTCTTGTGATTGTTGTTCGGAAATATCATACCAAAATTTTACAGTATGTGCATTGGGATGGAATGTCAAAAACTCAATGGGATTGGGTAAAGGTTTAATGTGCAGAGCAACTTCTCCAGTCAGCCTATTGACATCACCACATGATCATATGTTTGTATTTTGTCTGGCTTTGCTTGGAGGTTCACAATGTTTGGTGTTTCATTAGGAGTTGATTGAGAAGTTGAGTACACGGGAGCTGCCAAAAGATGAATACCAATGCATGAACGGTCCGAGCACTTCAAGTCATGGGTCCCAAGCAAAGACTGAAGCCTCAAGTGCTACGTCAGTCCAAGCAGTTCAATCCACTGGTCCACATTCCATGAGATCTAGACGAACTCCCTCATGGGCAAGATCTCGCAGTTCAGATGGGGGTTATTTAAGGTATTACAAAAGTCATCCACTACCATTTCATTGAATACTATCTCATATTTTGAGTTTCTTATCATGAAATATTGCATGCATGTCTAAAATACCAATTTTGGTGTATAGTCCACTAACGTTTACATACATTCTCGTACAATTCTTTCAAATTCACTTGATCATTAAACTGTTAGAAATATTTTAGTAGCCATATTGATTATAATTTTTATTTTTGTTTTATACATAGATAAATTTAATTTGGTAATTTTATAAATTGTGAATTCATACATGTATTTCCTAGCAAACTTAAATGATGCCTAAGTTCTACATCTATCTTGTTGTGGCTTTCCAGTGATTCGTCACTCAAGTCTGAATCCAGTGATTTCAAAAAGATGGGACAACGGATTTTCATATTCATCATTGGTGGTGCAACTAGATCCGAGGTAAAAGATTTATTTTTCTTAATTTGTTGCCTTTAAATACACAATCTAAAGTTGTGCAACTCATCAATCAAATGTTTTTGGTCTCATAATCAGCTTAGGGTATGCCATAAACTTACATCAAAATTAAGGAGGGAAGTGGTCTTGGGGACAACTAGCATTGACAATCCGGATAACTATATAAAGGTAAAAGATTGCATCTCTCTCATATGCTGGCACAGTGCAGGAGCCTCGTTCAAAGATGTCTTTTACTAACTTCTTTACACACCCATCAATCCTGTTATAGATGTGATTAAACATCAATTAAGTCTGTGTTGGAGCTTAAGTAATCATTTGATTGAGCTTTGAGAGTATGGTAGTTGGTTGGTACTTTGTACCCAAGTTGGGGTGTGAGGCCATGTGCACGATGATGTATGCATTGTCTGCTAACTTTGTGTATTGTCCGCTCTGCAGAAGCTTCAGCGTTTGTCGGGAAACGAGGAGATATCCATTGATGATATTGATGTCTGAAACCCCTCTTCGTTCCCACACACACACACGTATGTACATGCATCTTGGTTTTAGCATTGATGGCTTGATAGGTGTCTTCAGTTTCTTGGATATATTATTATCATTATGTATGTATCACAAGTGGTCACCTTCGAAAATTTCCTGTGATTGAAACATTGACTTTTGCATCTTTAATTTCTCTTTTGTTCTTTTCAAGATTTTTTTCCATCGGGTCTAATTTATTAAGCCAGAGCGAGATATTGATGGCACAAAATTATGACAAGGCGTACCGGTGAGCATAGTGTTGTAATTTGTCACTTTTGCATTTATGCGAGTGATGTATTATTCATTGTACATACTACTAATAGTTGTTATATGATGTCCTTCATTGTACATACTACCCAATATTTATATGAAAACACCGCAAGCACATACGCCCATAGCTGATTATTAATAGTATTATATAAGGGTAAGGGTGCGGATATGGTGCTGATTACAACAAAACACTGTGCTGTGTCGAAATATACCATCACATAATGTAGGCAAAGAAAATCAAAACATCTTTCTGTTTTTACGTTATATGAGAGAACCTTCTGTTCATTAAATCTCTGAAATGTCTTAAGGGACATGATATAAACCTAGAGTGAAGTAGTAATAAATTTAGAGCAGAAACTAAGATAAGACTTTAGATTCAAACACAAGTAAAATGTCACCTGATGTAAATAGCTGAACAGCCACATCCCAAGAGTCCTCTGAGAAGGTGAAGAATCTCACAGTGGGCATCTTGAACAATACCTTGTCTAACTGATCTCCTGCTTCAAGAAAACATGAAATTCATGGGGGTCTAGTCTTTCCTGAGTTCAATATACTCACGCCGTATACCACCAGCATCCAGTACAACTATCTCCAGCTTGTCTCCCTGTAAAACAAGTCATCCAAGTATGTAAGAATCAAAACAGAGTGGCAGGATTACACGGTGAAGATAAAAAAAATTGATACCTACATACAAGTAAATAAATTATTAAATAAATCTGCACTGCATCACTTAATGTGCGTGAATGTACAAATAAACTAACTAAACTTTTTAATGTATTACATTAAGAGTATCAACTCCACAAGCAGTCTAACCCCCATAGCTCTTGCTTCTTGTATCATGCAAACAGATCATAACAGACTTATTTTCTGCACACAGGAATATACACAAAAATGAGAAAACCTACAGTGTATATGTCTCTTTCTGTAGCCGATGCAAAGCAAGTTTTCACCAAGTCAATTGCTTCCGACTCTGAAAGTGGAGTCACTGCATCCTGCATGAACGAATTATTATCTAGATATTCTGCCAATAAAATAAAGGCACAAGATATGTCCAAAATAAGCCCTGTCACGACCATACCTTTGCAGGTAATAAGAGAGGACTCGGAGACTTCAGTTGGTTGTCCAAGAAGGGTGTAATGAGCGTAGAACCTGAACCTTGGGAGCTATAACCGACCCTTTCATAAGATCCCACAGCATCATATGTGAAGACACAGCCCTTACCTTCAGCGTTGAAAATGCAAAGGTTAGGGTTAAAAGAAGAAGTTGCAGAAAGTTGAGCACTAATATGAAACAGATATAAACCAGTGGTCTCACCGTCATTGTCAAGGCCACCCAATACATTGAAAGCATAATACGGGAAGAAGCGTTTGTAGTACAAGGTGTTAGATAGCAATTGAGCCATTGCAGGACAGCTCATTTGTTTGTTATGTTGGTGCTGATATATCTAGAAATAAGAAACAACCATCAAATTTCACAAAATATGTTGGACAAAACAATTCAACTACTTGGGATAGATGGGATTATCATGTCATGTATATATATATATACCAGAGCGAGAGAGGAAGCAGCAGAAGGGGAACGTTTGAGTGGCTTACCAAGTGTCTTGCTGCCAAGACCTTTTGCAGAGCTCTCATGTCAGCCTGAAATCCTGAAGAGGCCATCAGAGCTTTACCAGTTCTACATAGGCAAACAGACAACTCATTACAAAATTATACTAGAATGATGATCCCATGCAGAGTATTTTGAAGCAACATCAGTAATGGTAACCAGAAAATGGGCAGCCATATACCTATGCAGCTTATAACAAATATAATGGACACTGATAAGAATCCTCAGTTAACTTATTCTACCCACGCACTCTTCTTTCCCTTTTCGTCCTTTGTTTATTTCTTAGAAATGATAACCATTCAACACCACTGATATAGCACATCACCAAATTACCAAACAAAAATATTTAAGCACCAATCTGAAAATGAGGAAAGAACTCAAACATGTGAATATTTTCAAAGCTGAATAATTCGGATGCAGCTGCAGCTGAGAGTAACCTAGAATCTGGACACAAATTGATTTCATTTTCTCCTAGCTTTCAAATTTTTAAGGATGAATTGCAAACTTTCTCAAGATAACCACCAAAACCCTTAAACTTGTGGACATTAAATTCCACCTTCGCACAACTTTCGTGAAATGAGTAATCATAGACAGGCAGGACTAAATCATCAAGCACTAATCCTCTAAAAATACGCTAATGCGCACTTGATCTTTTTTTCTCAAAAAGACAAAAAGAGAACTTAAGGCTACATTTATCCATCGTTTCTATAGCAGAAGTTTGCTGCTGAATCTTAGATATATAAACACATTATTAAAATACTGAATTAGAAGAATAAAACCGAAACAAGAAGAGGAGAGATATATTTACAGCTGAGTAATTTTGGAGTAATCGCGAGTGAGAATATTGTAGCCAGTGGACATCCGAGTATCGGCCGCAATCACACAGTAATCAGCTCCAGCAATGGCGACGCACGTCCTGCAACAAGCACCCATACATGAGCATTCAAATTGAAAGATGAATTAGGGTTAGGGGTGCGCACCCTCCATTATTGTCGTAAGGAGACCAATTCGCCTGCTGCTTAGCCATGAAGAATTCCGAAGAAAGAAGCAGAGAGAGCAATATCAGTTATAGTTTCGGCTGGCGATTGGGAAGCTGATCAATGTCTGGAACGGGGAGACGTCGATTACAGATTAAACAGCGAGTGAGAGTGAGAGTGAGAGTGGCACATTTGTAAATTGGTTGGTTCCAGCTGGGTGGGTTGGGCATCATCTTTTTAGTCTTGTGGAGGGAGGCAGAGAAGAACTGGGATTGGGCCTGGGCCTGGGCCTATATATTTCATAAGGAGCTGGTGTATGAAGAATTAAAAAAAAACCTAAAATGATGTGCTGCTGCTGATCCTTGCAAATGGCGGCAATGGACTAATTGACCTTAATTTTGCCATTGCCAGCCAACTATCATGAGTGAATCTCAGTTGAAAAGCACTACTGTGAGTGCGAGTGAGCGATGATACATACATACGATAGATACATACATGGATACATAGATGAGCAACTACCAGGTAATCAATCATTCATTCAGTATCATGAGTGAGTCATTTGTTCGATATCAGCCGGCACTGGCAGCACGATGATAAGGCAAATCCACATCATACACCTCCCAGTTATCATCGTCTTCCTTCTCCTCCTTTGAACGAGGAGGACTACCACCACTGTGCTCCTTAGTAGTCCGGTGATGATTTGTTGATGATGCTGGCGGCCGCCTGCTTGCTTCCACACAAACAATGGACGATGAATCAGAATGATCATATCAATGCTCTCTCTTTCTTTTATTTATATACAAATAAAACTACTACTGCTACTTGACTAGTCATTACAACATACTCACTCCACTAACTATTTGAAAGCAGAGAGGAGGAATGGAATGCAATGAACTGGAGGAAGGACATGGCTTGGCATGACCAGCAAAATCGAAATCAAAGCTCCTCTCCTCTTCCTCTTCCTCTTCCTTTTCCTCCCCCTCAATCACTTGATAGAAAGAAACAAAGAAAGAAAGAAAGAAAAAAACACCTCCATGGATTGGATTTGGAGGCATCCACCCTACCCCTACCCCTACCCCACCAATGCTGATGCATCATTCATTATTCATGTTCCTGATGCTTGGTGTTTGTGGGTCAGAGAAGAAGAGAATTCTCTATCATCTGCCAACTAACCACCAATGCTCATTCAATTCTCACCACTATAATGAAAAGGGATAGATCACATTCACATGCCTGGACATCAGAGCCCACTACACTACCGCATGCTATCTCAGTCAGTCAGTCAGTCAATTGCAACTGAAATTGAATCGTGTGTGTGTGTGATCCATAACAATTAACGACGACGGCTTCACTTTGCCAAGATTAAGAAAAAACGCCTAACCTTCTCCGGATCCGATTCCGCTTGGCAGCCTCCCGTACCTTCCTCTTCCTCTGCTCCTGCGAGGTTTCGAAGTGCCTCCTACGCTTACACTCCTGAATGACGCCAGCCTTCAGCACCTCCCGCCGGAACCTGCCAATCAACTTATCTTCTGCCTCCCTCTCGCCCACGGTCACCTCAACATTGTATGTCCTCGAACTAAACAAGAGCCTGTTTGAAAACGCAACTGACGGAAACGCCACAGATAAAGGATCAGATTCCTCGTAGCCGTAGCGCTGAAATTGTAGGGTTCCGCCTTCCTCTTCTTCTTCGGTGCTGATTTTGATAGGAGTGATGGGTTGGATCCCGAGATGGAGATTTAACGGGCTTTTGTTTTTGACGGAGGCAAAAGAGAGGTGTGGTAAGTGGGATTTTGGGACAGGGAGTAGGGTTTGAGGCGGGAAGGAGGAGGAGGAGAGGGAGAGGATATTAAGCTTGGAGATGGCAGCCATTGATTTTGACCATGGAAGCTCCTGCTACTGCTTCTTTTGTTTGTGTCTGTGGGAAGAAGAGGGATGAGAAGGAGGAGAGTTCGAGAGAGACGAGACGAGAAGAGGATCACATCGGAACATATCCAAGTTCCAACCCGACCCGACCGACCCAGCACAAGTACAACATGAGCATGAGCATGAGAGCGAGCTCGGCCTGTCCTGTCTCACTGTAGAGGCGGCCCGGCCCCATCCCCAGCCCCAGCCCGAGCCCGTATTTTCGCCTCTTCTGTTCTGTCTGATGAATTGTGGACGGGCTTAGACAAGCCCAACCCCGACCCAATGCTGATACTAGTAACATAGGTTAGGTACGTGTGGTTGCGAGCTCAGTCCAACTCTGGTTAGTAAGTTAGTTACAACTGTTGTTCAATTTTAAACCATACTCTTTACTTTAATCAAATGAATTCAAATATAAATGTTACTATTTTATTTATACATAGTAAAATTGTACATATATAGCAATTTATTAAATATCTTTTGTAAATAGATTCAACTTTAGGTCCAGCGGATGGATAATCAAGCACAGCCAGACAGCCATAGATAAATAGATAGATAGATAGACAGATAGATAGATGGAACCAACAAGATGCATGCATGCATAATGCACTACAAAGCAAGCATTAGAGAAAATTCAGAGTAGAGTGGATATAGGCAGCCACATAGGAAGGAGAATGGCAGGGGTGGGTCAGCCAGTCAGATCACGACAACTACTCTTCTTTCTTTCTTTCTTTCTGTTCTCTAGTTCGTTCATTCATTCCAGCTGAGAAGGAGCTGGATCTAAATCTGGTCGTCTGCATAATCAATTTTGCAAATGCTAACCATGTCATTTCCAAACTCCACTGAGCATTTGTCGCCAACCTTGATGTTGTTCCATTCACAAAAGCTGCTCCAGTTATCCGCTAGAACCCACTTAGGACTTTCATCAAGGTAGAGCACCGGGAACACCCTCCCCTGCGGGTCTTTCACATATACAGCCTTCGTCTGAGCCCCCCTCTCTCTGCGTCCGGGCCACAGGCCTGATGGGATCTGCACCGGCAACTCCTACACCAAATGCAATGCTGCTTTTTTATCAATCAATTCAAACTTATTAAAACAAACATCTTCCCACTAACTTGAAATTGAATGCCGTAACAATAATAGCATTGATGCCTCCTTCCTTCACAAGTTTGTACTACTTGCTACCAACACAGAGATATCTATCCATCTATCTATCTATCTATCTATCTATCTATATATATATATATATATATTCAAACAACATATTACAGGCAGCAACAACCATTTCTAGGAGGCAGGCTACACGGTATGTTGGGAGATCGAATGAATCATACATCCCCCATTAACTCTATAATCTCTATATACAAGTCACTTTGCCCACCCTTTTACAAATGCATATACAAGTCTGTTCCCCTAGTCAACATTGCAAATTGAAGATCAAAAAAACCCCGCCTAGCCAATATCCCCTTACTTTAAACTACCCATTGCATTCATCCCCACCAAGAATAGCTATCAACTACCAACTACACAGGATTGGCCACCCTCAACTCAAATTTCACTCCCTCACTTGCCACCAAGATTCCTTTCCAAGCTTCAATGATAAACTAATACATTCTACATGCTAATTATTGAAGAAGATTATTCCTATAAGCACCTTCACCATCATATGATAACGTCATACAAGTACCTTTATAACCCACAAATGAAATTTATGCCATTTTCTATCAGATACAGTCAACATTAGCAAGCATAGCATAATGAAAGGGCAAGGTGTAAGCAACTACAGCATAAACATTGAGAGTCGTATGAGCCACAAATTCAGTTAATAGAGAACAATGCCACATTCATGTACAACTTACAAAGAAGAAAACAAAAACATAAAATCAATAAACAGCATACCAGGTAAGATAGGGTTTTCACTTCAACTGAAAAGGAACCCAAAGAAGGCAATGTATCGGGTTCAATTTTTACAAAGGTGGATAACACCTGATCGTGTCTCCTATCTGTATTAGGCTCTTTTCCTGCATCATTTGAAAATCCAAAATCTATGGGCTTACTTGCTGCTAGCATAAACATAATTCCACTACTTATAAGTCGTAAAATTTCCACAAGACAGCTGAAAAAGGAAAGTAAACACACCACAATATGACACTGGGAAACCAACAGGTTCCTGTTTCAACTCCACCAGCTCTTTCTTGATACAATGCTTCCCTGTTTCTAACCAAAAAAAAATAAAACAATGGAACTTAAGACACCATATGGAAAATGAAGCAGGGAAAAGAATAAGAACACAAACCAAGGGAATTCTTGAACATTGCACTGAAGGATAAAGACTGATTTGCAGTATTTTCTTTTGAAGCAGTCGCACAGCCTGCAAGATCAGATTCATCATTGGAATCCAGGATACTGTCATTGCCTAAGGCATAAAATTATCATTGTTTACTAACATAGATTAAGAAGGGGCATTTGATTGTTTTTAGTAAAAACACACACACCCACACACATATATATATATATGTATGTATGTATGAGAAACATGTAGAATGGGATTAACCTCACTAACCATGGAGAAATTTTGGAGTAATATCTGACCCATCCTTGCTCAGTTTACTAAGCTCGGACTGTTTGGTATGGAGCTTATCACTCAAAATGCCGCCAGATTGGCCAATAACAGAATATGTACGGACAGTAGCTGTTTCAGTAGAATCATTCTTTGTCTTACTTTTCCCAGAAATTTCAGCACAGGGGGGAACCTTATAGTGCGAATCATTCTCAAACTTTTTAGTGAAAATATCGCCAGAAAAGGCACCATTACCATCTTTAAGGTCCACAGCAATTTGATTGTCATGCCCCGTTCTTTTTTGCTGCTCTACAATCTCTTCGACAATTTTTGTGTTTAACCCTTGATTAAACATGCCAGACAAAGTGCAAGAATTTCTATCAACCATATTTGTGTGGACTACAGGGTTTTGAGTGTTGTTACTGTGTATATTAGATTGTTCTGCACCTCCAGGATGAGTAGAGGCAACCTTCATGTCTATTGCTTTCCCAAATTTGTCAGCATACTCCAAAATTTTCGGAAGTGATTGGCTTACATCTGTTTCTAAAGCTTCATCAAGCATATTTGCTTGTTTAGTTGTGTTCCCCATCTCAAAAGCTGACAAATCGAACAAAATGCCCATTTCTTCTCCTTGATACCCTTCAGTTCGGTTGATCATGCAATTGAGATCCTCCATGCAATTAGCGCTGAACGGAAATTGCGGTCCTTCAAAGTTAGCATTGTTCACCACCAGTTGCTTATTAGAGTTATGTGCTTCCCTTCCAGAAGCAACTGAAGTTTCTAAGCTAGATTTATCCCTCAAATTTATATTAGTTTGTTCAAACAGTTCATGTGGGCCATCTGTTTCACTGACTCTTCTAGGTCTTTTGTTCTGCTGGGGCTTTTCATTTTTGAAATTGAATCTTTCACAAGCACTTTTTCCAAATATTTGAACTATAAAATGGTTCCCTCTCATATAGTTAAATACCAAGAATTCCCCTTCCTTCAGATTATGGTGTTGAAAAAATTCTTTCCATCCCTTCCGGAAAACCAGTGAATCATCAGCATCTTTGTACAATGTAACAGACCAATGCTGCTCGCATGAATCTTCAAGTTGAATTTTTTGGTTGACCAAATGCTTCACTTTAGAAGTAAACTCGGGAGGCACATACTGCAGGAAAATAACTAATTTCATGACAGTCCTATAATTTCAACAAAAACTCACGACTTCAGAATTACACCCAAAGTCGAAGCTATTAAGGTGATAATAAAAGCAGTACCAATCATCATAATTTATCAATATGCGCCAAAGATCACAATGGTAATATGAAGATAATTTCCATGTTAGAAAAGTTCAAGCTCATTTCCTTAGGTCCCAAAAAATAAATAAATAAACTTGTTTATTAGCCCACATAATAAATGAGGGTCATGAGCAGCACACAAGATCACACAAGAAGCATGAAATTACATGAGCCATCCCATCCAACAGAGAAACATTAAAAATATCTCACAGAACATTAGAAACAAATAACAGTTAAGGTAAGCACCAACAGAGATAGAGAGTGAGTTCACAGTACCAGAACTCGTGAGCAATCCTTCCCATAAATAACTTTAAAAAATCGAGCAACCACGGGCGGTTGACCATTTTGGTTTTTGTGATATGTCTTACAATTTCTTGTGCACTCTTCACATGCTACGCCTCTACAAGCCATCTTGATTCCCCAGCAGCAATTTATACGAGCTTACGATCTACATGCATACAATAAATAAATCAAAGATAAGAAAAAAAAAAAAAAAAAAAAGAAGAAGAAGTAAACGTTTCTCAAGCAGGAATCTTCCTCAAATCAGAAAAAAAAAAATAATATATATGTGAAAATGTAATGGTGGAAAACTCATGCAAGCTGCAATACAGAACCATACAAAACACTGACCAAGAAATCATCTCTGTTTCCTTTATTTTTAGAGCGTGTATTAGTACTAATAAAGAATTGAGACTCATATTATTATAGCATTAATCTAAAGTGCCAACACTAACAGTCACAAACTCTTTTGTTTCCATTTTGCACTATGCTTTGTTATGGCTATGTGCCATATGTCGCAGTCCTCGGGAGCTTTCGCACCATGGCGCGTCATTTCCAGTTGACAACTAATGACGAAGCAGACCTAATCAAGATGCCCTCTAGCTAGTTTGTTTCTTCTTTTAAATACCAAAACCAGCTTATAAAGACACTTGAACACTAGTTTTCTAGCAGAATTCAAAATGTAGAATAACTTCAATGCCACATTAACGCAGCTTGGGTTCAAAGGAAAGGCACAACATATGTACAGTATGGTAACTTGTGAGGGGTTTTCAATTCGAAGAGCGAAGCAAGCCATCAGAAGACAGAACTGAGAACCATTAAAGGTATGTGGTCCGGAAAAGAAACCCAAAAAGAAAAAGAAAAAATCATCGGTTTTTCTTAGTATCAACGCTCGTGTCCAGTAAACTAAAAAATACGCAGAACATTATATCAAATTATTTAAATCGAAACTCAAAACCAAATTTCCAACCCATTGAAAAGAAGGGTTGCCAATAAACCCTACAGTGCAAGTCATGATCTTTAAACTCGATAAGCGTACATGCAGAAGCGGAGGCATTTGATATTTAAGCAACAGAAGAACACAGGAAGATGAAGTGGCAGAGCAGACGGGAAAACAAAAATTTTACTTGTGGGGTATGAGCATGGCATCCAACGGTTGGTGTTAATCGGAAGGGAGGAGTAAAGGGTCTCGGTGGGTGCAAGTCGAAATTTTCAAGTGAGAGAGAATGAGGAGGGTGGGGTTACGAGAATTAAAAATATCTCTACGAAACGGAGGAGGGAGGGACGAGAAAGATACGGAGAGAGAGAGAGAGAGAGAGAGAGAGAGGGAAAGAGAGTCTGATTCTGATAGTAAAATTATCTATAGAATTAATCAATATGTTGTATATTATTTTATTCAATTTAACAAAATATTTAAAATTAATTATAGGCGAATCTTATGATAGGAGGGATGAAAGATTGATTATTGAGGTTGGTGTAAGTTAAGAAGGTGAAGCTGTTTAGTGGGCCGGGCTGGTCTTAATCAGATAACTTGAACTTGGCTTGAAGACTCTATCTATCGATATAATAAATTTGATTTGGATTCATTCCATAATTGGCCCAAGAGACTCAATCCATAACTGATCCACTCCAGAATCGAATTATCATACTACTAGCTAGCTTATTATAAATAAATATTTTAGTCCAAGATCATTTGCCCAACAGCTTCTCTTCTCTAATAGGACAACATCCCTCGTCTCGTCTCGTCTCGTCTCATCTCATCTCCTCTGCTATCCCCTCCAACAAATTTTAGGTACATGCATACATATCCATCCCACGGATGTGATCATCAGGCGATAGGTTAAAATAATCATAATCATAAAGTCAGTCAACAAAATAATCTCTACTCCCTACCAGCTACTACCACCTGTCTGCCTGCCTATCAACATTGGTTCAACCCTGTTTGTAAGTATCATTCCAATGCCAAGGCCTTCTCCCTCCCTCCATTTGATCACACGAGAGAGAGATCAGATCAGATCATGGCTTACGTTGCTCTTGGCTCACTTGCACGAGCACTCGAGCAGATCCTTCTGTTCCATGACCGTCGTCAGGTTTCCTTTTCTCTCCATGAGAGACAACAGATCAGATCTCTACACGGCAACGCCATTTTCTTGTTGGCCTTCCTCGAAGAATTTCCAAGAGAATCCAGCAAGTGGGAGGGGCAGATCAAGCAGGCAGCAGGTCGAGCAGAAGATATCATCCGCCGCCAGTATCATCTGCACAGGGATGCTGATGATCATCATCATTCAGCAGGATTCCGATGTCCCGATGCCATGCTGATCATCTCATCCTGCATCACGCAAGTGTATCTGTCCCTCAAAACTGCTCTACGCCACCATCAAACTGGCTGGCCGGTGACAAACAAAAGTTACAACTGGCAGAGGTTATACATTGAGCTCCTCGGCGTAGCACAGCAACTTGCATCTATAGCGGAGCAGATGCAGATGCATAGAAGAAGAAGAGCAACAACAAGTGCCCTCACGAGGAAAGAGATGCTCTCAAGTAAATCCTTCAGCTCCACTTGTGATCCATCCATAGTTGCGACTTCAGACAACTTGGTAGGACTGGGCCATGAAGATGACTGCAAGGACTCCTCCTCCTCCTCTGTGAAACTAATAAAGGCTCGGCTAAGCGGATGGAGGTCCATTTAGAACTTCATTCATTGTCCCGAGATTTTTATTTCCTGTAACCAGTCACTGCATCCATATTAAGAAGGGCATGATGTATGAGCAGTGAGCAGTGATACTTTGGGAAGATGAAGCTTGCAATTAGACTTGAATTCACAGTCTCCAGTTTCTCATGAAGAAACTGCACAGGCTTTGCGGATATTCTTCGACTACTACGGGAAAGTGGACCTCGGTTACTTGATGGCTCATGGCAAATGCTTGAGGGATTGGCGAGCTCTTTTTTTATGTTGGATAAAATACAGTCTTAATTAAGGGGGAGGAACAAACAAACAAGGATAAAAACAGCAGAAGATGTCTTGATAGGTCACTTCACCAATTAAAGTTGCATGCAGCTCACAAAAACAACACGAGGGACAATTTTCAATGCCATGAAAGCAGGAACAAGAGGAAGTGGAGTGGAAACACATAACACGCAAAGGTACACTAGCATCATCAACTCATTTGAGAGTACCAGTGAAGCACAAAATTAAGACAACTTCTTTACAAGAGGAAGTGGAAACATTTGATTGATTCATGTAGTAGTAGTAGTAGAAGCAGCAGCAGTAGGCAGCTCAGTGAGAGTAGATAATGATGACATAATTGGGAGGAGGGAGGGAGGGAAGGAAGGAAGGTTGCTGGGACAGTGGACACTGATAACTGATTAGCTTAGTTTAGCCTAGTAGAGTCCATTGTTGTCCACACACACACACATGTGCATATATAGATATATATGACATGATATGACCGACATTCTTCCCTCACTCTTCCATTGCAACAGCATCTTATTTACTCCCTTTTCCTTGTGGAGGAATGGATTTCTTCTTCCCAACCAGCCAGCAAGCAAACTTAGAATAGAATAGAATAGAGAAATACTGGTCCAGCAGCACAATATATAATAGTCTGAATGAGGCCTGCTTGCACTTGCTCTTTGCATCACCCTGCCTCGCCTCAGACGTATATATCATGAAAATGGTGAGGGTGGGCAAGCCTACTTGCTCTCTAATCTCTTCTCCATATGAAAATGGAAATGGAAATCAATGCTCCCTCTCTTAGTCATAATTGAACACCTAAGTCGTAGTGTTGTATTTGTTGTTGATGATAATAATAACACCAAGGACCAGAGATCTCTTCTTCTGCCCCCTAAATCTAATCGTGGTGGTCTGCCCGCAAAAGAAGAACATGTGATCATTACTTCCTTTAATAAATTAATTAATTGTAGATAGATAGAAAGAAAGAAAACTAGAAGTATGATTGCGATGGGGCAGTGTGCCAGCCAGCAGAGCCCCAAATTAGAAGCTATATGCTGCCTCCTCCTCCTCCTCCTGCTCCAGCACATCATTTTTTAACTCCTCTCTCCCCCTCTTCCTCTCTAGCCGTGATACACAGATCAGAGGAAACGCATATCCGTCGAATACAAGTATAGAGTAGATCTGATCTGATCTGGCAGCATGTTTGATCCTGCGAATGATCTGGCGCCTCCGCCTTCTTCGCCGACTGTTTCTTCCCTGTCCTCTTCTGATCTTGATACCGAGGTACTACTCTTTCTACTTCCTCTCTCTCTCTCTCTCGCCTGCCCCCCTTTCAGTTTCAATTTCAATTCCATTTCTTTCTTTCTGGGTAAAGAACAAGCTTGGATATTATGTTATGTGTGTGCAGTCGACGGGGTCCTTCTTCCACGACAGGAGCACCACATTAGGGACGCTGATGGGCGTCACCCTCCAAGCAATTACCTTCAGGGCTTCCTCCCAGCACCGCCACCAGCAGCAGCAGCAGCAGCAGGAGAACCTCAGCCACCCATCGGCCTCTTCCCGGAGAAGCAAGAATGGTAATAACCCCAGGAAGACCCGAGCAGCGGCAGCGGCAGCGGCGGCGGCGCGGCAGAGGCGGAGATGGTGGAGGCTATGCAGGGACGACGCCGACGCCAGAAGGGCTTCTCTCGGAGAGTATTTGGAGGTCGAGAGGAGATTCGGGGGCGGCTCGGCCGTGGAACTCGATCAGGAGCTGCTGGTTCAGGAGGCGCACACAAATGGGCGTGCATTGTTCGCTGACGGCAGGGTTCTACCCCCGGCGGACCACGAGGAATCCTCTCCGGCGGTACTCTGCCGGTTCTCGGCGGTGGAGCGCTGTTGCAGTCTTGTGCTCTAGCACTAGTACAGAAACCAAACCAAACCAAACCAAACCAGACCAGACCAGACCAAGATCAGTGGCCAAGCACCTTTATTTTGTTTTGGGGGTCTTCAGCTTTTTTCTCCACGAGCTGCTGCTGCAGCTATGCTCTTTTTGGACCTTTTGCTTTTGCCTTTACTAGTAGAGAAATAATTAAACAACCAACCTCTATATAAACCTCTTAAAGTACATGGTGGTGGGCAGGCAGCTGGCTGTTCCAAACAGCGCTACTTCCCTCTCTGTTTCGTCCGTTCAATTCCCACCCCCCCCCCCCCCCCCCCTTACCTTACTTAGTGCTTACTACTACTCTCATAGGGTTTACGAGAACAAATCCCAATCATTTTCTTGGGTCTATTAATAATCTCTCGGTACCCTCTTTCCTGACCCGTGTTCATACGCTAGAGTTGTGAGTTGACTATTATTATTATTATTATTATTATAAACCAGCATTGCCCACTGATGAAAATTGGAGAGGAAGTATAACTAACCAACCAAATTGGATGCTGCTTGCTTATATCGTTCTTGCCAACTAGAGATGTATGCATACATGCATGCCTGGTATTTGCATTTTCAGCTTAGCCAGCCAACCTTCCTTCCTTCAGGTGCTTGTCTAGTCTTCCACAATTCCAATAAGCTCATTAGCACACCACAAACAAAACAGTACGAGATTTGGAGGAGTTGCCTGAGCATTAGAGAAAGTCCCTACAGATCAAACTGCTAAATAGTTCAAGACGTGTTGTTCACTTGTTCTTCACCGCCACACCACATCATCAACTTCACTCCCATGTGAGATCTGCTTACAAAGAATGCACCCCAGCTTTTCTATAGAAATGAAAATCATGTTTATATAAATGAATGAATGAGAGAGAGCGGGAGTGAGAGAGGTAACACACTGCCACCGACCTACTTCAGTATGTACCATTGAAATTGACTACATCCAATCCAAACGAGGGTGAACTTATACACCTTCTCCCTATGATCTCAGATTGTGCGGACCAGTTCCAACGGCACACTTTCCATTGCCATCTGAACTCAGAGCCAAAAGGATGCCACCACTTAACCAAGGAAAAACAGAATCATGTAATTCTAAACAAAATATAAGTGCTACCACTGGCATGCACTTACACCTTAGAGAATCATAGAATCATACATACCCATGGCGTAGGAGATTTGGGATCAGACTTCGACCGCTTCTTGGATATGTCTGTCTGGAATGTTATCATGACAATGATCTTGAATTCGACAGAAAATGGACTGAGAAAAACGAAAGACTTGAATTAGGTACCAGTAACTGGAACATGATAGCTGTTTCCACCCAAAAAAAGTAAAAAGCACATCATATTTACAAATCTAATTTTCATTTAACCCATTAAGTTCATAACCTATTATCTCTATTAAAACAAATTCAAATCGAAAGATATCCAAACACTTCGTAAGTATTTATAAACAGCCGCTAACTCCTCAACATATAAAAAGTGCAACAACACAAAATATGCCATTAAAGAATAGGACCCTTAATTGTTTCACTGCCTTAATTGCGTTCAATGTAAATTCCCATAAGAATTATGTAATTATCATATCTCCAAATCCAACAGAATAGGGAAGACAAATCATTTGAGAAAGTCCATTTTACGGCTTCCCTATTCAATTTTTTAGGTTCCTATTTCTCATTTCTTGCTCCAAGTCAACTCACAGCTTAGAGCAATGACAATGGATTTAAGTGAAAAAATGCCTCTAAAATATTACGTGTCAAAGCTTTGTTTTAATCTACAGGGATCTCAAGGGAAGGATAAATAAAAATTGTACAATGGCTTTCACATCTCCCTCTTCTTCCTCGTCAAATTCTCCCTACAACTTTTTTCCAAAATTCAGCCAGTGAATCGCACCTATTTGAAAGTCTGTTTTACTCTCCCTCTACGTGTGTATATATATATATATGTGTGTGTGCCCCTGTGTGTGTAGCAAAATGACTTTTTCCCAAAATTATTTGAAAGTTTGTTTTTACTTTCTCTCTCTGTCTCTCTCTCTCTCTATATATACATATATGTAGTAGATGGGTTTTTTCTCCTCCCTCTCCCTCCCTTCTCCCTCTCGCGCACTGGTAAAATTATTAAAGGTCTGTTTTTACCTCTCTATGTATACATATATGTGTATGTAGTAGGTAAGTTTTTCATTTTGTGGACAATTGCAGAAAGATTCATTCCAGAAAGATTGGAGAGAATGAAGAGAAGAAGAGAAAATGGAGTGAAAAAATCCGTCAATGCTGCCTTGACTTCACGAGGCATCGTCGATGCCATAAAAGATTTTGCCTCCAAAATTGAGCCACTGTGTAGTGTATTTTGCCAGTGTCAGAATAAAAGTTTCTAAAACATCTAAGATGGCCTCTACAAATAGGTCATTGTTATTGCTCTTATGCGTGCAAACCATCAATTTTTTCATAAAACTAAGAAATCAAATGCTCACTCCGTCAGCCAAATTTATTCTCATTTTTCTTTTTAGTCCACTAAATTTATCCCATTATTAATTTTGACAAAGTAAACAAATCAACATTTAATTATTACCCTCAATTCAACACTTATTTATAACAAATACCACTAACTTTATTACATTATCTATCTTCATTTACTTTACTTTTTAACTAAAATTTCAAAAATACCCTCAACTACCTATCACTTTTTCAATAAAATATTCACTTTTCTTAATTCCCGTGCCGAGCCAAAAATGGGTTAATTTTAGCGGACTGCGGGAGTATAAACCAAGAAGTGAAATTGCGCAATCAAATACTTACCCAGCAAAAATTGTCGGACAAGTCAATAGTCGTGGAAGAATGATATAAATAGGCAGAGTCAAGCCACAAGACACGTCCCCGTCTGCTATCTAACAAGAGAATGAAACATTAATTAAAAGAGAGGGGAAGGGGTGGGGGGGGGGGGGGTGGGGGTGGTTGTATATCAACATATCAAACACAGAATAGATGGGCTAGGAGCAAGTTGAATGCCTGAGTTGTTTGTATCAGAGATGTTTCAGTTGCTATCTTATCTCCAATCAAAATTGATTCCACTCGAAGCAAATGCATATCTATGGATTGAATAGGAAAGGAAGATGCTTCAACAGTCAACTCCCCACCAACAGGATCTGACAATGAACATTGAGTACAGATTCTCCCCGTCACTCGGAAACCACCTATTCACGGTAGGGCAGTGACTTAAGTTCTCAGAATATTCAACATCCAGGTGCATCGTATGGTTCACAGATGCATGGATGAAAATATATCTCAACTACAAGATACATCAATTCAACTATTAAAAGTGAAATGCATAATATTCAAAAGAGAGTCCTCTATAAACAGCCTGTATTAAAATTCAGTTATGTGCAGGAGTAAATTTCTTAAAAAAAAGGGTCTGACTAAACAAACTCCAATGTATCGTATATGTAGATATGCTATCAAAACATCTTCCATCGAGTCAGGGGCATTTTCATATGCACGAATCCTCAAGTAGATATATAAATGGCTTATTCTCACTCAATCTTGGGATCATTGTTTTCAATATTTCTTAGTTCACCTTTCACATTCAGCTTCTTCAAAAACATAACTATGAAATTGAACAAAAATATACAAGGAAAATAGCAACAACCCCCAACCTTTTCTTAGTTCAGAAAGTAATGTATGCCTTTGGGTGTCCTGGGTAATATAAAAGATGATCAGTTCTGGAGGAACTGGTTTCTCTGGAAGATTGTCTGAGATGATTATTAGAGAGAAAAAGTCAACAAGTACAGAACAACAAGCATATGACAAATTCAAATACATAAATGAGTAAAGTTGTACCTTTTTCACTTTCAACAATGAATTCGATTGTTGCCGACAAAGGCTTGTGCAAGTATCCTCTCACTATGTCTACAGTTACCAGATACTATGATGCCATTTATTAAAAACAGGATATTTCTAGAAACCAACTGAAAGCAACCTAAATCCGAAAATACAAAAGGGAAAAAGTGTGCATACAGCAAAATTACCTGGATGTTGATATTGCCTCCGTGGAAGGTTTCATAAAACTTTTCCTGATTCTCTTGTTTTGGATCTTTCAGAATTACAGAAAAAGGTATCTAAAAAACAGATGGGCCATCTAAATTCACCAATCAAGAAATGAAAAATAGAACACTGCATTAAATATAATAATCTGATGATGCTTCAAGCTTGTAAGAGAACCATAATTATTTCATCATAACGCTACAATAAATTCAAGCTGCTCTAAAACTACATTCTAGCTTGAAAGAATCAACTTCTACTTCCGATCAAAAAAAAAGAGAAGCATCTTCTACTTTTCAATTTCCCACACCAAAATTGCAGAACCTGCACGTTTGAATCATTTTATACAATTTCAATGGTACACAGCTGTGTAGTTTGGTATATAGGCAAATCCAGATCCCCTTCTACATCATCTATACTCAGTCAGTTTTGAACAAGCATATCCCAAAAGATCAGTGATAGGCAAAAACCCAAGTATCTAGAACTCTGAATTCCTCATCAGGATAGTTTGTATTCTCATTGTTTTCCCCTTTTACCTTTAAAAAAATGATGCTAGTCATGTACTTGAACAATCTTAGATAAGGTTAACACTTAACTAAGTATATTCTCTAAATAAATAAATAAAGAGAAATATATAAGAGAAAATGACGAGAAAGTTCGAGAGGCTTCTTTTGTCCATATTTACTAGGCTCCTCATAGCTAGATAAACTAATATACTCTTCTACAGATTACAAGTGTAGCTAGCTTAAACTGCTCAAGAAATTAGGGAGACAATTTTGAAAAGAAAATTATTCCTTTATTTAAAACATGTTTGACAACTTGTTAGTCGTATGTGCAGACATTTCATAGTATCTTTATGAGCGGTTTAACCATACCTCCGTTGTACCGGATTGACTCTTTCCTGATGATTGAATATCAAAAACCTTCTTCCTGTTTGTTCAAAAAAATAACAACAATAATAATATCATCGTCTTGATCACTGATTGTAAGTGAATTTTATTTTATTTTTATGTTATGTTTGTGACATATATTTCTGCATCTAATAGAACCTCTTATTTTCAGCGTAAATAAACAAATGAAAGTCACATACTGGTGACAAATACACTAAAAATAGATGTAGAGCAGGAGGCTATGAACAGGAGAAACAAAAATGAACATACACCAAAACAAACAAATTAAACGATCCAAACATTGGCAGAATGAAAATCGTATAGGACTTTCTATACATTCAGAAAAAAGGGGAAACTTACGCAATGGGGATTGGCTTAATGACACCATACAGAGACTCAATAACTCCAGCGGATCCCCCGCGAACCTAGGAGAGAGGAGTTGAGGTAATTGCGACATAAATATTTAGAAGAAGCCAAATTTTGGTCTATCTAAGAACGATAATTTTCTAAACGCGAGAATAATGAAACAAGTAGAAAACATCTAATAAGGGAAAGGAGGGGAGAGGGGGCGAAGGGAGAAATGACCTGCAAATTGACAGATGCACTAATTGTAAGGCGAATAAACTGATGGGAGATTGGTGAGCTTAATTTCGTGATCACCTTGCCTTGCAGAGGTTCCTACATTTTTAACAAATATTCAGCTCAGGCATACACAAACAAGATCGATTTGTTATCATAGACAGCAAATTATAAAAAAATCAGTAGAAACATGTAGCCAAACAGAAGAAGAGAGAGAAGCAAACATTGGGGCGATAGATACGGTTGGAACGGCTGAGTTTGATCTCGATTGACATGATAATGGCCGGTGCTTATGCTTATCGCGTGCCGGAGCTTGGTAGAGAGAGAGAGAGAGAGAGAGAGAGAGAGGTATCGGGGGTTGTAGTCCTTCCAAAACAAGAAATTTAAGCATTTGACCCCGCCCGCCCCACACCCGCCCCGATTTTTTCCAGCCAGCCGCCAGGTGGTGGTGTGTGTTTGTTTTTCTTTTTTTTTGAGTTAAACTATTTTTATTGTACATGTATTATTATTATTATTATTACTTCCTCCCTCCCAGAAAATATGGGACTATTAGCGTAGATACGAGAATTTAGGGAAAGTATAATCAGTAAGTAATCAAAGAAATGTATTAGTAAAAATAATTATTATTTAGTAAAAATAATTATAGATTAAAATTAACATAAGTAAATTATAAAATTTAAAATTTAAAATGACAATTAAAATGCATAATTATATTTTTAAAAATAGAATGGAGAAGTTATGTGGAACGGACGAAAATAGAAAATAGGGACAATCCGTAGTTGCTAATATACCAAGACATGTGATAAGTAAATTGAGACTTCCAAAGTTTGAAATTATGATACGTTCAGCCCTAAAATTTGATCCATTTATTGCAGCCAAGTTTGTCTATCAAAATAGTTTTGAAAACTGTATTATTGCATAGATATTTTTTATTTTAGCCTTCTTGAATGGAGAAGGCCTTTGATAAAGCTATTACTGCATATGCTTCGACTTGGGATGGCTGGTTGGTAATCAATCTCATAGGCATTGTTCACTTTTTCTATAAAGAAAAAATAACTAAATTACACAATTGCTTCATTTTTGTAGGGGGAGACATGAGATAATTTGGAAGCTACTTGGGGCAGATGAGGCCATGTTAAAGCTCATGAGATCTCATTCATTTTTGTTTTGTTTTGTTTCTTGGAATGGATTGTATCACAAAATAAAAATGGACAGATCAGCCCTAAATCAGTCAACACTGCACTTTTTTGCTAAACTCTATTACACATGCTCTAACAACAGGAGAGACTTAGTACAGAGATCAAACACAGACAACACACCCCACATACACGATTACAACTTTTTAGGAAGAGAATAAAATAGGATAGGATATGATATGATAGAGAATAGAATAGAATACAATTCTCCCAATTGCATTTTGAAGCGGAGCATGATAAATAATAGTACTAGTAGCAAGCATATTTTTCTTGGTTAAACAGGACTTGGACGAGTAATCTTTTTCTGGGAAAATACATACATACATGTGTGGTCCATGAAAATGTCATCTTAACTCAAGACGGGGTAAAAATGAAGCTGAAGGTGCTGCTTGTAATCGGGTTTGGAGGTGGTGGTGGTTGTCTCTCTATACTTTTAATGCTAACACTACTATTACTGCTGCTGCTACTACACTACACTACACTTGTTAGAAGGGGAGGGAATTCACTGAGTGACTTGACTTGACATACGTACATACATATATATAGAGCATACCCCAGCCAGCACATTATGATTATACTCTTCTCTTCTCTTCTCTTTCTCTTCTCTGCTCTGCTTTCCACACAATTATACTTCTCTTATCAACCAAGACACATGAACCCACCCTCTTCTCTACTTCTCTTCTCTTCGAATCCGATCCATTTCTTTTCTCAGGCTCCAAGAGTGAATTAACTAATTAACTAACTAACTGCTGCTTTCATCTGTCCTGTCCAGAGAACCACCCAAGATATGATCACTGCATCTGATTTTTACCACGTCATGACCGCAGTGGTGCCGCTGTATGTAGCCATGATCTTAGCCTACGGCTCTGTCAAGTGGTGGAAAATCTTCACGCCTGACCAGTGCTCCGGGATCAACCGCTTCGTGGCGCTATTTGCAGTCCCTCTCCTCTCTTTTCATTTCATAGCCACGAATGATCCGTATGCGATGAACCTGAGGTTCGTGGGCGCCGACACGCTCCAAAAACTCATGGTCCTGGGGCTGCTCGCCGCCTGGTGTCACCTGAGCAAGTCCGGGAGGAGGAGCGGGGGCTGCTTGGATTGGGCAATCACGCTCTTCTCCCTTTCAACCCTCCCCAACACCCTGGTCATGGGAATCCCTCTGCTCAGGGGCATGTACGGAGACTTCTCGGCTGGCCTGATGGTGCAGATTGTCGTGCTGCAGTGCATTATCTGGTACACTCTGATGCTCTTCCTCTTCGAGTACAGGGCTGCCAGGATCCTCATCTCTGAGCAGTTCCCGGGGCCAGCTGGAGCCTCCATCGCCGCCATCCGCGTTGATTCTGAGGTCACGTCCTTGGACGGGAGGCGCCACCCTTTGGAGACGGAGGCCGAGATCAAGGAGGACGGGAAACTCCACGTCACTGTCAGGAGGTCCAATGCCTCAAGATCCGATATTTATTCCAGAAGGTCGCCGTCGTCTATTGGATTCTCTTCCTCCTCCACCGCTCCCTGCAGGCCTTCCAATCTTACCAATGCTGAGATTTACTCTCTGGGGTCCTCCAGAAACCCGACCCCAAGAGGGTCTAGTTTTAATCACTCGGATCATTTCTACCCCGTCGGCAGGAGCTCCAATTTTGGGGCACATGATGATGCTTATGGTCTCCCTGCAGGGCCGCCAACTCCAACTCCAACTCCAAGGGCTAATTCAAACCTGGAAGAGGAAAGTACTGCACATAAGCTAAGCTGGTTCTACACCCATCAGGGAACGAGTAACAATGCACATACACATACACATTATCCCCCACCAAATACTACTGTAGGTAAAGAAGCCAATATTGGAGCCAAGAGGCAGCAGCAGCAGAGTAGGGAAGAATATTGTGGGAAAGACCTACACATGTTTGTTTGGAGCTCCAGGCAAAGTGCCTGTGCCTCTCCAGCAGTTTCAGTTTCTGACGTGTTCGGAGGAGGGCACGGTTATGGAGCATTTGAAGGGCATGATGATATTAATGGAAAAGAAGTTAGAGTTGCAGCAGCAGCTCCTCATGCGTCTCCTCCTGGAAAAGGTACGTACAAGTACAACGACCTTTATTTAATCAAATCTTATCCAGCGATGTTATTTTTCTGATTCTAGCCAGCTAATTAACAAACAACACCCTAAATGAATACGACTTTGGTAGAAGTACTAGAGGAGGTAGAGGGGCAAAGGGAAAATGGAGAGGAATACTCCGGGAGAGATGGAGATGGTGATGCAGATGCAGATGCGATGAGGTTTAGAGTAGAAGAAGTAGAAGAAGAAGAAGAAAAAGCAGCAGTGAGCAAAGTGAAAGGGGGTGGGTTGGCAGTGCCTGCAAGTGTAATGACAAGGCTTATTTTGGTGATGGTGTGGAGAAAACTCATCAGAAACCCCAACACTTACTCCAGCTTAATTGGGATAGCCTGGGCTCTGCTTTCATTCAGGTCGGTCCCAGACATATCAATCATGAGATGAAATCGATATGAACTAGTATATACTATATTGAACAGAACTCCTTCATCAAATTATATATATTATACTATTATGTTAGGTGGCACATCGCAATGCCTGCCATTCTCTCAAAGTCCATCTCCATAGTGTCGGATGCGGGGTTAGGCATGGCCATGTTCAGCCTGGGGCTGTTCATGGCGCTGCAGCCGAGGATCATATCATGTGGGAACTCAGTGGCAGGTCTTGCAATGGGTGTGAGGTTCGTGGCAGGTCCTGCTGTGATGGCTGCTGCTTCCACTGTCGTTGGCCTGCGCGGTGTTCTCTTGCGAGTTGCCATTGTTCAGGTGCATGCCAATATTGCCATTATTAACTAACTTAATCAATTAATTGTACATTGCATACTATACTATACTATGACATCGTACATTACCAGTGCACTGCGTGCGTACAACATATATATATAGAGAGAGAGAGAGATAGACTCATGCACGTCGTTGCAGGCTGCTCTACCTCAAGGGATTGTCCCCTTCGTGTTTGCCAAGGAGTACAGCCTCCATCCTGATATTCTCAGCACTGCGTAAGTACCCCTCCCTCCCTCCTTTTTATTTATAAAGCAAAATTGTTCATAATTCTTACGTGGTTTTCAAATCCAGCGAAAATTTTTTCTATATTTTATAAATTGCATGACGATCCTTTATACTTTTGACGACTGCATCTATATATGTATGTATGTATGTATGTATGTATTTGCATGCAGTGTGATATTTGGGATGCTGATTGCGCTGCCTATTACGCTTGTTTACTACATTGTGTTGGGGGTATGAATCTGATCCGATCAGCCTATCTAGATCCATCCATCCATCCATCCATCTCAAGTTTATGAATTAAGAAAGCAAGTTAAGGTCAGTGAACACACCTGACATGCATAGATCCATTGCATCATGAAGATATCGATCAAAGAAAGTTGGAGCAGGGAGGGAGGATTCAAGCTAGCTAGCTTCATGAATAATCAATTCATTTGAAGAGGTGGATGCACGAGCTAGCTATCATCATCAATAATTAATTTGTAGTATGTATCTCACAATTAATTAATCAGTTAAAAATATGCCTGCATGGATGCTGATTTGTGGGATCGCTGCATCATCTCTTCCAGGATCCATCAGGGTATGACTAGTGTAGCCAAGGTAGGCTTGCTACACAATGAAGTGTAATGGAAACACTATTGCATATATAATTTGACGATGATGATGATGATGATTGATTGATTGAATTATTATTCTTTGTGTTGCATCAGCAGAAGCTAATAAGAGTGACATTATTACTATAATCAATCAATATAGATGGTGATATATATATGTCTATATGTGGTGAGAGCAATGAGTAATTGGATGCTGTAAACACTGACTATTAATCCCTTCCACCGACCCAGCAGGAGGAATTAAATAATTCCTATAAGATAATTAGGTATTGGATCAGATGATGGTTGAGGATACGATTATACATACATATATGTGTAGATGATTGATATTATTCTGATGCTGATGCTGATGCTGAGCTGCAGTACCGCCCACCCACTCACTAACTCACTCAAGCTGATCAGTTTATATATACGTACATACGTGCATACCAATTAATTAGTAGCTTTTGCTCCCGAACCCCACCTGACAATGGCATGCCGCTTAATTAATTGTGGTGTGGTCTGCTTGCCGCGCTTTTCAATCTCATCGCCACGGTGCGTTGGAATCGGCACTCCATTCTTGATCAACTCACAAATCATGCTGTGTCTTTCGTTCCGTGTCGAACACCTTTATGTCTAGATTTCACATTATAGATTCCGCTATATATCTTAGTCATAGTTACTGCACTATGACATACAAAATAGAGATGAGTGATATCGATTTCCTCCATAATGAAATTCTGTAAATCAAATGGTAAAATCATTATGCTTCCTTGCCCGTCCCAACCAAACCTATAAATTTTGATCCTATTGTTGAATGAGTAACACAAATTTGCTTTAAGAATAGATTCATCTGTTTTTCTTAGCATATAATAACGCATATTTTCGTTGATGTTATTTTCATAAGTTCATAGAAGAAATAAACACTTAATTTGCTTCATAAGGGCTGTGGGTAATTTACATAGATATCATGATAACAAGAGTGTATATTAATATAATACAAATACAATACATAACTTAACATCACATGATTTAGTCTCATACAGCATATACAATGCTTAATTTTAGCACACGTTGTAATTATTAACAAATAATACGTCTTTATTATACATGTCTGCATTGATCCCACTCCCAGCATTTCCATTCCACCAGGTGCAGGTGCTGGTGCTGGTGCTGCAGGTGCTACTTAATCTTCTTCTTAATCAAGGCAATTATATAAGGGAGAGGGATTCCTCATGACTCAACTGTACTCAAGTCACTCCTTTAATTCCCCCTCTTCTAATTCTCTTATTCTGTATTTGCCATTTGCCCTGCCATCAAACGTACATACATACATAGATACATACATGCTGATTCCTCCTCGTCTTCATCATCTGAGCCGCCTCCTCCATTCGCTGCTTCTTTCCATCCCTACCCTCCTCCTTATCTCACCAGGTATGAATGGAATGGAATGATGTTGTTAGCTTTTTATCTGGCTATTTATATATATATATGTGCTGCAGTAGTGGATGCGGCGGCGTCAGGATCCACGATGACCGTGTACAACCATTGCAGATACCCGGTGTGGCCAGGCATCCAGCCAACTGCGGGAAAGCCGGTCCTGGCCGGGGGTGGGTTCAATCTGCTCCCCAACAAATGGTACACACTGGAACTCCCCCCAGGCTGGTCGGGCCGCATCTGGGGACGCCGGGGCTGCACCTTCGACGCGGCCGGGAGAGGGCGCTGCGCCACCGGCGACTGCGGGGGTGCCCTTCTCTGCAATGGCCTTGGGGGCACCCCACCCGCAACGCTGGCCGAGATTACGCTGGGTGGCGACCGGGACTTCTACGATGTGAGCCTGGTGGATGGCTTCAACCTGGGCATTGCCATAGTGCCCATATGGGGATCAGGTATGGTATTGTACACAGTATTTAATTGATCGACTCGTTTGCAGTATTCATTCATTCATCCGTCCGTCCATCCATTAGGCGGCAAGTGCGGGGTGGCGGGATGCATGCGGGACCTGAACAGGATATGCCCGGCGGGGCTGCAGGTGAGGTCGGGGAGGGCAGTGGTGGGGTGCAAGAGCGCGTGCCTGGCCTTCAAGAGCCCCAGGTACTGCTGCACCGGCAGCTTCGGCACCCCGCAGTCATGCAAGCCCACCCTCTACTCCTGGATTGTCAAGGCCGCCTGCCCCAGGGCCTACTCCTACGCCTACGACGACCCCACCAGCATCGCCATCTGCACCCGCCCCCCGGGCCCGGCAACCTACCTCCTCACCTTCTGCCCCTAGCTGCTGCTGCTAATTCACCTCAACTCAATTCGATAGATCCAGCACAATGCAGCCGTGATTCACTCACACTCACCGACTCAATTCATTATATTTTGCCTGCTCCTCCCCTCCTTGATATTGTGCTGCTGCAACATTATTCATTCGATCAATCACTCAAGAGTGAGTGAGTGAGCGAGTGAGTGGGCCAAGCGAGCGTGTGTAGTTGAGCTCTTCTTTGGCAAGATAGGATTGAGGTTAGGGAGTTCGATCGCGCAGGTTATATTAAATAAATGACCGTTTAAATTAGTAAGATACAACATCATTTAAATATTTATTTATAAAGGGAAGTCATTAACCACGCTCCTCTTGGGATAGAATGACAGAATAAACGCCATCAAACTAAATTCGTAAACTATGACAAATAGGAGACGGTGAAACTCGAATTCCCTAAGGTATTGATACCATATAAATGATGTAAATAATCTCACTCACTTAAAAATGATTTACAATTTAAAAAATTAGTGATAAGTGAAAAAGTTTTTTATCACAATATAATAATTTCGAAAATTATATCTATTTGATACGATAATAAATAAAATAAATGACGGATTCACGTAAACGTTAAGGGTGTTAAGATACAATATTATTTAAAACGGAAGTCGATCAATCGTGTGTAAAAAAAAAAAAAAAAAAAAAAAAAAGTCAACCTTGAGTCTTTAGTTGGAAGAAAGAAAAATAACTTGAAGTAACTGTAACTTCTTGATCAACTCTTACTAAGTGGAGTAGCAAGTTATTAAGTCTTCACTGCTACTGCTGCTGCTACTTCTTGTTGGTGGTCATCATCTTCCTGAACTCGTCGAAGCTGACGAAGCCATCGCCGCTGGAGTCCACCGCCTGGATCATCCCGGCGCAATCCTGCAGGGAGCAGGTCTCGCCGAGGCGCGTGAGTATCTGGTGGAGCTCGTCGGCGGAGATCTTACCGTCCTGGTCGCGGTCGTAGAGCTCGAAGGCCTCCCTCAGCTCCTTCTCGCCGCCGGCGTCGGCTGATTTGGGTTTGTAGGGGTCGGAATCGGGGCTGCAGAAGGCGGCGAATTCCTGGAGGTTAATGTGGCCGGCCTCGGCGGTGTCTATGGCCTCCATCATCTTGGCGACGTCCTCCGGGGAGGTGTCGGACTCGGAGGAGGATCCGAGGGCCTTGAGCACTCCGATGAGCTCCTGGGAGGAGATCCTGCCATCTCCGTCGGCATCGAACCGATGGAACACTTGTCGGACTTGGTCCATGTTCTGGAGGTAGAGCGAAGGCCTGCCGCTGCCGCTGCCGCTGCCGGAGACCGACGACATAATTAATTATACTTGTCAGCTCAGCTCAACTCAACTCGCTGTTCCTGTGCCTGCTCGTGTGTGTGTGTGTTTGTTATATACATACAGGCATACACTGCTGCTGCTGCTGACCTGCTATGAATATAAATACTACAGAGCCAGTGGTAGAGATTGATTGTGATTTGTGTCCGTCCCCTCCATAGACGATACGAAAGAGAGGGGTAGGAAGGGCAAAGGATTGGGATTGGAATCTGGACACAGATGCCAACTCATCTCATCTCATCTCATGACAACAGTCCGCGTGGATACGATACAAGAAGAGCATCGTTGCGGTGGTGCTCCGCAATTGGGACGCGTGTGCTGCTGTGTAGATATATTACAGCTACTCCCCTCCTATTATATTATATAATTAGGATAGGATTGGCGGTAGGAAGGGAGTTGTTCAATTAATTAATTAGTTCATTAATACCAGTAGTATTATTTATTTATTTATTTATTTAATGTTTGTTTCGTGTGTGGACGCATACGCGCGCTGTCGTGGCGAGGATGCTAATGCATTAAAAGCAAGCGACCCGACCGGCCGGCCATTGTCGTCGGTTCAGGATCCTTATTGAAACCCAAGTCCAAGTCCAAGCCCAAGCCCACCAAACCAGGCAGGCAGGCCGAAGACATCTTCTTGGGTTGGGTCATGTTATTTTGTGGCGTGCAATCACAATAAATTAACAACTAAGTGCAGATTGCAGAAGATTATATATGTTTCTATAAAAATATTAAATAAGATACCAATTTTTTTTTATACAAATCGGTAATTCTTCAAAACTAGAAAAGTCTAAAGGGAGTGAGAGCGAGGGAGTGTTGGCAAATGATCGTCATCTATCATATTTGCTTGTAAATGCGGCAAGGCATTGGGCATGGCCGTGGGCCTGCTTTCTCTCAATAATTTGTGGTTAAGAGTTTCTTTTTTATTTTTTGTTCTAACTTTGGTCTTAAGCAAAGCTACCGCCTTCCCTCTCCTACTTCCATTCGCTCTTTATTCAACATCATTATTATTGTTGATGCTTGATGGAGGGATGGGATCTATCACCTATCTCAGAATGCATGGTGCTTAAGTCTGACTTGATGATCAAAAATAAATTGAATGAATGAACTCGAACATCATTATAAAAGTTTCAAAAAAATTGATTTGTTAATTTTTAAATCAAAGGTTTAATATGGTTTGTAAATTTTTTATTCGAATTTGATTCTGATTTTTACAAAACGAAAATCAATCATAATTCAAAGTTTAGAACTGACCGGACCGAATGATGGTCCCTACCATCATCCACCATTGCGGGTGTGCCTTGTTTGGGAATTTTCTGTCCATCTTTACTATTCACTCAATTTTTTAAAAGAATTTCAAATTAAATATATTTTTTTTTATTTTTATATTATATTAAAATTAATTTTAGAGTTTAGGGTTTGAATTTTGAGTTGGGATTTGAGTAGTAAAAATTTTGAATTTGAATAGTTGTATAATGTAATGTTTTGAATGTAAAATTGATTTTTAGTATAATATAAAAAATAAAAAATAAGTGTTTGATTGATGTTTTTTGAAAAAAAAAATTGGATGAAAAGTATAAATCCAATCCAATTTCTCGAACAAACACGTTCTAAAAATATCATAACACTTATATATATATATATAACTGTTCACGTTCAAAATTTTTATTATTGAAAATCTTAATTTAAAATCAAACCGTTCAAACAAACACACCCTCCATCTGTTTCTACTGCTCCCCAAGTTTCTCTCTCACGTGTCCAAATATTAATGGGCCGGCCGGTCGTGATAGAAAGACAGAAATGTAAAGACTTTAAAACAAAAGTGCAAAAACAAACGCGGGGCCCCCATCACTCCCCTCTGTAAAGTCAGCCAATCCAAGCGCGAGTAGTAGGTTTGGCAATCAACACTCTGTTTTCAATTTTTGAACTTTGTCTTTGTAATGATCTTTCATAATTACAGAGTTTGGCACATTGCTAGCTCAGCTGAGCTGCTTAATGAAATGGAACGGTGGTGGTGAGACACTAATCATTAAGGAAGGAAGGAAGGAGCGAGGCGAGGGCAAAGGCATCAGTAAACTAACATGAGGAGGATCATCTGACCCCGCCCACCATCACCATCATCACCTCACGTCGTGTATCCCCTCCCCGGAACCGGATCAACAGCCCTCGTACGGACATGCCCCTCAACTGCCCTGCCTAGCTCCTTGTGAGTTCAATTACTTGGGAACTTTTTCTCTGTACTCACAAATCCAAGTCATTTCATTACCATCATTCTCACACACACACACACATATATATATATAGCTATAGCTATGTATGAGTGAATTTATTATGTCTTGCAGTCATCATCATCATGCACAGTCTTCCTCCATCAGCTTGTTGCCAATTAGATCACTGATCCGGATCCTGCTTCTCCCATCCCATCCCATCCCCACCTTGAGCTTGAGCTTGAGCTTGGTTGGCACATGATCTGTCTGAGATTGGACAGGTGTGTTCACTGATGGTATATTATATATGATGGCGAATAACAAGAGGAAGAATGAAAATAATAGTAATAGTAGTAGCAGTGGTTACTCGTTGGACGAGGAGTGCGACTATCTGTTCAAGGCTGTTCTGATTGGGGACTCGGCCGTGGGGAAGTCCAACCTGCTCTCCAGGTTTGCGAGGGGCGAGTTTTGTGTGGACTCCAAGCCCACCATAGGCGTTGAATTTGCTTATCGGAACATCAAGGTCCGCGACAAGCTCGTCAAGGTTCAGATTTGGGACACTGCCGGCCAAGAGCGGTCGGTACAATTCTATTCTATTCTGGCTGCCTGCCTCCCTCCCTCCTATTATAATTTACAGTATACACACGCGCGCACACACACACACACCCCACTTGAATGCACTTCTTTGATCGAATTTGCTTGTTAATCTGGTTTGAGTGTGATGGGATGTGATGTGATTTGATGAGATTGCAGTACTTGCTTCTCCCTTGCAAATATAATTGCATCACATAATAGTGTTGAGTGTTGAATGAACATATATATAGTAGTAGTACTATCATCTAAGCTAAGCTAAGGAAGGTGGTGCAGATTTAGAGCCATCACCAGCTCCTACTACCGGGGAGCACTGGGCGCTCTGCTGGTATACGACATCACCAGGCGATCATCCTTCGAGAGCCTGAGAAAGTGGTTGAAAGAGCTGCGTGAGTTTGGGGGCCGCGACATGGTGGTGGTCCTGCTGGGGAACAAGTCGGATTTAGGGGGCCACTCGAGGGAGGTGAACCTGGAGGATGGGCGGAGTCTGGCGCAGCTGGAATCCCTGTCTTTCCTGGAGACTTCGGCCAAGGACAATCTCAATGTGGAGGAGGCCTTTCTGCAGATGATCACCAGGATATACGAACTCACATGCAACAAAGCCCTGCTGGAGCCTAAACTTGGCGGCGACCACTGCGACTGTTACTGTGAGGCAGCAGCAGCAGCGCCCAACACACGGGGGGCACAGATGAAGATGAAGATGAAGAAGAAGGAAGAGATTATATGTTTTGAGGAGGATGATCAAAGACAAGTTTCTGCCACTAAACCACCAGGCCCTTATTGCTGCCCCTCCTCATAATAATATTCCTGACTGATTGATTGAAGAAGATGATTATGGATTCAATTATATTAGTATTATTCAATCCCATCTAATCTGTCCGTCGGGTTTTGATGCATGCATGCATGCGTGTTGTAGACAGACAGACAGCATACTCGCTCCTGAATCCAGATTCGATTTGGGTAGTCAATGCAATGCAACAATTAATCAGAGGCTCACTACTCTCTGGTTCGCATAGCTAGCTGCCCTCGAACTTAATCACTTGGTGTGTATGTGTAGGTCATTTCATAACAAGGCAATAATAATTAATAGTATAACAATAGGACATGCAGATATGCATGTATGTATGTATTGATGACAGAAGGAGGAGGGAGGTGTGTGCAGATAAGCAGCAGCAGCAGCCCCCAATTCTAGACGACTATTTCTATCCATTTAGGGTTCTTTCTCCTCCTACTCGGTGGAGGGGAGGGGGGAGGGGAGGAGAGGAGAGGAGAGTATGTCAGCGTGTCCCTCCGTCCGTCCGTCCATTTGATGATGGATCATTCATGAAGGTGCAGTGGAGACGGTGTCTATCTGGACGAGGTATTCGAGGGTGGCAAAGGGAGGAATGTGGTGGATGCCGGCATCACCGTAACCAAAATCAGCGCCTTCTTCCCCGAAGGCCAAAGAGGGGGGAATGACGGCCCTCCGTATCCCGCCGGCCTTCATGCTGCCCAGCACATACTCTATGCCTTCACACACACCCTTGCTGTAGGGCCTTGACCCCATCACCAGAGCCAACGCCCTCCTCCTCTCCCCCTCCTCAAATGTGTCCACAAATGTTTCTCCGCTCCCCTGCACGCTGCCCTTCAGTTTCATCACCACCAAGTCCCCGCTCCTCGGAGACGCACCCCCGCCTACTCTCAGATCGGTGTATCTGATCATATCATATTCAAACCCAGCCAGCCATAGCGTGAGTGAGCGTGTATCTGATGAGATGATGATTGATATACAGGGAGGGGAGACAGGCACTAGTGTTGTCTTGTCCTGTGCTGTGTAGATTGGTGACATTCATACATACGTACCTGATCCCACTGGGCAAAATGACCTCTTCTTGCTCCTCAACTACCCTGAGGGAATGAATGGATGAATGATGAAATCATTCATGAAGAATTATGGGGGATCGAGTTAGTTGTTCATGAGTCAGTGTAGGGTCGTAATAATAACAATGGTTCATGCATAAGCAAGTAATGAATGAAAGGATTAGTAGTAGTACTAATAACAGGTTAGCATTAATCGATACCAACGGTTATTAACTAATTAATTAATTGATACCTGGTGTTGGCGGCTTGCTGTGAAACTTCGAGTCGGGTCTTGATTTGTTCAGACACGACACCGACGGCAAGAAAGGCAACCCATGCCAGACCAGCTCCAATCCCAAACCGCCTCGTTAATGTGGATGCGATCCAGTCGGTAGAATCCACAGCAGTAGTTATTGTTGGTTTGGGCTCTACAGAAGTAGAACAACTTTGGCCCCCCGCGACCACATTTGGAGGCTGTGCTGAATGATTTGCAGCTGCAGCAGCAGCAGCACTAAGCTCATGTTGAGCTGGTGGAGTGGCGGCGGTCTGATTTGGTGGCGGCGGAGCCTGTGAAGATAAGAAGGCGTAGTAGTTGCTTCTTGCTGCGGCGGGGCGAGACGGAGACACAAATGGTGGCGCTGATGCAAACAGGGAAGCCATCATGGATGTATGTATGTTTCTGATACACACCACACACGCAATTGGAAGATAGATAGGCGGATAGATTCGATTGTAAGATAGGCTCCACACAGAGAGAGAGAGAGAAGGGTGGGATGGGAGGTGTTAGTGCTATCCATCTATCAATGTCATGGTCTGGTGTTGTGTTGTGCCTATGCCGACCATACTATAATACCATACACACTAAAAATCCAATCGGCAGAAATAACCTACAAATATTCTTTCTACTCTATGTGTTTTTCTTATAATGTTGTTGGTGAGTCTACATTTGGCTGACGAATTTAATAGAATGAAAACCAAACCCCACCCTAAACGAACCTTGGATGACAGATTAGACTAGATCGATCAAAAAGGCTTCAGTGAGTCACCAACCAAGGCAGGGACAACACCAACTCGGCCAATCTCTTGCAGGGCTATTCATAGACATCGAAACAATACAATCCAATAGGACACATATCACAATGAACCTAGATCCTCCTGGTTGTCAGTGACTAAGGAGCTGTATCAATAATATCAGTACAAGATGTGTAAAGGAGGTATATTCCAAAATATTACCACAACAAGCTCTCACTTAACCCACACTAGTTTCAATATCGATGCCCTGGCAGCCCTCTAGTCAAGTCAAGTTAAACAAATGCTCGTCGAGATGTGTCACAGACCCAATGGTGAGGCATCTGCAACACTACACAAGATAGGCATCTGCAACACTACACAAGATCTACTACGTCTAAGGGTAATGCACTACTCCCCCTAGAAACCACATACAAGGAGGAGAATGCCACATCACATCCACAACAGTCAATTCCTGTTTGACATATTTGCTTCAATACAAAACCTAAATAAACATAAAGAGAGGGAACAAAGATTATGCGTTTGGTTAAGCCATGGTATAAACCATCTTACATATTCCAATAGTTCACCAGCCACCTGTTTTCTTCTTCCATAAAGTGTGAATTCTGCTCTCTAGGCAAACCATCCTAACTGTTCACAACACCAATCCCTCATCCTCCAAATAGTCAGCGCTCATAGTTTACTTCTCTTTGCCGGTTAGCAATTCTTCAATTGTGGGCTGGATGCTGTGGATGTGGCATTGGAGAATTTGATGATCCACTTACACTTAATGCAAACATTTCAAGCTCTTGTACGGCACTAACTGCATCTTCATTGCTCAAGTATGGTTTTACGAACGATGCTGTTTGCTTGACTCTTGATTGCTGGCAGCAAGTTTATTATGTAAAAGTAACAACATGAAAACCATCAGAGGTATATGTACCAGATCAAAACAAAAAAATATATATATATATGTATATAACACCATATGGTTGTTACCAGATTTTCGAGTTTTGCTTTGAGATCAAGATAGGCAACTAGCAGCTGGGAGTCTCGAGATTGTATTGACGTCTGGCAATAGTTAAAATAGTTAGCAAAAGCTTTTATTTTCTATACATGATCATGACCGAAGAGATGCAAAGAAATAAGGGGGTCTACAGCTACTGAGATAAGAACACACTGCACTTCCTCCACCAGATTATATGGCCCCCCAATGTGTTCAAAATCAAAAGTAAAAATAGGACAAGCTAGTAAATTATGATACCAAGTATAAAAACACATTGCATAGTGGGAGATGCTCCTGAAGGTTAAAAATTGGTAATCTATACCAGAAGCAAGATTCAATGATAAAGAGATGATAGGTTATTTAGAAGATTATGTCAGAACTAGCATCATGTCATTAGTAATCACATCACATTAAAGATTTCTGAAAACGCATTACAGTAGTATGCTGCAGAAGGTGTTGCATGAAGAAGGTTATGCATGAGTTATGGGTTGGTTGTGATTATGACATTGCAATGAGTAGGTGAAGCTTTGGAAGAAAAAAAAAATGATGATTACCAACTCAAAGTTCCATTGCTTCAATCAAATCTCATTGTGGTTAGCTGACTCAGTAGTATATACTATCCCCTCCATCCATTAAAATTATTTAGGCCTGACATGGGAATTAAAAAAAATAAATATTTTATTGAAAAAATGATAAGTAGTTGAGGTATTTTTGGAAATTTAGTTAAAAAGTAAATAAATGAAGAGAGATAATGTAATAAATTTAGTGATATTTGTTGAAAATAAGTGTTGAATGGAAGGTAATAATCAAATATTGATTTGTTGACTTTGCTAAAATTAGTAATGAGATAAATTTAGTAGATAGAATAAAAAGGAAAGTGAGAATAAATTTGGCTGACTGAGGGAGTATATAGTATCTTCTTCTATCAATTAATAGAACACATAATCTTTCCTGATAATGTTTTACATTTTTCCTAAACAACCCATAAATACCATTCTGAAATGCTAACATGTTTCCAATATAACCATGTCCATCAGCAACCTGTAATTGGATTATATGGCTACATTTGTTTCCATTATTGCAACATTTCAAGTTTCAAGCCCAAGCACTTGTTTGTGCACACACTCTAGAAAAAGGTTACAAAACAAAAGAAAGCTTATCAAAACTTTACAAACGAATACAAAAAATTATAACACCAAATGATTTACATCTACTGAAATTCAATATCTATTGTGATTATACACATATTCTAATATATCATTATCATTCTATCAAATTTAGCATGTCCGCAAGCACATAAAATTTTCATTCATAGGACATTCTTTTTGGTTCATGCACACATACCCCCCAACATCTCAAATTCAGTTAACAATATCATTTTTATAATTGTTCTTGCAATATTGGTCTGCTCATTTTGAGAGACTTTACGATCACAAAGTATGCATGATGCACTATCTAAATTATGTTCATCCGATTCTCCATTATGTTCAACACTATTAATACTTATGGTTTAAATAATTCATAGCCACTTCTAAATTCCATAACTTGACATGATATGGGTTCAAATATAGTTTACCAAGTAATACAATCATAACACTGTATGTCACCATAACCATTGCTACAAATTGAGGTGTGAGATTGTGGAATTTTTTTTTTTTTTTTTTCCTCTTTGAAGCTAGGAAGGCATTTTTAAGTTCCAATGATAACAGATCCCTATGCTTGGTTTATGCATATTCGAAGGAAACCTAAATTACTCCCTACGTCCCACTTATCATGCCCATCCTTTCATTTCGTCCCACTTATTTTGTCACTTTCTTTTCTTGAAAAAAAATTTATATACTTTAATCTTATTTTAAATTTTTTAATTTATAATTTTTTTAAAATTTTAATTAGACTAATTAGTTATTTAATCTTAATCTATAATTATTTTTATTATATAATAATTATTTTCACTAATATATTCTTAATTATTTACTAATTATACCGCTCCTAAATTCTCATATCTATAGTAAAACAGACATAATACCCAGAATGGAGGGAGTACAATTTTAGCCTATGAATACCCCACCTCTCAGGGTGACTGGGTGAATCCCACCCATGTGGGAATTGGAAAATATAGAGTTACTTGTACATACCAAAAGTAGTAATATTACTTTGTTGTTGATTTAAGAGGTTGATATCTATATTAACTGGCATCTAGGGCTGTGTTTGGTTGTAAGTTGGAGTTCAATTGGCACTGCTCCTAATATTTTTAATCTCAACTATCTTCTAAAATTTTTCATGGTGGGACTCATGTATAATCTTCTATTTATATGTCTATAGAATAAACAAATATATTTATATGCATTCAAAACTCTTTGGATGTGTTTACTTGTGAGATCGGAGTTTTGGTTTTGAATAGTAATATTTTGAATTGAAATAGTTGTTTAATGTATATAAATATGTATTAATATGATATTTTGAATATAAAATTAAATTTTAGCGTAATATAATAAATGCAAAATAAATATTTCGATTCGATATTTTGGTGGTAAAAATTAGAATATTAAAATCATTTTAAAATCACACAAATAAAATTGTATAAATGACTTATGTTAATTATATATAAATACATAATTGTTATTGATTTTTATTATATAATTCTATTCCCTACAAAATAGCATTCATATTTAATATATTTAATGACATAAAAATTAAAATAGTTCAATCCATATCTTAAATTTATTTTTAATCAAATATATATATAAAATAGCATCATAAATCAACATTAGCCAGACAACATCTCATTTCAAATAGTAAAAGCGAACTTCTAAACACAATTTGAAACAATGACCAAACAAACCCTAAAGTTCTCGCGCGCATGAAGTGTACTTTTGAGTGGAATATATGAAAATAGTAAAAAAAATTATTTGAATTAGAACAAAGGGAGTATATTTTTGTAAGGAACCGTGAGGTTGCATAAAAAAATATTAAATTAAAAAAAAAATACTCTGCCAAGCTAGTAGGGGTTTGTTCTTTCAAACTTTTTTTTTTCTGACACAATATCCAATATATATATTATATCCTCTTGCAAAAGTCAAAGATAAACATAAACTATTATTTGTTATATTAGCGACATAATTTCTTATACTTCATATAAAAAAGATCAAAACAGAACACTAAAGAAACAAATCCTAGGCATTTTTCTAAGTGTGGGATAACTTGGAGTATCAGACATACATGTATTAATCATCAGTTAAAATCTTATCATCTTGCTCTATGGAAAACCAATTCTGAAGAATGCTAGACTAAAGTTGAACAGCTACATACTGCCTAATTTCATGATTTCTGAAGCCCCTAGATATAATGCTTAGCGGCAACATATTTGATGAATGAACAGAAGAAGAAAAAATAATGGTTAGAGCAGCAATTAATCATATGAATGTAGAAATTTTCAGTTCACAAAAGCAAGTTCCTTTACCTTTCTAGGGCGGCCCAAAGGCTTGCCAGAAAGCTTCCTAGGCGTCTTTGGCTGCCCACTGGTAAGGATCCTGGGTCTCTTTGCATCAGTAGCAGCCTTTGGTGGCCGACCTCGGCGTTTCCCAGCCACACTTGCGACTCCATTTCCACCACCAACTACAGGATATGCACCAGCGCTAGATGTCGGGGCAACCCCTCCCCCCAAGACAGGAGCTAAATTAACAGATTTGGGTGGCCTCCCTCGCCCCTTCTTCGCTCTCCCAACTACGGCGGGGCCGGGGCCATTCTTCTTGGGCCTCCCCCTTCCTCTGCCACCACTCGGCTTTGGAGCAGGAGCAGGAGTAGGCTTAGATGCATCTCCCTGCCTCCGCGGACGCCCACGGCCTCGCACAGGCCCATTAATCGGGCCTGCAGGAGACCCGCCGGCTGCTGGAGCAACATGCGGCATCGAATTCACGTCGCCGCGAGGGGCAAATACAGGAAGGGCTGCTGCTTCACCCGCGCCGACCTTGGGCTTGGGGGGGCGTCCCGGCCGCCTCTTGGAAACAGAAACAGGGCCAGATTCAGAAGAAACAGCGGTGAGAGAGCCGTTAAGGGCAGATCCAGGACTGGGCAGCTTGTACGAGTTTTTGACCATGACAAGGTGGCCATTGACCTTCAACTGCTTAAGGGTGTGGGTCAGGAGAGCGGAGTGCATCGGTGGGAGGTTAGCGTAGCGAGCCTCTATGTAGCTAGCTATAGCCCTCCTGCTGGACCCGCCTGGCTCGTCCAAGGCCGATACAGCCGTCGTTATCATCTGCCCGCACACCAACAAAATTACTTTTTTTTTCTACTACAAATCAAAAGAGACTACACACTTGAGAGCTGTAATAGGGTTTCGCCTAAGCCTTCAATTTCCGGGTCGGGGGTTTGCTGGAACGAAGTACTTACCTCGGCATACGAAGGGTGGGTCTGAAGGGGAGGCGGCGCCGGGGTGGGGTAACTAGTAGCTGCAACGGGGACGGGGGCCGGTGGCGGTGGCGGTGGCAGATCCGACAGTGGGTCCATGCCCGCAATTTTGTTTTATTTTATTTTTCAATCCTAGTGGAGAGAGAGAGAAATCAGAAAGACGAGAGCCTGTAAGAGAGAGAGGTGGAGATGGAGAAGGGTGCAAGGATTTAGGTGTGACTGGGGTGGATTGGACCGTTGGAGAAGCCAGCCACTCAAAAGAGAGCTGGGTATTTTTAGGGTGTGTTTGTTTAAGGGGTTTGTATTTATAGTTGGAATTTGAATAGTAAAAATTTTAAATTTGAATAATTATGATGTGATATAAATAGGTGTTGATATTATATTTTTAATGTAAAATTGATTTTTAGTATAATATAAAAAATAAAAAATAAGTGTTTTGATTTAATATTTTTGAAAAAAATATATATATAGTGTATTTAATGGAGAATCACCCAAACAAACACACTTGGAGCAAATGCAATGGTTTATGTGTAAAAATCCATCGTCCCAATGGTGGTGTAACGTGTATCCTCCCCTGTTCTGGTCATGGAAAAAGTGAAATAAATAAAAAAATAAATTTTTGTTCAAGAATGAAATTTACATGGCTTAACTGACGTATTCAGATTTATTCAAAATTTGGCAGAAAAAGTCGCACAGTGGTTCTCTTAAATCTTGTCTTACATGGTGTTTGATTGGGGGATTGAATTTAATTTTTACTATTTTTTTTAAAAAAAATTAAATTAAATATTTATTTTTTATTTTTTATATTATACCTCTGTTTATATCATATCATACAACTATTTAAATTAAAAAAATTTACTATTCAAATCTCACTCAAAATCCAAACCCCTAACAAACACACCCTAAAAGTTTTTGCCTTCTCAAACCACTTCTTCACGCCTTCTACTGCACCAGACTGCGTCCAAGCTTGGCTGTAAATATGGCATCAAGAAGTTGATCATTGTGAATGCAATTTTTTTTAATCTGAATAAAATAGCCTCTTTAAGCGAGAGAACCCTTCTATCTATTGCTTTGCTCTCAGGGGATCGCCTTAGTTTGAAGTATTGCGATATATATATATATATATAATGTTTTTCGTTAAGTATAATTATTTTTTTTTTCATTTTATTTTGTAAAAAAATAAGAGTTTTGTTTAGGTAGAGATTTTTGAAGGTATTTGAAATTTTAAAAATTTTTAAAAAAATAAAAAGTTAATATTTTATTAGATATTTTGTGAGAAAAAAAAAGTATATGTGATATGATATTTTTTAAAAATAAAAGTATCAAATGAGTGAAATGTATTATGTAAACAAAACTTAAAATTCTATTTCTTAATTTATTAATCATATTTCCATTCTACATACTCTTGCTAGCAATATTGAATTTAAATTGATCTCATTAAAGATATTAAATATCATTTATAGATTTCAAACTAGCATGTAATTTTTCATAATGCAATTCTTCGATTTTTTTAAGAATTGGTATAATTCTTCAAATTTAATTAATTTTTCTTTCACCGCAGATAAATGAAGCTAAGAATTTTATGCATAAATGAAACTCGTGCCCTAAGTTTTGTACCAATTCCTTTTAAGTGTCACAAGTTTTGGTTGGAAATGAGCAATGTCAATTGATATTAGTCCGTGCATAATTAACTCTCAAACCATATTATGTATAATACTCAAATGTTTCAATTTTTCATTGTATATTTGACTATAGGCTTTTGCCAAATATGTTGCACTATCACAATAGTTCAAGATAGGTGTAATCGGTTTCAAGCACAATGAATTCTCATGAGTCAGATTGTGCAATTATTTTGCTTTTTTATCGGCCGTCACTGAGACTACAAATTTAAATTTCATCGTTGATTGTGTATGTTAATTTATTTTTTGAAAGTCTACAAAATAGCATTTTATTAAACTATCCAAAATCAAAATAAAAAATTTGATTTGAATTTTTCATAATTTCAAATTAGTTTAAATTAACTATTTTATACATTTCAAATCAACATACTTAAATTTAAACCAATTCAAAATTTGAAATATAATATTTTACTATATTTTGAAAATTCTATTTTGTCTCACTTTGGTAAATTTTAAGTTCTTCAAAACAATCTAGTGCAACAAACAACTTAAATAGTAAAATTGTCGCACAGACCCATATCAGTTATATGCATTCTCAATGAATTACTGACATAATCAACCAAAATTTCTATGCTAACAAATAATACAGTATATATTGTATCTTATCATAATATTTTTATAACTAAAAAAAAAATAGTAAAAGAACCTACTATTACTTTTTTCATTTTTTTCTAAAAAAAAATCTACACACAACTTTAAACAACATAACACATTATGGAGTATATAATTTGAAATGAGAACTCAATAAAATACTCAAAATCATATACAGCAGCACAGCGGTGGTAGGAGAAAAGTAGATTCAATGTAGCCAGTTTTGACCATACAGTTGTACATAGCTTAGCCGGGGGAGATGGGATTACATGACATCCAAAAACCCCATATAGATACAGATGTGCCAGCCCATTCCCATTCCCATTCCCAGATGTGATCTGATCAACAGCTTGACTTTTTCTCTCGTCTACTCTGCTTTGCTCAGATCAGACGAGACGAGACGAGAGAAGACTAGAAACACTCTACTTCGGCTCCTTCGACTATCTATTTCTCTATCAAGCAGTATCATCACCTCGGCTAGATCTCCCCTCTCCCTTCTTTCCTTCCCTCTGCTTCTTGATTCTTTTAATTTATTTGACTTCCTTAAATTACTCGTCTTACAACTTCTTATTTTTCTCTAGAAACACTCTTCTATTACTTTAATGGCCAAGTTAGGAGAAAATCAAAAGAAAGGCAGGTCTCATTCTAAGCGGAAAGAGATATTTATTTATTACCGTAGTTAATTACTTGGACGTCTGGGATGTGCGGAAGTAAAATCAGATGATATGAGAGATGAAAAATGACTGACGAGTTCACAAGTAAAAAGATCATTTTTCGTTAAGCATATGCAAGCAAGCAACCAAAAGCACCCAACCCGGCGTGCGTGTGAACTTCAATGCCTTTGAACAGCTTTTAATTTTGCCTGGCAGGCTGCTGGAGCATATAAAGCCAATGGTCCAAAGTCAGATACACGCATAAAGTCCAAACAATCGATACAGAGAGAGAGACAGAGAGAGACAGAGAGAGAGCGAGCATTGAATTTGTTTAGAGTTTGCCGAGCAGAGTCATCGTGGAGCAAACAAAAACTCGACAGAAAGAACACCAGCAACAAAGGAGCGGTTTTTTTGTAACTCTAGTTAGTGAGTGCTGTGGTGGTGTTTGTTATACCGTATGGGGGGAGGGACGTTCGTGGATGGCGTTCGTCGCTTGTTTCAACGTCGCTCAACATCTGTCTCCACCTCTTCTTTCACTCCTTCCAGTTACAGTACCAGCCACAGCAGCGATGAGCAAAACTCGCAACAGGAGAAACAGGAAGGCGAAGCACAGCACAACGATCTTACGATTTTGGTAGACTTTGACATTTCTGGACTCAAGTTAATCAAAGTCCCTAAGCGGGTTAATTTCCCTATCTCCGCCCCCTCCATGGATCCCCACAAAAAGGTTGCATTTTTATTGCCCTTTTCCATCATTACTTCCGGTTCTTCTCTCCTCCTCCTCCTTTCCCTCTCTCAGAACATTTTTGTTTTTTGATAATGGGGATCGGTTAGATCTGTGTTTCCTTCAATTAATTGATCGCAGGGAAATGATCTCAAGTTCCATTTCTTATTCGTTGTTCCCTGTCTTCAAAAAAGCTTTTTACGGTCGGCATGGTATATTCACATGTTCTAAAATTTCTGATTTAAGTTATTTTCGTGGAAGCCGTTTTTTTCTAGGTAGTTCATTTGATTTATAGCGTATTAGAATATTGTAGCTCTTCTGGTTGCGGAGTTCAAACAATAATTTACTATTCGCATTTTTTTGACGTTCTCCTTGAATAGAATCAGGATAAGTAGAGAGTTATTGGGAAATATGACATTATGTGCAGATGACTGTTCAAGTGGCTTGACGCTTGCTGACTTTTACTTTCGTGCTTCTGAGATACATTTTCGTCAATTGTGGCTTTTGTGCCTTTAAGACAGTATCTGCTTGGAGCTACATTATAATTTTCTTTTAGCTGCTCATTTCCCACTCTCAGTCTATGCAAGTGAATATAGGGTTGGGTTGGGAAGTTCACTAATATCAACAAATTCTTGCAGTTGTTTGTAGACTCAATGTTTCTAATTGGATTGCCCTTTTAGCAGAAAGATGTGGAGGCTGAATTCTTCACGGAGTATGGGGAGTCCAGCCGGTATCACGTTCAAGAAGTGGTTGGCAAAGGAAGTTATGGTGTTGTCTGTTCTGCAATCGATGCATATACCGGAGAGAGAGTTGCAATTAAGAAGATCAATGATGTGTTCGAACATGTCTCTGATGCCACCCGCATCCTCAGAGAAATCAAGCTTCTTCGGCTGCTCCACCATCCAGATGTTGTTGAAATAAAGCACATAATGCTTCCTCCTTCTCGAAGAGAATTTAGGGATATATATGTTGTCTTTGAATTGATGGAGTCCGACCTTCATCAAGTGATTAAGGCAAATGATGACCTTACACCTGAGCATTTTCAGTTTTTTCTATACCAACTTCTTCGTGGCTTAAAATATATCCACACAGGTTGTCATGTTCTTTTGGCGTCAACATTCTTAATTATTTCAGTTTCTCCCCCCAACCCCCCTCTTACTGATATGTGTAATTTGTTCTCTTCAGCAAATGTTTTTCACCGTGATTTAAAGCCCAAGAATATACTAGCTAATGCTGACTGCAAGTTGAAGATTTGCGACTTTGGTCTGGCCCGTGTCTCGTTTAATGATGCCCCATCAGCAATATTTTGGACTGTAAAGGAGATTTCTCTTTGATTTCTTTTTTTCCTTTTTTTTTTCCAACTCCATGTGGTGTTTATTTCCTAAGCTTTATGGTTTGATCTACTTTTTTTGAAGGATTATGTTGCAACCAGGTGGTATCGTGCCCCTGAGCTGTGTGGTTCCTTTTTCTCTAAAGTAAGTTTATATTTCATCTGCTAATTGTACACCCTCCTTGTTAGGATTTTGTGACCTTTTGCTGATATTGTAGATATTTATAGAATGTCTTCATCAGCCTGCCTTGGATTTTTGTTCTTAAAGGGCTTGAATAAAAATCTAATCTAACATTAGTTTTAGGCCATCTGGTAAGAGTATTCTTTTCAGTTTTCCTAAAAATTCAGGAGCATAGAATCCTACTGGCTCATGCATGCGTGCTGTCTATTTTTAATTGACAGTCATTACTGTCTGGAACTTATGATATAGGCTATTTGATGCATATCTGTGCTTATAACAATACTTAAGAATATTTCTCTATGATATCTGAAGTTTCAATCAAATTATGATTTTGCAGTACACCCCTGCCATCGATATTTGGAGCATTGGCTGCATATTTGCGGAGTTGCTTTCTGGAAAACCATTGTTTCCTGGGAAAAATGTGGTGCACCAATTAGATTTAATTACTGATTTGCTTGGGACTCCTCCTCCTGAAGCAATTACGAGGGTTGGTTAAATAATCCCATTGGTTTCATTTGTTTGTAATTATTAACATATTATAACAAAATAGATTAGTATATCAGAGGCTGATAAAGAGATTTTAAATGCTTCCTTCATTTTGAAGACTAAGAAAGAACAGTTTTTGAGCTTTATTGTCATTATAATGGCAGATTAGAAATGAAAAGGCGAGGAGATATCTCCTCAATATGCGGAGGAAACCACCTGTTCCATTTGCACAGAGATTTCGCAATGCAGATCCTCTGGCTCTTCGCTTGCTGGAGCGACTCCTTGCCTTTGATCCCAAGGATAGGCCAACTGCTGAAGAAGTAATTTATTAAAGGCTTTGGATTGTTCATTTCTAATTATGTTATCTAGCAAGAATGTTTTTGGAATTGTGATGTTTGCAGGCATTAGCTGATCCCTACTTTCATGGTTTAGCAAATGTGGAGCATGAACCATCAACTCAACCCATATCAAAGCTTGAGTTTGAGTTTGAGAGGAAAAAGCTGGCTAAAGATGATGTTAGAGAGTTAATTTATAGAGAGGTAGGGCACGATATTTGCTTAGTTTTAGTTGTGTACCCTTACTCTAAACACTAATTTTCTCCAAGCAAACAGATTCTAGAGTATCACCCTCAGATGCTTCAGGAATATCTCCGCAGTGGAGATCAGGCTAGCAGCTTTATGTATCCAAGGTTAGGCCAACCTGGAACGTAACTAATCTATTTTGCTTGCTATGAACCCAAAGCTATTTAGATCTATAACTTTTATTGCTTGCATATATCTGTAATTCCATGATATTTGATCTTGTCATTTGTTCCAGCACTGTGTTTTTCATTTTCCGGTTATTACATGTTCAGCTTTCTGTTACTTGAGAATCTCATTAATATATATAACAATCTCTTTTAGCCCCTGCTATGAATTCCTAACAATGATATCCAATTTTTTTACGAATCAAATCCCCTGTATTAGTTTTCCAAGAGGACACAATATTGAATGCAGTTCATTCAAAAGTAAAAATATGTGGGAAATATCATGTTGTGTCTTGCTCGTTCAGTTTTGTCCTTTTCTTCTATTTTGTCAAAATGAATGCTTGTTGCCACCTAGATATAGTTGGCGTTCTTCTTGTGTTATTTTGATTGTTTAAAATGTATATTATAACAAATTGCTTTGTTGAGTTGCCATAACTTGGATTTGTACTTGTTCTATTCAATACATTGAGGTATGATAGTGCTATTTATACAATGTAGTGGTGTCGATCGGTTTAAAAGACAGTTTGCCCATCTTGAAGAGCACTACGGTAGAGGTGAAAGAAGCACTCCTCTACAGAGGCAACATGTTTCATTGCCTAGGTATGTGGGTTTTACAGATATTATTGTCAATTTTTAACTTACTGTAGCATGTCTAACAGTATAGTTCCTAATATCGATCACATGAAGTGGAATTATTTATTTAATAGGAAAATCATAAACTAATTCTTGCTCTTTTTGACCATGTCTGCTTGTGAGTCTGTTCATAAGTGGATAAATACCCCCTAGCTTGTTAATTTCAACATGGTATTTCATTGTTTAAAATATACTTTCTATCAAAAGACTTTGCATGAACGGTCAGAGATATTTAATTGTAGTTAGTCATTGCTCTTTATGTAAAACTACCTTGATTAGTCCCCTTTGTTTTTGCTCTTTTATAAAAAGTCGAGCTGCAGGCATTATTAGTTGTCAAATGACTGAAAACTTACTGTGAGATGCTTGTTCAGAAATCATTAACAAGCCTGCATTCATCATTCCTCTGGGATTTTCAAATTATTTTATTTTATTTTGTGAGAAATGGCATGTTTTAAAATACCTGCATGAGCCATGTTTTATGTAACTGTTTTATAGATGAAATAGTGAATCCAGCATTCTGTTTCTTAAATAAATTAATAATCTATGTTTATGATTCCTGAATCCTGTCATAATTGGTCTGAAGTGGATCACCCATATTCTTCTTTTTTGTATGGTTGTCGAATTTTTTGTTGCTTGTTAGAATTGTCATTAAACTTTTGGTTGCCATTTTCTTCTATGAAATTGATGTGAGTTTCTTAGCGTCCGTGTGCTCAGCTGCACAACAAATGGCTTTCTATGTTCTGTTATGAAATATGGGAGCAGGAATGGTTGGTTGCTCAACCTTGTAGTTGTAATTTGTGTTACCTTATTCTGATGCTCAAATAGCCTGTCTTGCCGGCTGTGTACAGATGAGTTTGAGCGTTGAATTAGTGTTTCTACATTTTGCCTGCAGTACACATTAAATTTTATTTAACACTTGTTAATGCTTCAGGCAACGGGTCCCTGCACCTAAAGATGACGGCACCAAAGATAATGATTTTGAAAAGCCAACCACAGCTTCTGTTGCTTCAACTCTCGATATTCCTCCTGAAGGATCAGAAAATGCAAACAGGAAAGCACAGGATGGGCAGAATGAGGCAAACAGTGCACGTAGCTTGCTAAAAAGTGCTAGCATCAGTGGTTCTAGATGTGTAGGCGTCGAAGCGAAGGACGATACAGAAGTAATTTTGCTGCTTTCTATTTCTCATCCTTGCTTTCCTCCTTTGCCAGGGGTAAATTTAGTCTTCAAGCGTAAAGCAATAAGATTAAAGTGTAGATGGGGGCAATAGTTTTCCTTGTTGCGTAGAGCATGGGATGAGATGATTGAATGAATATAGTCAACCATGCAATGGGTAGCTATCTGTGCGTCTGTCTGTCTGTCTGTACGTCCGGGGCAATCAAAAGAAGGGAGGGAGGACAGGACAGTCAGTAGTTATAAGCTTATCTCCTTCTCAACTAATAATATTGCTTGATTTTGATTTGACAGGAAGAAGCAGTTACGGAGGAGGCTGATGCCGATGGGGGGCTGTCAGAGAAAGTTGCTGCTCTGCATGCCTGAGTATCTATCTAACCTATATCGATGCACGCTCTCGCCGAACAAAGTAGTTGTATCATAAATTTAATTTAAGGTAATGGTGTTTGTTGTTATGGTGTACGGCGGAACTGGAACGGGCCAATTTGATCGTGGTCAATCATCGGAATTCACACTCTTGCTTTGGACTTGTTTGATCGCCATGCCCGTCATAAATAATTTGGTCGTTTCATTGCACAACACACATGTTCAGCTATTTATATGAGATGGGGAAGAGGCGACTGAGGCAAGGGAAGGGAAAGCAAGGGGGAGAGACGACTGTATGAGAGAATGTCGTGTCTCTTGCAGGCAGGCAGGCAGCTAGCTGCCCAATAGATTGCATTGCATACATCACCGGCAATGGCAAGAGCAAGAGCAAGTGCAAGCATTGGTGTTGGCTGGCATGGCAAATGACAAATGGCAAATGGCAATATGGGTGGCATGGCATCATCACCCACTTCACCAGTAGTCCCCGCAGTTACAGGCGCCCCCCTGGAAGTGGTGGAAACGATTGGGATCCCGCAGGATTATGAGCCTCCCCTCCATCCTGGCCATGTGCTTGATTGCGGTGTGGCAGTCCTCGCACACCCGGAGGTTCTTGAAGACACGCACAGGCCTCCCTGCCGGCGTCTTCATCATCCCGTACGCCACAGCCAGCTTCTCGCTGTGATGCTTCAGCATGTGCTGCTTCTCCTCCTCCTCCACGTCATGCAGCACCAGCTTGGTGGCCGCCACATATCCATCCCGTCTCATCCGCAGGTCTAGTCCTTCCAGGAACGCATGTATTCTCCCAACCTCTGCGTGGTTGGAGTCCCCCACCGAGAATGTGTGGATCTTGTTTTCAACTTCGACCCAGCTGTAGCCACGCGCCTTGTCAACCCCCGTGTTCCTCATCTTGAGGCGCATCTTGTTGACATCCCCCCATCTCCCCGACGCCGCATACAGGTTTGACAGGAGAACATACATCCCCGAGTTCCAAGGCTCCATTGCAAAGATTCTCTCTGCTGCCTTTTCTCCCAGTGCGGTGTCTCCGTGGATCCTGCTGGCACCAAGAAGCGCCCCCCAAGTGGCTGCATCCGCTTCAAAAGGCATGCGTCTCATCAGCTTCTCAGCATCATCCAGACGCCCAGCTCGACCCAGGAGATCGATCATGCAAGTGTAGTGCTTCGAATTTGGCACTATTCCGTAGTCTTGGCTCATGGACTCAAAGTAATGTTGGCCTCTTCCTACCAAGCCGGTGTGACTGCACGCAGAGAGGACACCAACCTATGAGGTGGAAACAAGAAAACAAGGAGTGAGTACGAACAAGAGATGGGTATGTATTCTATGAAAAGCTCCATAGAGAACGACTGCACACTGGCATTCTCAAGCAAGAAAGAAGCTCATTAAGAAATCAAAACTTACCATGGTAACATCATCAGGCTGAATACAGGTCCGCTTCATGGACTCAAAAATTCGGAGAGCTTCTTTGCCAAAACCATGTCTTGCATAACCGATAATGATTGTGTTCCATGATACCACATCCTTATCATCTACTCCATCAAACACTTGGTATGCCTCATCGATGCTTCCACACCTGCAATACATGGCAAGAAGTGCATTGCCCACATAGCAGCCGAACTCATATCCTGCTTTGATAACACATCCATGTATCTGCTTGCCAAGTTCAAAAGCAGCAACATCGGCGCAAGTACTCAAAATGCAAGTGAAGGCCGATCTGTTTAATCTCTCCCCATCCCTCTTCATTTCAATGAACATTTGAAATGCCCCCAGGCTATCACCGCTCTGAGAATAGCCAGATATGATTGCCGCCCATGAGATACAATCTCGGTGAGGCATCTGATCAAATAAATTTCTAGCACGGACAATATCTCCATTTTGCGCATAACCAGTAATCATTGTGTTCCAAGAACTAGTATTTCTACGAGGCATTGCTTCAAACAGCTCTCCAGCTAATCCTATGTTCTTGCTCTGCACATATCCTGAAATCATTGCATTCCAAGAGATAACGTTCTTCTCCGGCATCTCATCAAAAGCCCTCCTAGCCTCATCCAGCTGCCCATTTTGTATGTAACCAGACACCATTGCAGTCCAGGTAAACACATCCCGACTAGGGGAATCCTCAAACAGCTTTCTTGCTTCTTCCATCCTTCCATTTTGAGCATAGCAGGAGATCAAAGTGTTCCAAGATACCTCATCCTTCACGGGCATGTGGTCAAAAATCTGCCTGGCCTCCACCAGCCTCTTCTTCTTCAGGTACCCACCCATCAAACAGTTCCAAGACACCACCGTCCATTGCTGCTTGCTCTCAAACAACCTTCTTGCCTGCTCAAGCTTCCCATTCTGCACGTAGGCGGCCAGAATACCATTCCAAGATATCTCGTTCTTGTGCGGCATCTCATCAAACAGTATCCGGGCCTCATCCACGAATCCATTCTGTGCATACCCGGACAACATGGCGTTCCAAGAAACAACGTCCCTGACAGGCATTTCATCGAACAAGCGCCTGGCGGCTCCAAGGTCCTTGTTCTTGATGTGGCCGCTGATCATGACATTCCAACTGACCAAGTCCTTTTGAGGCATTTCATCAAACAGCTGGTGGGCCAGCTGAAATCTGCCATTGGCTAGATAGCCGGAGATCATAGCATTGTAGGAGATGGAAGTCCTGCGAGGCATGGAGTTAAACAAGCGCAGCGCGGAGTCGCACCGGGCATTGCGCATGTGATTGGTGATGGCAATATTGCATTTGACAATGTCCGAGTCGGTAAACAAATGGTTGTGGGTGGGTGTGGGAGGGGGGCCATTGCGATGGGTAGTCGGGGGGCGGGGAGGCGGTGGAGCGTAGGTTCTTATTCTGGTGGTGGGGGACGAGAGGATGCCGGTGACAGTGGTGCTGTGTAGCAGACGCAACGGGGATCGCATCCGTTCTGTTCTGTTCACTTCAGTTCAGAAACGCAAGCAAGTTTTGTTTCCATAAAATGCAACCGACTGGAAAATAACATAAAAGGATGGGTTTTGAGATTGTAAGTGCAATTCAATTGTAAAATTTTTAAAGGCAAAATAGTATAGATTTGCCTAAAGTTTTCCAACTTAGCACGAAAATCACCTAGATCAGAAGATTACATTTTCTCCGCTTGTGTTCTATTAAACGGCTCCAAACCCGTGTCCGCGCAAATATCAACGTGCACAAGTAGATTTTATACTATTCTATTTAATTTTAGATATAATATTTTACAAAAAAAAAAAAAGTTATATTTTAATAGAAATTGTACAATAATTTAAAAATAAATAAAAATTAAGTTTAATACTGTACAATTTTATTTTTATTTTTCTTAAATAGTAAACTAATTGAATAATTAAAGATAAGAGTTAGAAAACTAATTTAATTTGATTAAGGTATTTTTCTTTTGTTCAAAATCTCAAATTTATATTATTTGGACTCAAAAAAAATACAAAACATCTCATCCATCGTACATTATTTTAATATCATACTAAAATCAAAATTTTTTCGAATTCATCTAAAAGATATACCCTAAATTTTATATTTATGATCCCTCATTCTTATCAACACAGGGTGCCCACAAAAATAGCGAGAATAGAATAAAACAGGAGATTTTGGAATCAAAAGAAGAATTGTTAATTGTTACTTGTCATAAAATAGTATTAGTTTGAATTTCTGCTTAGTTAATAATTCCATGTGATATTTTTTAACATAAAGTAATATGTCTTTATTAAAAAACTTATAAAATAAATAATTTAATTTAAAATTATTAAAAAAAACAAAGAATCTTGGAATAAAGGATTTGTTGTCGAATCGGGAACGTGAAATTTAGGGTGTGTTTGTTTGAAGGATTTTGGAGGATTTCCACTATTCATCCAATTTTTTTCCCCCCAAAAACATCAAATCAAACACCTATTTTTCATTTTTTATATTATACTAAAAATCAATTTTACATTCAAAACATCACATCAAACCCTATTTATATCACATCATACAACTATTCAAATTCAAAATTTTTACTATTCAAATCCCAATCCAAAATCCAAACCCCCAAACAAACACACCCTTAGACATATAGTAAAATATTTGGTCTCAGACATGTCTAATTTAAAAGCGTAGAAGTATAGCAGTATAGGTGCAGAGATGGTCATATTGTGATATGCGTTGAATCCGGGAGATCTCGAAGGTTGTGATTGAATTTAATATATATAAATATTGATATTATAATATAAATAAAAATTCAATATTTAAAAATAAGATAATTAATAAAATATAAAAAAGTCTAAAGGAAAAATCTTATGGTGATTTTTGGGCACATTGGTACTAGTATTTTTGAACTGCAACTGATTAGAATTATTTATTTATTTTTTTACCGTGGGGCAGGATACTTTTTCAAAATTAAAAAATACACTAATGAATACCATACGTAGACCAAGTCAATTGGTCCCTTAAATCTACGAAGATGCTGCAGTATGTATGTACGTATAATTGTTGTATGGTGAGAAGATATTGCTATAATGTAAAAAAGATTTAATGAATAAAAATAAATAAATAAATAAACAAACAGGGGTGGCTCACATGTCAGTCAGTCATGTCGTATTATGGTGCGAAGAAATTTGTCGTTAAATAGAGGGAGGGATAGCGCCCCTCCGCTCGGCCGCTCGCCGACGCCACCTTTTGACGGACCGATCGAACCTGAGCAGCTGTTACAGTCACTCCGGCCGATGGCTCCCTCCGCACCATCCAGCCTCTTGGTCTTGGTCTTGGTCTTCTTCTTCTTCGCTATCACGATGGTGATTCTTCCCCTTTCTCTTCTGGCATTGCCGTTGTCTGACTGCAGCAGCTGCCCCTCCTATGCAGCAGCAGAAGCAGCTCCTTCTACTACTACTATTACTAGTACAGAAGCAGAAGCAGAAGGAGATGAGCAGCTCAAGAGGAGCAGCTTCCCCAAGAGCTTCATATTCGGAACAGCCTCCTCGGCCTACCAGGTCGAGGGCGCCGCCAACCAGGACGGCCGGGGCCCCAGTATTTGGGATACTTTCCTCCGCCAACCAGGTACGCACGCCTAGGCGATCGAGCTACCTCATTCATTCGCCCGATCGAGGAGCCACCCCCACCCCAGTTACGTTCAATCTTGAATTTAATCTGCTCCTGCCTCCTCCCGCTGATCTGATCTTATCTTCAGGACTTCAGCCAAACAATGGGACGGCGGATGTGACGGCGGACCAGTACCACAGATATAAAGTACTATATATATATATATATCTTATTATAAACACTTCACACTTGATTGAGTTAACTTCACTGCCTAGCTAGCTGACTGGTACTTGTGCAGGAAGACCTTGATCTGATGGCGGACTTCAATTTTGATGCCTACAGATTCTCAATTTCATGGTCCAGAATATTTCCAAGTAATTACTAATATTTAACCTAACATATATATTCTTTCCAGTGGGCTCTGGCTTAATTAATTAGATTGAATATTGGTAGCAGATAGCTAGCTAGCTTTTCATATGATCAAGTACTACTTACTCGTACGTTACTTCCTCTGCTGGTGACACAAACGTGTGCTTATTTGACTAGGTATGAATTTTAATAAAAATGAATAATAGTTATTAATTTTTTTATAATAAAAAATAATATAAAAATAGAATAATTTTTTATTTAAAAAAAATAAAAATATTTTTCGATGATAATTCAAAAAAAAAAATGAATATAAATTTGAATGAGCGAGGAAGTATTACGGTAATCATTCCTGAATGAATGTTGTAGATGGGACGGGAGAGGTAAATTGGAAGGGAGTTGACTACTATAACAGGCTGATCAACTACATGCTTGAAAAGGGTACGACGTAACGCATCATAATAAACACACGTACATTGACATCGACATACATACTACATGTATAGATCATTAATAATGCCTGCTTCGGTTGGTTGGTTGGTGCGTGCAGGCATCACCCCGTATCCAAATCTCAATCACTACGATCTTCCTCAAGCGCTTCAGGATAGGTACGGTGGCTGGCTCAACCGTCATGTTGTGTGAGTCCACTGCATACCATATCATACATATATATATATATATATAATTCATGCGCTATTATATATTATCACATATATAAATATGATCTCGCCTGTTCGACTGATGGATGGATCAGCAAGGATTTTGCGGATTATGCCGACTTCTGCTTCAAGACTTTTGGAGACAGAGTGAAGAACTGGCAAACATTTAATGAGCCTAGAGTGGTAGCCGCCCTTGGTTACGATAATGGGCTTTTTGCACCGGGAAGATGCTCCAAAGCATTTGGGAATTGTACGGAGGAGGGCAATTCCGGCACCGAGCCCTACATCGTTGCTCATAATCTCATTCTCTGCCACGCGTCCGCTGCTCAGAGATACCGTCAGAAATACCAGGCACGCCCCAGCACCGTACCAATTCGATTCACATCACAGTCACACACACACACACACGCATGTTGCTATAATTAATTTGCTTCTAATTGATATGTTTGATTTGCGTTGCTTTAATCTTAATTTGTATGATGCTGTTGAACCTGTGTCCCTGCTCCTGCTCCTGCTCCTGCTCTTGCAGCAAACACAAAAGGGGAGGATTGGGATTCTGTTGGATTTTACTTGGTACGAGCCTCTCACAAGATCCAAAGCCGACAACTACGCCGCTCAAAGGGCAAGAGATTTCCATCTTGGCTGGTAAATAATGGAGTAGTACTAATATCGAGTTGGTTTTTATGTACGTAAGAATGCTTTGTAATATATGCAGACTGAAATTCAGCCCTTGTTTTCACTCATTCCCGTACATCTTCGAACTGCCTGCCTGCCTGTGTAGGTTTCTGCATCCTTTGGTGTATGGAGAGTATCCGAAAACAATGCAGAACATTGTTGGGGAAAGGCTGCCCAAGTTCACAAAGGAAGAGGTCGGGATGGTTAAGGGATCTGCTGACTTTGTGGGCTTAAATCAATACACCTCATTCTACATATATGATCCAAGACAAGCAAATACTGCTGCTGCTGCTGCTGCTGCCCACTCGTTAAGCTACCAGAAGGATTCGAATGTTGGAATTGCGTGTGAGTAAATAGTTTCTATTGTCTTATTAATTCATCACTTACGTACGTGTGCTCCGGTCCGTGCTGCAACTCCATCACTATATATATTAATTTGTCATCGATCCGTATTGATATCCATCTATCTCTTTATCTGCTTGACCTGTATCACTATGTATGGCTTGGTTAAATAACAACTATCATTAATTAAATATATTCTTTTTGGCGTGCAGATGAACGGCGTGGAGTGCCAATTGGGCCAAGGGTATGTATGATGCATAATGTATTATGTGTGTGTGTGTGCCTGGGGGATTTATATATGATGAGTAGAGTAGAGTAGAGTACCGCTGCCAGTCCACTGGAGAGTTAACGAGGGCCAGCCAGCCAGCCAATTGGCAAATATATATATATATATATAATCGTATATAGGTGGATGATCGGATCGCATATTGGCATGACTTGATATTATCAATTTGTTATGATCATGGGGTCGAGTCTCTCATACGGGGGAGATGAGATGTTTAAAGTTGTGGTAGATATGGGAGAACAAAGAGAAGAGAGTGAAGCTGCGTTGGTGGATCAGTTGGATGAGAATGGAGGATCTAGACTTGTGAAGTTGCACACAATTGGGTATAAGAGAATTGTTTTAAGCATCTAATTGAGGCTTAGATTCTATGTTTTTATTATAAGGTAGTGGGCTACACCCATTAGTACCAATTTCATTTTATATTGCAAAGGCTTACACCCTTAGTACTAATTTGATTTATTTTGCTTGATTTGCCCAGCGGCTTGGCATGCTTAAGTATGTAGGTTTTTAGTATTTAAACCCTGAATAGATGCACAAAATATCGAAAATCAATTCTCCAGTTGGTTACACTGGGTAATTAGAGCCTGGTTGTTTCTGTAATGGCATAAGGCACCAGATTCAAGGACTTGGTAGATGCACACAAAAAGCTGGAATTAGAAAGTGAAAAGAGGGCAGAGAGGGAAATCAGAATACAGGAGCAATTGGACCAAATGCAAGCAGGAATAAACAAATCGCAAGCAGAAATAGCGAGATTGCACACAGATCTAATCAAATCCGAGGATGAATTCAGAGAATACGTACAAGGTATGTTCAAAAAGCTTTGCAGTTCTTCAACCGCACCACAGAAATCAGCACAACACACAAACAGAGGGAAAGATATTATAGATGATACAAGCCCAGTGGAATTCCATAATACATATAGATCTGAAACTGACCCGATGCGTGGTAATTATTTTGGAAGAACTAGATCTAGTATGGGCAGTCATTTATCTATACAAGCAACTCCTAGAATGGAATTTCCCCGGTTCGATGGAACTAACGCTAGATCATGGATGCTATGGTGCAACAACTATTTCCGGATGACTCAAGAGATGCCGGAAGACTAGAAAATCATGTATGCATCTATGTTTTTTTATGGGAGAGCTGCAATTTGGTACCAATCATTCATTAAACATAGGCCGCATGCAACATGGTAGCAATTCATACAGGCTCTTAGCTTCAGATTTGAAGAACTAAAGATGAATCAGGTGATCGAGGATTTCAAACACTTGAGGTTCACAGGGGATTACACAGACTATGTGGATAAATTCGAAGAGCTACGAGACTATATGAATACCTTGAGTGGTCCACCTATTTCAGAGGAATACTTCATTGCATGTTTCATTGGTGGGCTAACTCCCGAGCTCAAAGCTTCCGTGAGAATGATGAATCCTGTTAACCTGGAGCACGCGATTGAATTAGGCCGAAATCAACATGAGACAATATAAGCAATCACCAAGAGGTTAAAGGGGATGCAGAAGCCTTACCAGGCTGGTTTTCACTCATCCCCTGTTGGAAAACCTCAAGCTACAACTGCTCCTGCAAAGATAAATAATCGCAGACCGAACATCAAGTTATTATCTGCAGTTGAGATAGCAGCAAGGAGAAAGAAGAGCCTATGCTTCAATTGTGATGAGAGGTTTACCCCCGGCCACAAGTGCAAACATAGGATATATATTATGATGAATGTCGAAGAAGATAAGGTGTATCAGACAATAGTCCTAACAACACCAATACAACAGTTTGAAGAAGAAGAAATGGAAGAGGTTCAGATTTCACTGAATACTCTAAATGGAAGGGCCGGTAAGGGAACAATGAAATTCATGGGAAATTACCTTGGTCATTCACTTCAGATACTAATTGACACGGGAAGTTCTTTGAGCTTTATTAAGGAATCCACCGCGGAGGTTCTTCAGCCCAAGACAGAGAAGATTCCAACTACCATTGTGGTGGTTGCAAATGGACAGAAGTTAGAAGTGATAAAGCCACTTCTGACTTTAAATGGGAAATTCAAGGGAAAAAGTTCACTCACCCTTTGAGTCTTTTGCATATGGAGGGCTTCGACATGATTTTAGGCTGCGATTGGGTGGAAGCTCACTCCCCAATCAAGATCGACTACTGGAAAATGATTGTAACTGCCAATATACAAGGTAAGAAGGTTAGATTGCATGCTCAGGGTAATCATTCAAGGTGTCACATGATCACACAACAATCCCTATACAAGCTCTTAAGCTACCCTCGGGATTCTGAAGTAGAAGAGGTGTATCTGATAACTCCACCTGAAGTTGTCGTACCTGCTCATCCAGAGTTAGATCAGTTGTTAGAAGAATATAAAGATATCTTTGAAGAACCCATAGGCTTACCCCCAAGCCGTGGTGTTGAACACCATATTCAATTGAAGACTGGAAGCGAACCACGGAGGCAACATCCCTACAGGATTTCACATAACCAGAAAACCGAAGTTGAAAAAATAATTAAAGAACTGTTGGAGGTTGGGGTTATCAGGCACAACAAAAGTCCTTTTGCATCCCCTGTTTTGCTGGTTAAGAAGAAGGACGGCTCGTGGAGGTTATGTGTGGACTATCGGTATTTGAATAGTCTTACCATTAAGCATGATTATCCTATACCGGTTATAGATGAGTTGTTGGATGAGCTGTACGGATACCAAATTTTCTCGAAAATCGACCTAAGGGTGGGATATTTTCAGATTTTGGTGAATCCCAATCACACCTACCTCACTGCATTCAATACACATCAAGGGCATTACGAGTTCAATGTTATGCCGTTTGGGCTATGCAATGCCCCAGACACATTCCAGTTCTTAATGAATCGAGTATTTCAAGAACAATTCAGGAAATATGTTTTGGTTTTCTTTGATGATATACTCATATATAGTAAGTCATGGAAGGAACATCTACAACATTTAAGAGTAGTCTTTGGGTTATTGCGCGCTAATAACCTATTTGCTAAGAAAAGCAAGTGCCAATTTGGACAGTCAAGCGTAGAATATCTAGGACACGTAATGTGAGGCCAATGAATAGCCACTGATCCTCATAAGATTTCTGCTATGGTGGATTGGCTGAGCCCTAAAACTATCAAAGAATTGAGGGGGTTTCTGGGCCTAACAGGCTATTACAGGAAGTTTGTGCGAGATTACGGTAAGTTAGCTAAACCACTTACTAATCTGCTAAGGAAAAATCAGTTTCTTTGGAGTGAAAGTGCAGAGATGATATTTATGCAACTGAAGACAGCCATGGCTACAGCACCAGTTCTAGCATTACCCGACTTCTCTCAACCATTTGTGGTGTAAACTGATGCAAGCAATAGCGGGTTAGGGATTGTATTGATGCAGAATGGTAAACCTATTGCTTTCATGAGTAAAGCACTTAGTTTGCGCAACCAGAATCTATTTATATATGAAAAAGAATTTATGGCAGTCCTTATGGCTATCCAAAGGTGGAAACACTACTTAGGAGGAAGCAAGTTTATCATTAAAACAAATCAATAATCACTTAAATATTTGTTTGAGCAACGGCCGGTTTCACCATTGCAACAAAAATGGATAAACAAGTTGATGGGTTTTAATTTTGAAATCCATTATAAAAAGGGGGTTGAGAATAAAGCAGTTGATGCTTTATCTCGGGTTAACAGTTCAGATGTTCTGGCAATTTCCATCTTAATACCAGACTGGATTAAAGATGTTATTGCAAGCTATCAAGGGGATGAATTGACTAATGCTATCATCAAGGCCAATGAGACACTTAATCAATCTTACTCAAAGTATCAACTGGACGAGGGATTGGTAAGATACAAGGGAAGAGTTTATGTTGGGAGTTTGCACGGCTATAGGGGCAAACTATTGAAAGAAATGCATTGTTCTTCCTATGGTGGGCACTCAGGCATACAGGGTACTTATATGCGATTGAAATTTGTTTTCTTCTGGCCTAGAATGAAAACAGAGGTTGAAAAACTAGTATGGCAATGTGATGTGTGCGCTCGAAACAAAGCTGATTTGGCGGCGTCTCCGGGTTTGCTACAACCCTTACCCATTCCTGACCAGCCATGGACCCATATTACTATGGATTTCATTGAAGGTCTACCAAAATCCCAGGGTAAAAATGTGATCTTGGTAGTGGTGGATAGGCTCACCAAATATGGCCACTTTATTGGGCTCACTCATCCTTTCGGCTCTCAAGATGTGGCGAGGGTATTCATTGGTCAGGTGTATAAACTACACGGGCTACCCGCTAGTATGGTGACCGACAGAGATAAGATTTTTACCAGTGGATTTTGGAAGGAACTATTCCGGCTATTAGGGGTGGTTTTGAATTTTCGACTACCTATCATCCCCAGAGTTACGGGCAGACAGAACGGGTTAACTAATGTATCAAAACCTACCTTCAGTGTATGGTCTCAGATACTCCCAAGAGGTGGCATCATTGGTTGGCTTATGCGGAACACTGGTACAATACTAACTACCATTGTTCCTCCAAGATGATACCTTTTCAGGCTTTGTATGGTAACAAACCACCTTATCTGTCGGTCACCGCCTATTTGGACACTACAGAAGGGGATGTGAAAGATTATTTACTTGACAGACACACAATAATGAGGACCTTTAAAGACAACCTGCAGAGGGCCCAGAATCGTATAAAGATTCAGGTAGATCGTTCCAGATCTGAAAGAGAGTTTCAAGTGGGTGACTGGGTTTACCTCAAGCTTCAACCATTTCTCCCAAATTCAGTGGCTTTGAGGCAACACCTAAAGCTAAGCTCTAAATACTATGGACCGTATCAGATTTTAGAGAGAATAGGTGCGGTGGCCTACAAACTTGATTTACCGTTTGGTTCTCAGATTCACCCTACTTTCCACGTTTTCCTTTTGAAAAAGGCAGTAGAAGGGCATCCTATACCGATGGATACTTTACCTGAAGTAGACGAAGATGGAATTTTTGTGCTGCGACCAGTGGGGGTTCTACAAAATATAACCATAAAAATAGGGAATTTAGAGGTGGATCAGGTTCTGGTTCAGTGGGGCGATGAAAATTCTGGGTTGTGTTCTTGGGAAGATAGTAAGTATATGCGGCGAGTCTATAAGGGGTTTGATGCTCGGGGACAAGGATCTTGTCGAGGAGGGGGAAATGTTATGATCATGGGGTCGAGTCTCTCATACGGGGGAGATGAGGTGTTTAAGGTTGTGGTAGATATGGGAGAACAGGGAGAAGAGAGTGAAGCTGTGTTGGTGGATTAGTTGGATGGAGAAGGGAGGATCTAGACTTGTGGAGTTGCACACAATTGGGTATAAGAGAATTGTATTAAGCATCTAATTGATGCCTAAATTCTATATCTTTATTATAAGGTAATGGGCCTACACCCATTAGTACTAATTTCATTTCATATTGTAAAGGGCTTACCCCCTTAGTACTTAATTTGATTTATTTTGCTTGATTGGCCCAGCTGCTTGGCATGTTAAGTACACAGGGTTTTAGTATTTAAACCCTGAATATTACCTAATGAAAAAATAAGAAATATTCCAAATTTTATCTTCAGTTCTCACTTTTAGCTTTTGTACAAAATATTGAAAATGAATTCTCCAGTTGGATACACAATTAGTTGCGTGTAATTAATGCAATGCAGGCCAACTCATACTGGCTTTACATTGTGCCATGGGGGATATACAAATCCGTGAACTACATAAAAGAACGCTACGGGAATCCTACAGTGATTTTGGCGGAGAATGGTACTACTGTTACTGTTACTGTGTGTGTATGGTCCTTCCCTCCCTTGGTCATTAAATTGAAGTGAGTGACGGTGATGGTGATGGGGAGTGCAGGAATGGACCAGGCAGGCAATCTCTCACTACATGAGTCGCTGCACGACGATACAAGGATCAAGTACTACCGGAGCTACTTGGGTTGGCTGAAGAAGGGCATAGACGAGGGGGCCAATGTGGTCGGCTACTTCCAGTGGACATTCGTGGACAACTTCGAGTGGAGGCTGGGCTACACGTCCAGGTTCGGCATCGTCTACGTGGATTTCAAGACCCTCCGCAGGTACCCCAAGATGGCCGCATACTGGTTCAAGAAGTTCCAGGAGAGAAGATAAGATCACGAGGAAGAAATATATATATATATATATGAATGATAATGATAATGATGATGATGATGAGCCACCCCCCATTCATCAGCCAATAAACAGGCAGGCTCAGGCTCAGGCTGCTTTGCTAGTTGCTACTCACTTGACTGTCTCTATTTGTATTTGTATTTATATTTGTATGTGTTGATCTCTTCTCTCTTTTCGTGCTGAAGCCAGCAAGAAGGTGCGTGGTGTCAAGTCAATGTTATAACTTGGGAGCCCGCCTCGCATTGGAATGGACAGACAGACAGACTTCAATTCGATGGCATTTTAAGCTGTACTTACTCCATTCTCTCTCCTTTTTCTTTTCTTCACCATCACCATCATCATCGTCATCGTCATTATCATCACCACCCATTAGTCGAGATGCCTGTCTGCCTGCCCAACCACCCAAACACAACCCCACCAACCATAGCAGCCAGGGTCTATCACCCTATCCATTCCATTCCCTTCCCATTCTAAACAAAACTAATAATACTATACTAGGTTGCAATGGTTTCATCTGGCTGCCTCCCCCACGCCCACGCCCACGCCCGCGCCGCTCCGCCTTGCGTCCCTTTCCCCTGCCCACCTTCTTCTGCCCCTCTCTTCCAACCTTTATTTCTTCCTCCTAAACCCCTCCTTGTCTTCGAGACTTATCCGATTTCGACAATAACAAGTAGAACCCGAGCCACTCTTGATCCGATCCCCGCCGCCGGCCCTTCTCTTCTTGTTCAGGGACCTAATCGAGGACCCAACCAGGTATTGCCGCTTTGCGTTCGTTCATATCTATCTATCCATCCCATTTAAGTAAGCAAGCAAGTAAGTGGGTCACGAACCTGTCCAAATTTCAGAATAATAAAGTACTACTACTCCTGTATTATAGTTTTGGTCTTGCTTTAATGCTTCATTGCCTGCCTTTCTTCGAAAAATCAAACAAACGTGGGTTGGGGACGACAGGACAGTTTTTACTATCTGGCAGGCTACAAATCAAGATTTAAGGCGCGCTACTCATAATAATTAATATACTGGGCTACCCGAATTCTTCTTATGTATATTATTATTATTTAGGGAGTTGACGAGTGTGTGAGGCTTCTCAAGGACGCCGCGAAGACAAGAAAGGTTCCCCCAGGTGATATTCTGCGAGCATTTTCCGTGATTGAGAAGGCCAAGGCGGACCCCTCTGGATTTCTTCGGACTCTTGGAGGAACCAAATCACCTGGCAGAACTTGGATGCTTATTTTCACTGCAAAGGTTAGTGTTTCCCGATCGTCGTTATGCTGCGTTTCCAGCTTCTTTTTCCTTTTCTTTCTTTCTTTCAGTTGACGAGTTAATTTGGCAGAAAAAATTGGATGATGGCAACTATTTCCCAGTTACAGCCGTTCAGAGGTTTGACGCAGCTGTAAGCTTACTACTTACTTACTCTCTACTAAAACATGCTGGCTTGCCCTACCTAAACCTAGGCCAAGGCCAGGGTCATTGTTGTGCTCTTTAATCCTCTGAACACGTAAGGAGGGGAGGAGATTGTCTGATGCGTTTGGGATATGTGTTTGAATTTGATCAACCGAAATCATTTGGCTGGCATTGTGTAGCGGCATTTGAACTAATTCAACCCAGCCCTGCCCTGGTTTTTCAAACTGAGAACCTGACCAATCCGACTGTTGAATAACTGAAAGAGTCGGGTGGGTATTGGGTGAGGGTCTACTTGGATTATTGCTAGTTTTACACCGGTTGTGTCATGAGAAGTATCAAGCATGTGAATGTTTTTCACATTTGGCGGCATCATTGTGTGTGTGTATCGTATCTTCTAATCTTGTTTCCTCATGGGCTCCTCATAAGCTAAGCTTGTTTCCTTCACTTGCGTTTGCCTAGTGAGAGAATGCAATTTGTCTTCTGCTGTCCTTTCCCCACACGCGCGTCTGTGTCTAAATGCACTCTGAACTGATATTTTAGGGTAAGAGGATCGAGAATGGGGTTTATCTTGGGCCTCTTGGGAGCTTGACCTTTGAAGGCAGGTTTTCATGGAATAAAAGAATCCTTGCTTTCATATTTGAGCGGATCCGGGTGAAGGCAGGGCCCCTTGGCCCATTTGAGTATTGTTTCAAAGGGAAAGACGACGAAAGGGAGCCAGGCAACAGGGATCCATTCTTCACATGGTTCTATGTTGACGAGGAAATTGCTGTAGCACGTGGTAGAAGCGGGGGGACTGCATTCTGGGTCCGCTGTCACCGAGTTGCCTCCTCTTCTTAGGTCTGGTCCTCTCATTCTGTGTCCATTGTTACGTTAGCCTCCAGCTTTTTTAATGTTCACTTCAGTGCAGTCTTTCTTGCACACAATAGATTCTTTGTACGCACAAGTGGACGGATTCGTGGTGTTCGTATAGAACAGATAGACTGTAATGGATGTCATTTCCTTTGATTAGTTGATAAATGCACCTTGGATCAGTAAATGATATGAGGGCAGCCTCCAATATTGGGAGGAGTATCTATAACAAACAAGCTCTTTCTTTTCTTTCCTAGTTTTATATGTATGTAATTGATTTCTTTTTAAGTCATGGATTCCGCAGAGAATTCTTGGTAACAAACTGCAATTTATTTAGTTACTTTGGTGTTACTGAATTTATTCGAAAATAAAGAATATTGTATTAAGCTATCTTCAGGAAAGATTGAAGACTAGTGTATTAAGCTATCTTTAGGAAAGATCACACGCTCAAACATAGCTATGACTATACTACATTATATGAAATATGATGAAATAACAAAGATGAAAAATGAAACAAAATAGTAATAATACATGAAAAAATAACATAGCCGTTACTGAACTAATATAAATTTTAGTCTTAGTCATGCTTAAGGTAATAGCTCTTTATTAGATCATATATTGTTACCGCTTGAGTTTAATTTAAAAATTATAGTAATTTTTAAATCCAGAAAGCAAATTTAAATAATTTTTGCGCAATTTTTTTTTTTTTAATTCAAATTTATTTAATGTGGCAACTACAATTAAGGAATTGCACACGTTTTCAATGAAAAGATGGTACTTATATTTCAAATTTAATTGCATCTTTTAAAGAAAAAATAATCCATATCCTATAAAATATTACTTATCTTCATTTACCGCTACTGTAGTCACAAGCACAATATGAAATACACTGTAATACACACGGGAAGAAAAATTCCTTAAAAAGTAATAAGTAGGATAGATACAAGAGAATATTTTTCAATAATTCTAGAAAACATATTCATCATATACAAATATTTTTTGTCTAACATTTTAGTGTTGTTTTGTTTTATTTTAGTAGAAATTTTGTGAAACCCAACACATTAGGGTCAAATATGATATAAAAAGCTTAAAGTATATCCAAGATTGTTTGTTCGATTTCAACCATTCACTTTTCTCCTAACTCTCTAACAGAAACTGCATATTTAAATTGATTACTCTTTGGCGTCGCAAGTATTGTAAAGAAAGGAAGCTGATACTTTGTTGTGGTCTTGGAGTCAGATGGACACTATTATATGAATGATGAATCACTCACTTTACGATGGTATCTCGTTGGATCTTTCTCTGGCCCTCTGCGCCTGGAAAAAATGGGCAGCAGTTGAAATTTGATGTAGCCATAGCCCATATACAGAGAAGCAAAATACAGGAGGGAGGGAGGATGAAAAAATTTAATGCTCTGCTGTAGTGCAGTGTTGTGTAGCAGCAGCAGCAACACTAACCTCGTGTTCCCAGTTGGTGCGTGATATCATGGCAAAAAGGCTCACCACTTGCACCAGCAAAGCACTCACAATTCCCAACCAGAGACCCTGCATTGCACGCTTCTAACTCATTCATTATTGGCAAATTTGAAGACATCAAATGTTAGGAGAATAAAACTAAAAAACTGGAAAGAAAAACTGAGAGACAAGGATATTGGAAGAAACATTTTTCCTCCTTGATTTTTAAACCAAAGCTTACACAACATTTAATGGAAACAAAATATATGCAATTTTAGTCCCGTAAGGATATGGCCTGATGGTGTGGAGATGGCCTCGTGACCGTGAGGTCATGGGTTCAAACTCGACGTGAGGTTCAAAGCTCGATGATAAACATTTAATGGAAACAAAATATATTTACCTTTCCTCCTATGCCCAACACAAAAGCTAACAGTGCAGCCATTGGCATGCCCACAAGATAATACGATCCAAGGTTGATAAATGCTCCAATCTTCTGCCACCCACACCCTCTGATGATTCCTACACAACTAATGTCATTTGTCAGTCACCAGATGAAATAAATAGTGAATGATTCACACACTGCATTTAGATGGTTTGGCGTACCTGAAAGAACACACTGAAGCCCGTCCATGAAGTTCGAGATGGCCAGGATAGGCATCATTGCTGCCACGTAGTCCACGACTTGTTTCTCATTACTATAGGCATATCCCCATATGTTTCGGATTAAGCACAGCAGCAGTCCCACCAAGAGGCCCTCGCTGATGGCCATCACTAGGACTACACCCACAGCTAACTCTGCCGCTCGGGGATGCCCGGCTCCCACCTCATTTGATACTCTTGTGCTGCATGGCATGGAGAGAGTTACCTAATTAATAATTGCACAAGGTGTATCATCATATCATCTGTCTGGCACATAGTGAAAGCAAGCAAGATAACAAACAGCATGGCATTGCATTGGATTGCACTGCACTGCTGCAGAATCAAGTAAGTAAGTAAACCGGTAGATGACAGACCAACCTCACAGCACCACTTAGCCCAAATGGGATCGTCCAAACTGTTGCACCTGTGTTAAGGCTGGAGGTACAGCATCCAGTTGGTGGCCATTAGTACAGCATGAAATATAATATAATATAATCTAATAGAAATATAATAGCTTACCAGATAGACAGTACAGAGGTTTCTAACTCAGGGTTGGGAAGAAGCCCAGAGAGTAGAACCATCATTTCAAAGGACCACGCCTCCAAACTGTTTACAACTTCACAAATTAAAAACACGTAAACAAAGCCGTTCATTCTTTTCTACTAGGAGCAGGGAGGCAGGCAGACTCACCAGACCATAACTGCTGAAGGGATAGCAAGTCTAATAAAATTAAAAATATCGTGCAGTGCTTCTTTAGAAAACCCAGCCCAAGTTTTCAAACAGGATGAAGAAAACTTGATGTAAAGAGATAACAACAAGGCATTTATCCAGTAAGAGAGCGAATTTGCCACTGCAGCTCCTCTGCCACCGAGGCCAGACTTGAAAACAAGAGTCCAGCAGAAGATGAAGTGCAAGAAAGTGGTGATCCCAGAAATCATCATCATTGGGATGACAATATTTTGTGCTTGCAGGAACCTAACTTGGCATTGCAGTATGGCGTAACCAAAAATGCTGGGAATCATAAAGCGAGCATAGTGTCCAGCCTCTTTGGAGATGTCAGGATCTTGGCCGAATGCCGCTAGGATGGGACTTGTGTTTGCCCATACAATGGCAAGAGGTATGGAAAAACAAAGAAGAACAAACATTGCTCTCTGCATGTGCACGCCGAGCATACCATACTGCTTAGCTCCATAGGATTGGCCGCACAATGTGTCTAATGCGCTTGCCATGCCCATCTAGGTTCACCACTCGGTGGGACATCTCAAAATTAAGATCAGATTCAATTGCAGGATAATATCCCTTCTATCAGTTTACAGCTCAATACTATTCCATTCAAAATAACACATAGTATGTACTACTACATCTCCTCCACTTTAATACCAAGTTTGAGGATATCAAATTCTCGCTTTAACTAAACCAAGTGATAGATAGTATTACTTCATGTTGTGACCATATAACAAGATAATAGAACCATGCAATCCCAGGCAATTTATGTATTTTTGGGTGGGGGCAGGGGGCGGGGCTTACCCTACTTCCTAAAAAGGCAAAACTGAAAGTGAATCAATAAGATGGGCATGATAACGACCAAGAAACTGGATGATCGGGATGGATGCTAATGAATAATAACAATAACAATAATATATCAAGCAATAAGTTTCAAGACTCCACACATTGCAGCTGTGGATACCCATTTGCATATATAGTTGGATACAACAAGGCAAACAACAATTAATTAAGGCCCCTCACTACACTAATCCCCGTGTAAAAAGAAACAAATTAAGGGCGGCTCTCACTTTCCCGTGTAAAAAGATCCCCAAGGGCTAAAATTATCATCTATGTGACTATTTATACCATTATTCCTCCACAAGATAATTAAGAAAGATGCACAGAGACGAGACGAGGATACAAGCATGCCATGAAGTGGGAGGATCAGCCTCCGTATAGAGAGAACAAACAAACAAGCAGTTAAAAATAAATTAATCAGCGGGGTGGGGGTAACGTGGTGGTTGAATCAAATTGAAATTGAAGTGCTCACCAACAGGCTCAAACCAGTGACGGACCCAAAGGATGTTGCCACTGAAGCAGCAGAGAGGGCTAATTCCCCCAAATGGCCCACAAACATTACCGAAATCAGCTGCAAAGCGAACTGCAAAAGAGACACCAAAATCAAGGGGCCCCCCAGCCACAATTGCTTCTTCAACTCCTCAAGGAATACTTGGTTGTTTCCATCACAAGCAGACGAGGTACTTCTGAGGTTGTCCTCCGGATTTTGAAGCAGTGGTCTGACGAGGCCGAGAGAGGATCCATCATTTTCCACTGCAGATATCTTCATCTTCAGCGAGGCGATGAGAGGAGAGGAAAAGAAATCTCCGGGGCCCAATGGCAATATGTTGCTCCTTGTTAATTAAATAGGAATTTCAACACACCAGACTATACAACATAATACATGCCTTATGTTGTAGATAAAAATGAGATTATATATATATATATATATATATATTTTTTTTGCTTAAAAAATTCAGAATTTATCTACAATTTTTGAAGGAAGCCTTTTGCATACTTGTGTGATTTTTTATCTTTGACTTACTATTTCGATTTTTTTTTTTCTTTTAAAATATCAGATCAAACAGACATTTTTATTTATTTCATTTAACTAAAATTTAATTTTACATTCAAAACATCACATCAAAACATATTTATATCACATCAAACAACTATTAAAATTCAAAATTTTATTATTCAAAACCAAAATAAACAATCATAATCTTACGAGTAAACACACCTATAAATTTTATTAATTGAATGACTTCGAAATGTTCAAATCTATATTATATACTCTTTTAATTCCACTTCATTCCCACATTAAAATTTTAAATAAATATAATTAATAAATAATTAAAAATATATAAGTAAACTAATTATCGTATAATATAAATAATTATTGATTGAATGATAAGATAATTTAAAAAATTATAAATTAGAAATAAAAGTATGTAATCATTTAAAAAAAGAAGAAAGTGACGCCAGGAAGATGAGATATGAGACGAATAGAAACAGCAACATGGACTTGATAATAGGATTGAGGGAATATTATTTTATTGTACAGAGAAGATTGGATTTTTTTGAACCTATTTCAATTATCTCAAATTTTTCGAAGCTATATTATATATATATTATTGTTACGTACGAAATTTAGAATTAGGTTAAAAGCCCAAGGTAAAAAGAAGAATGAGCCTAACAATGGGGTTGATTGAACTGGCTGAAGGACACCGTGAGGAAATCAAGGAAAATAGATTTATTTCTAAGGAAAATACAAGGCGGAAGGTCCTCAGGGCGGAAAGACCTCAGGTCGGACGGTCATCAGGTCGGAAGGATTTCAGGTCGGTAGGTCCTCAAGACGGAAAGACCTCAAGTCGGAAGGTCTTCAGGTCGGGAGGTCCTCAAGATGGAAAGACCTCAAGTCGGAAGGTCTTCAGGTCGGGAGGTCCTCAAGACGGAAAGTCATCAGGTCGGTAAGGCCTCAAGACGGAAAGTCATTAGGACGGGAAATCCGCAGGTCGGGAGGCTTTCAGGTCGGGAAAAGGAAGAAAGGTAAGATCTCAAGAATTGATCCAAATCCAGACCGAAGTCGGGCAGACGCAGAGGTCTGTTAAGAGGAAGGTCGGGCAAGGAAGAGGTACGGACAGATGCGGAGGTCTTCGGTCAAAGACGGAGGGCGGCTGATGCGGAGGTCGGCCCAAGTGAGGTCGGGCGAAGAAGCAGGTCGGGTGAAGGATGAGAAGTCGGGCCAAAAGAGCGGAAGGTCTGTGGTCGGCTCAAAGAGTGAAATATAAGGATAATTTTGGTCTGCTGAGGACACGTGTCAGCATGAAAAGGGTTGGAAGACGGTTGGGAAGGAGACGTTGTAACCGTTCGGGTGACGGTTTTCAGTACGGTTCCCCTGAGAATATTTAAAGGTTTGAATCATCATTTGGCAAGATATCTTCAATCAACTTCAACAAAGCAAAGTCAGATTTGGGGATCACCACTTTAAATTTCAGTCTTTTATTTTCCAGTTTATTTTCTGTACCGTACAGTGTTTAGAGATTCCTAATCTCAGGCACTAATTAATCAAGTTTAAGGATATTTTCTATATCTTTGAATTTTACTTTATTTTTGTTGAAAAATTACATCAACAAATTGGCGACCACAGTGGGAGCAAGACAAAATTGCTCATTCCAATTCCGGCGACAATTTCATACGTCTTAGATCCGGCCGTATCATCGGAAGGGTCCATATGGCAGGTTCACAACCTCAATCATCTTCGGCACCGGTGGGAGAATCCGTTCCACCACCTATTGTGCCAACTGCCGGGGAAATCCCACAACCACCAGCCGAATGGTGGTCTTTTGTTCAACAAATGTTGCGTGAGCAACAAACGAACATGTTGCGTGAGCAACAGAATCTGATGCAGAACATGATAGATCAAGCACTGTCAAGGGTTAGTCTTCAACCCACTCAAACTCCACCAGGAATATCACCATCCAGACCACAGGCAAATTTCGCAGGGCCATCATTCGTGGACAGTACGTTTCCAAGTGCCACAAATCCCAACCGAATGGATAGGGGAAAGTCTCCTCTGACTTTTCCCAACACTGTTCCATTGGGACCAAGGGTTACCAATCCGCAGCCGAATAATATAAGGGAGGACAGGCCTGAAGGATATATACATGATCCTATTCATATTCCTGTGCAGGATCCGTTCCATGTTCCTGATCATCAACGCTTGCGTGTAGATCCTGATGAGATTGCACATATATTAAGGGATCAGTATGGATTAACTCCTCAGATGGCTAACCGCCCTGCGTATCAGAGACCGTTCCCAGAAAGAATCATTAATGAACACCCTCTCCCAAGGAATTATCGACCACCCGATTTTCATGCATTCTCAGGGGAGGACGGATCTTCCACCATAGAACATGTTGGTCGGTTCACAGCACAATTGGGAGAAGTTGGTAATAACCCTTTTTATAAGTTGCAGCTGTTTGGTTTATCTCTTACTAGAACAGCATTCTCGTGGTTTGCAAGTCTGCCTCCTGGACAAATTCAGACGTGGGAAGGACTGGAGACGGCATTTCATGCTAGATTCTTCAATCCTTTACCAACTGTTTCTTTAACAGATTTACTGGAATTGAGGCAGTATCCAGAAGAATCTGCTTCACAGTTTATAGAAAGGGTGCGACTGATGAAGGGACGATGTCCTACGGTAATCAGTGAGAAAGAGATGACCAATTTAGTGGTCCGTAATATGCATACTCGTTTAAGAAAGGCACTCACTGCCCTGGATGTTGAGGATTTGGCAAGTCTTGCATCCAAGGCAGGACGTTTAGAGTCTTTGTTCAGAGAGGAAGATCAACATAACAGGCGTAATAGAGGCCAACATATGGCGAGTATGGGAACGGAAACATGTGACTTTGATTTTAATCAATCAGAAGAGATGGCAGCCGAAATCCTTTCTGGAAAACCTTATGTATGCCCTAAATTGAAGCCAGTTCCAGGATCTGAAGGAAAGGAGCAACCGACCTTTGATAGTTCGAAAGCTGATGAAATCTTTGATATCCTACTAACTGATGGGCAGATCCGTATTCCAAAGGGGCAAAGATTGGCCACTAAAGAAGAAATCAAGGGGAGACCATATTGTAAGTGGCATAATTCTTTCACACACAATACAAGTCAGTGTACTCATTTCAGGAAGGAAATTCAAAAGGCCATCAAGACAGGTCGGCTCAAATACATCACTCTAGGTGTAGACCAGCAACCGTTTCCGAAAGTAACAACAGAAATGGTTGACATCCAACCAAGTTCGGAAACAGGGAAAAGTTCGGCCAATAGTGGAGAAACAGGAGAGCGAACTCAGGCAAGTCCCGGAACAAAGAAAGGGAATCAGTCAAACAGCAGCCGACCGGAAGAACGACTCAAAGTTGTTGAAAGGCCAGTCGCTGAAAAATGGGACCGTCCAGACGGTTCTTTTAATGTGGAGGTGAAGGAAAAGGTTTTAGTGCGAGACCACCCGACCAGAAAAACAGGTTCAGTTGGGAACGATTGGGCTCGGAATAAAAAACCTTTACCAGTTGATATAGATCCTCGTTTCCCGGGCATGAATCGTACACAGATTCGCAATGCCAAACGCAGGTATGCTGCAAAGTATGGGAAACGAGGTCCTTCAGTAAAACAACTAACCGACGAACAAAAAGCAGCCGACCACTTGGCAGGAGATCAGTCCATTCGGGTCTTTACAGAACAAACGACCAACCAGCAGAAAGTAGCCATTCAGTCTCCAGTTGGTCGGTCCAGTCGGGTCTGGTCAGGAAAGCAACCGAATGACGGATTAGGCGCTTCCGACCATACCAAAAGAAGTTCGTCGGGACAGGGGAAAGGTAAAGGAGTGGCAGATGAAATAATTAAAGGTTTTAGATGTCAATATTGTGAACGGATCAACATCAATCCATCTTTTGAAGAATTCCGTATAGAATCTTTGACGGTTCAATCTCAGAACAAAACGAAGGAAGAAGTTGTAACTACAGAGGAGAATTCAAGATCTGTTAAATCTCGTCTGGGGTCACGAATCCCTTGTCGAATGACAGAGATTAATCAGATGAGAGATGAACCGATATGGGCGAGTCTGGTAGATGATACTATGGACGAACCTTTATGGGCATTCTTGGCAGATGATGAATTAGAGGAAACAGAGTGGGCAAAGACTTCAGACTCTGAGCCTCAACCAGAGCCACCCTCGATTGTGTTTCCTCCTATTCCAGAGGGTGCGATCTCCCATTTGAAGCCTCTGTATGTTAATGCTCATATTTGTGGGAAACCAATCACAAAGGTTTTCGTGGATAATGGAGCAGTTTTTAATGTTATGCCATTGAAGACTCTCAAGAAGTTAGGAAAAGGAATACATGATTTATCTCCTGTGGAATTCGAAATGACAAGTTTTACAGGGCAGCCGACCAAGCCTGAAGGCATGATGGTTGCCACAATTGAAGTCGGACCAAAAAAGATCTCCACTGTTTTCTTTATTGTGGACGCAGATACTACATATTCTCTTTTGCTGGGAAGAGACTGGATTCATGCCTCTCAATGTGTGCCATCAACCTTGCACCAACAATTAATGTTCTGGGAAGGAAATCAGGTCTTCAAAATGGAAGCGAATGATAATCCATTCGATGTAACAGAACAAGTTGAAGAGTCAGTGTTTTATTCCAGTCAGGTGGCTCCGATGTCTCAGTTATACATGGCCAGGGAATACCCAATCAAGGGTTATAAAGTCACTGGCCAGAACTCGATGTTCTATTAAAAGAACACCTTTATTGTATGGCTCATGATAAAGCCACACCCATTCCCGTATAATTTGTTTGTAATGGAAGATACAAG